AATGTAGCCAATGTTTTTCTAGTACCAACTCTGCTCCCTAATGACGTGCTGAGGGGCTCCCCCCCCCCCCCACTCCCCACTCCATCTACTGAATGCTCATTTTTCACTCTACTGCACGTGGACAACACACTGTATAAACATGACTGCTTCATCAATTAGTGATGCTCAATTTAGTCCAGGGTATTGAGCATGAGAACTTTTTGTGCTAAAATCCAGTTAAATGTTTTTCATTAAACAAATAGCATTCAATTATAGTGATAAGGTTTCTGTCGGTGGAAAATGATCTCATCCACATTTCAGAGGTTTTTCATATTCTAAGGACAGAAATAAAACCTTTATTTAAACTTAAAGGTCCCATGTCATGCTTGTCCAGTTATTACCCGTCCCCTTGTGTGTTATGAAGGTTTTTATGCATGTAAACGGTCTGCAAAGTCACAAACCCTCAAAGTACACCCTGTAGTAAAACTCTAACACAGAAAAGACCTGTCTATGCTGCCCCAGAACGCCTCGTTGGAGATTTATCTTTTCCTTCCTGGGTACAGTGACGTGACCATACCCAAATGGACCCATTGGTCCGTGGAGCTCCTCACACACACACACACACACACACACACACACACACACACACACACACACACACACACACACACACACACACACACACACACACACACACACACACACACACACACACACACACTCTCTCAATGGCGAAACAGTGATGCGCTGGGGTGGGTGCTAGTGGAGCCTCGTGGCGGTGAAACTGTGGCGCGCTTACACTGTAGGTGTGCCGCGTTTGGGGGTGCTAGTGGAGCCTCGCAGATGGGGGTGCTGCAGCCCCCTCAGCAACCCCGCCTTCCCGCGTCCCTTCGCGATGTCTCGCTGTCTCGCAGACCCCATGCAGCTAGCAGGAAATGAACCCAGCTCACACTCTCCGCTCCTCGCAGCAGCACTCCTCGCAGCAGCGAGCCGCGCAACGTCCCGCCAACACGGCACCCACACCCCACGCAGCATTCTCACCTGTTTGTCATTACTGGTGTCATTTTCTGGTTGCTAACAAACGCCATTGTAACACATAATCACTGATGTTCCGCTGTAACGGTGGTGGACTTATCAGAACAGAGTGGGCGAGCTAACCAATCAGAGCACACTGGGCTCATAGGGAGGGGGGGGGGGGGGCAGGAGCTCTAACAAGCCGTTTAGGACAGAGAGTGAATACACATACTATACAGAGATGCTGTATGAGAAACCAATGTGATTTTGGAAAATTGCACAATATAAATCTATTCTAGTAGACCTCAACAATGGAATTAGAAATGGCCATGACATGGGCCCTTTAATATAGTCATATCCTGGTGTAAATTAGACTTGCTACTTATTAATAGTTCCTTTCTTGTCTAAACCTTTTTATTTCCCTTCCTTCCTCCTTACCTTCTTTCCCTACGCCCCCCTCCTGCCTATTTCCTTCCTTCCTTTCTCTTTACCTTCCTTTCTTACTCCCTTTTTCTATTCCATCCTTTCTTCTTTTATTCCTTCATTCTTTCCTTCATTTTCTTTAAGATTTAAGATAATCACCAAAAAACATGTTCATCAGTGGCCTTTAGTTTCTATTATTCAATCTGCTCTTAGTAGACAGTTAACAGCTGCTTTGCTCAATACCATCCTCCCTTTCCTAATACTTGTACTGTAAGGGGGTTTTCCAGACACTGCAGTAGCCTCTGAGTCATCACTGTGTTAATCTGTTAATCTTTCCTCTCATTCTCTATCTCTATCTCTGATCTCCCTACAGAGCTTTCACAGTGACAGCTATTGCCCAGATGTGCATTCTGGGTCTTATGTGGGTGTTTGGGGCCTTCCTGTTTCAAGAGGACAACACAGTGGTGGCATACATCTTCACTATCCTCAACAGCCTGCAGGGAGCGCTGGTGTTCTTCATGCACTGCCTACTGTCTAAACAGGTAGGAAACGGCAACTGTGGGTTTGTGAGTGTGTACCTGGGAAATAACATAAATAGTTACACAATAAATAAATGAACTACAAGAGAAAGTGTTAAAATTAAGATGGAATCATTTTGAGCTGTGAATGTTTTTCTGATGTTCTGCTGCCCTCTGCAGGTGAGAGAGGAGTACGCCCATTTCCTTTCCTGTATCTGCACACCACAGAAGAAGAGATACTCAGACTTCACCAGTACCAATCCCTCCAGTAGTCAGTCACAAGTAAGTATTAAGCGACCTCACTTCTTAACGCCTTCTAAGTTACGTACACTACTGCTTTAGAGTGCAATTTGGAGTATTTATTTTTCATTTATTTGTAACATTAAGTTGTTATGGAGTATGTTTACATTGTGGTATTGCTTCTCTGCATTGTTTTTAAACTTGTACCATTTGTGTTCTTATAGGCTTTGCGAAGTGGGCAGCACACCGGAGAATCCCAAATATGAAGTGCTCTATCTTTGAATGTAACTCATAGATACACCTTTACTCTATATGAGCTAGCTCTGATTTTAGGTTTGCATCAATTCAAACAAAAATCCAGTCATTATTTAATTACTATAAGGTCAAATGGCACCAATTACTTTTATAGATATAACTAATCAGGGGCCCTCCCACTGGTTGCATGATACATCTGGGTGGAATCTGAGTTAAATCGCAGGCCTTTTAGACCCTAAGGAAGTTAAAGGGACCACATATTTTACATCTCAAAAACCATAAACTTGGATCCAAAAACATGATTAGCACACTTTGCCAGTCAACTGCATTATGGGCCAAAGTTGTATCCCATTGTTGTCACAGCAGGCAAAAACGTCCCTGTTTATTTGGGAACTGCTTACTAAAAGATGTTCAAGTATCCTATATGTTTATCCAACACATATCACAATCATACTATAAGCTGTATTGACTTTGGAAGGATTCAAAGTAAAACATAAAAACTGTACATTGACAGAGTATTTATTTTCAAGCGCAGAGAAATACGTCTACAATATGTAGGCAACAAGAACATATGAGTTAAGCTCTTTATGTTCAAAGCATGAGCAATCAGTTTGCGCAGAATTGTATAAATGCTTTTGGTAAAAGAAGGGTGGGTGTGCCTTTTGTTCAAGGAAATGTTCCATTACTTATTTGTTTCCATATAAAGTAGTGGCAGAGAAACAACTGATTTATGATGCACATGTCCCAAGTGCCTCTGATGGTCCCGTCATGTTCCTGAAAATCCTACGTGGGCTTCTGCAAGGATTTTATGTTTGTAGTTTGTTGATCTTTCTTATACAAAATAAGTGATTTTTATTCACTTGTGGCTTTAAAAAAATAATCTTTATTGATTTGCCATAAAGCTATGTCTTTCTCACTAGTTTATGTGAAGATATAGAAATATGTTTCAATTAGCAAACAAGAAAAACAAATACAGCCAAAAATAGTCACTCTGGAAATACATGAAAACAGACCCACCCATTCCCATAAGCCAGCAACTTCCTGCAATCAAAGTGTTTAAATGGAGTTAAATTCCATTTTGTTATCATGTTTTCTTATTATAGCTGATAGAGTATGTGTCCACACATTGTTAGTGAATTTAAGAATCACATCCCTGAAATGAGAACTTTGACTATTTAAATAAGGTATATTGATGGGAGATGTACAGACCTGTGTTTCTTTATGTTATTGCACTTTTCTGTTATCAAAATGATAGTCAAGCACATCCTCACTTAAATGGTGCATGTGATAATCAAAAGACTTGAGAAGCAGCTTCATCTACCAGAACAGTTTACGTTTTAAAAAAAAACCAGTTACTTGCTGTATAAAGCAACCAATTATATATCTTCTACTTTATAGAAATTGATCAGAGACATTGATCTGCAGAAAAAAAAGACAAAATGGTAATTCTTTGTATGTGATTGGTGTGTCCTGTACCTTTTTTTTAAAATCGCCATGAGCCTGATTAAGACTACTCTTATGTTGGTTTTAACAACTAAACTGTTCTGGTATGGCTGCAATTTTTTGTGACCATCGTTACCTTTAATTCATTCATTGCAAAATGTATTTGTATGTGAAAAAGCTATGTGCGTTATGCAACATTATTTTGTGAATGTAAGAAGCTTATTGTAAGAATAGATGCTCTTTTTTAAAGGTAGGCCTATAAGAACTTATTTTTCTATTTTGTAATTGTGTATGTATTTTGGTACTGTTCTTTAGAATATGCACACATTTTTATTAAAGCTTCGATTTCATCTGTGAGTGTGTGGTTTGTAATGATGTGATGACATTCCCAAGCAGATATTGATTGATTGATTGATAGAGATAGATTAATGGATGTATGTTTCTTGATATTTGACATTTTAATACTTCAGAATTAAAACTTCAAATGTGCCAATAGGTTGTGCAATTGCTTACATTGCGTTTATGATAAATGTAGCACAAGTCATAACGTGAGCAAACTGACGCATTACACACAGGACCGACCATCCCTTGATAGTTAGCTATTATAGATTAGATATTATTATATACCTTTCATTGGGAAAGTGCGTAATTTTCTTCCAACAAATCTGAGGTAGCCCTATTTGTGCTTTTTGTATTTATCCAACATTATGCTATGTTATAAGAAATAAAGTTCAAGAGGACATGTAAAAACGCGAATTTAACCTACTTAGCTAGCTAATTAACAAGTTTCAATTAGCAAACAAACTGCCTTAAAATTCAGCTTGTGCCGTTTATTATCCAACAATTAACTGCTGCCATTTTCCGGGCTTCAACTTACACTTGTTGACAATACTGTTTGTAATGCAGTTCATTTACTTGTAGCCTATTCGGTCAATGCGTTCACCACAGATATTTTCGATATGTGTCAATCTATCAGTAAAGCGATCACTTGATGTTTTTCCTATTAAATGAGACATTTACAATTGAATAAATCAGAGTCTCCGTGACATGTTGTTATCTTCGGGGGGATGATTCACACCGCAGGGAGCAACGAGGCGAGCAGTGACGCAGCGGTTTATGAGTTGTAACATGCTCTGCTGTCAGCTCCAGTGCGCCTCGTCACCTCGACTATTGCAGACTACTTCTGACAACTCTTGTGGGGAAAAAGTTAAGTTTACTGACACATTTGGACATATGAAGGAGCGTTTTGCTACTGATTTCTTAGTGCAGCAGGATTAAACAGGTAAGCCTTGCTCTCTCTCAAACTTGAATTCTATCGTGATTGTTTTTGTGAATTATGTCACTGTTTACATGCGCACAGGTAGCACCATGCATCTGCTGAGTGGTGTAACAGCGTGTCTCAGTGTGTTTTGGGATGTCAGACTGCTCTCCCTCCCCTGGCTGTGCAGCCTGTTGGCAGGGCTGGGGCTGTGCTTTGTCTGGAGGGGCTCCTGGAAGTTCATATATATAGCTATATGCACCATCAAAAGAGACCTAATGTAAGGAGTTTGAGTGAAAATGCACGTGTTACTTATCTTCCCCAACTTAATTGCTATTTCTAACTTCCTTTTATTCCTCCCTTTTCTTTTCTTCATTATTTAAAAGGTGTCTGGTTGTGATACTGCGAGTAAGGTTTTCCATGTACCGTAATCTGCGAAATAGAAGCACCATCCCTGCCCTTTTTGCACGGATGGTTACACAGCACCCAGACAAACCTGCTTTGATCTATGAGGCTACAGGAGAGGTGAGGAATAAGCGCAGATTACATATAAATGCAGCTTTAACAGCATCAGCATTTTCACTGAGAATCATTAAACGTCAAATAGAATCACAGACTGTTACTGCATTTCCATATTTCTTTATTCCAGGTTTGGAGTTTCAGGGACCTGCAGGAGCGGTGCCATGCTGTGGCTCACTGGGCCCTGGCTCAGGGGTGGGCCGAGGGAGACGTGGTAGCCCTGTACATGGAGAGCCAGCCTTCAGTGGTGGCTCTATGGTTGGGTCTGGCTATGGTCGGCGTAGAGGCCGCTCTCATAAACCACAACCTCCGACTGCACTCGCTGCTGCACTGTGTTGGCGTGTCTGGTGCTCGGGCAATGGTATTCGGGACAGAGATGAGAGAAGGTATAGCTTTTTATGGTGTTTTATTTCCTATAATAAAGTGCATTTACAAACAAATCCAGTCCAAGTGACATTGATATATCTCTCTAAAAGACATCAGGCCACATGAATACAACTATATAAATAAATAAGTTCTATATTTAAAAAAGGAACACACTGTTTATTGCACTCATTTTAAAATACTCAACGTTTGATTGAAATGAAGTATTATTTCAAATCGTTGCTAAAGGCAATACATCATGGTCTTCCTGTGAATTTACCCTAGGCCTAATGGATAAGGAACTTGTCTGTTACAACAAGATTACACTTGTTGAGTTTTTTTTCTGTGCATTATTTTCCAGGAGACAAAACAACACATTCATCCAAAGCAAAAAAAAGCTCAAGATCAATATCTTCAGTGTTGCCGGAAAATCTCAACACTTGACCAAATCCAAAATAAATGCACACAACAAAAACTGTTTATGGACATGCCATAACAGTTACTAGAATGCCTCTCTTAAATCCTTTCTTAACGTAGTTTTCAGCTGGATAGATATTGTCCGGCTGATCCTCTTCAGACACATTTGTAACATGTGACTTTGTATTGTCTCCAAGCGGTGTTGGAGGTACGGGGGTCTCTGCAGCCCCACATGGTTTTGTTCAGCAGTGGTGAGCAGGTCGATGAAGAGGAGCTGTGCGGCGCTCAGAGCCTGGATGCCCTGCTGGAGGGTTTTCCCAAACACCCGCCCCGCTACACACTCAGGAAGGACTTCAACGGTGAGGCTCTGCTGAGTGTTTGTGCATGGAGGTTTCTGGTATGACTGTTGCCATATCATTTACTTATGTTACAAATGATTTGATCGCAACACCTACTTTTCTTCAGCAAGTCTTTGCCTGCTACGGGTGATATGCTCCCTGCCAGATAGGAGTGTGCTCTAAAACAGACCCACCAACTCACATCATAGAGATACTGAATGTCACACAACAATTAAATGCATTTAAAGGTGTTTTTTATATGGTATAGTATATGTAAACCTCCTTCCTCACTTAATTTTGAATATTATGTGATATATCTGGGTATTCACCTTTTATTAATTTGATGATCTGTACTGTTATTACCTTTGCCATCACATGACATTCCTAGGTGCATACTCTTCAAGTCTTTGCTTGTCAGACATACACAGGATCTGGAAGGAGAGACAACATGTTAAGGAATGATGGGGAATTCTGGGATGCATACCACACACGTCAAACATTGGCAAATAGACAAAAGACTGTTTCTTTGGAACATTCCCTAAAACAATTCAGCTTTGCGAAACTTAATTTGTTTCCCCTATGTTTTCTAACTCTTCATGCAGACAAACTTTTTTACATCTACACTTCTGGTACAACAGGAATGCCTAAGGCTGCTGTGGTGGTGCACAGTCGGTGAGTTTATCTGTGATCTCATCTCAACGGATGATGCATTTATGTTTATGAAGGGAACGAAAATGAAACAAATCTCTAAAGCACATTTTTTAATAACACTTGCATTAGCAAGCTTTAGGAAACCCTACAGGACAACTGGGCCAAATTGCTTCAACTCATGATTGGCTCACAATCATTGCACTATTTTTCTTTGATTCTTATAATTTTGAATTTGATATGATATAATTATATTTTATATTTATCTATCATAAATTCACCAAAGACAATAAAGCATCTTATGACTGGTTTTACAACCAAGAATCTCATTTATTATTGTCTATTTGGAAACTATAGGAAAGCTTAATGTAATAATACATTCAGATATACAATATTTAAGTGTTTGAATTAAAATCAGGACCATAAGGATCGGTTTGGTGAAGATGTTCGTCAGTCAGTTTATTCCATCATTCTCTTCAGGTATTTTCGCATCGCTGCCTTTGGTTTTCACTCATTTGGCTTACGTGATGATGATGTCATCTACAACTGCCTTCCCCTGTATCACTCTGCAGGTAGGCCTCACTCTCTCAGCCAGTATGCTCCTCATATTATACACATTGTGTTTCTTTAAAATGCGTTATCAAAAAAGTGTTTTAGATGAACCCTTACAAAAAAAAGCCTGTCATCATCCCTGATGTATTTCACTGTCAAAGTATAACATCAACCCATTTGTACCATAATGCTTCTCTGCTGGTGATAATCATGTTTAATTACAGTTCAGAGTATGTTATACTCTCATTAGTGAAACATTACCACACCTGTCACAAATAACAGCAAATAATCTGCTATCATTCTTCTTGTTTGAATAAACCCTAACACTAGCTGGTATTCAAGTTATTGTACTGTATCCTTATGTCCCTGTTGCATCATCATAACAAAAAAATACAAAACCTATTGTAATTTATTTTGCTTTTTATTGACTAAGATCCATTGTAACATATTGATCAAGTGTAGGTGTCGATTAGACAGAGCGCGTTTTGATGGCAACCACCGAATCAGCTGTTCGTTTTTAGTCTCTGCAAAATCCTCTTTCACCAACACGGGGTGAAAAGAATGTTAGTTAGTCGTTTAGCTAAACAAATAGCCTGTATGTTAGAAATTAGGTGAGGCTACAACTTGTTCAATATGTCTTGCAGCTTACAGTGGCTACATTGAAAATGTGCTAATGTTGGATTAACAAAAAACACTTGTTGTCATCGCCACAACAGAATGCCTACTTCCCATGGTCCTGATTGGACAATGGGACGCCAACAACATTTTGCATTTTTACCCGCTCAATGAAGGTTTTTTAACTCGAGGCGTCCAGGGTGCTACTGCAAATGCTAAACGCTCAGCACAGGAAAATAACCGAGCAAGGCGTTTCTCTCTCATCAAAATCAATTAAATAAGATTTGACCCCATCTTTCAAATGCGTTCTGTCTGATTTGGGCCTTAGTTGACCATAATCATCATATTTTCCTACTTTTTGTGTGCATTTCACTTAATGTGTTTATGGGAAATACAGGTACCATCATGGGTGTCGGCCAGTGTTTGCTTTTTGGTTTGACTGTTGTAGTCAGAAGAAAGTTCTCAGCCAGTCGCTTCTGGGAGGACTGTGTCAAACACAACTGCACTGTGAGTACACACTGCCAACAAGATAAATGATCAACAAAGACTGTCCAACTTATTAAAAAAATCTATTTTTTGTCAAGGTAATTCAATACATAGGCGAGATTTGTCGTTACCTGTTGGCCCAACCGGTCCGTTCATCAGAGGCACATCACCGGGTGCGTGTTGCCATCGGTAATGGCCTCCGTCCTACTGTGTGGGAGGAGTTTGTCAAGAGATTCAGAATCAGGCGAGTTGGGGAATTTTACGGCGCCACAGAGTGCAACTGCAGCCTCCTGAACATAGATGGACAGGTGTGTGTTTTGGACGTCTTAAAGGTAGAGTGTAGGATTTTCCAAACTGCATCCTGTCTCACGTCATGTCCTTCATGTTCAGGTGGGGGCGTGCGGCTTCAACAGTCGCATCCTCCCGAGCTTTTACCCCATCAGGCTGGTCAGGATGCAGGAGGTGAGCGGAGAGCTGCTCAGGGATTCACAAGGACTCTGTATTCCATGTCTGCCTGGTAAGAACACACACACACTTACACACAGCTTAGTTGCAGACACAAAGCCACACATGTTTCAAAATGTTTTATTTCCTCTCCCATGTCTCTGTTTTCTGCAGGTGAGCTGGGCATGTTAGTAGGACGGATCACCGACACTGATCCTCTCCGGAGGTTTGACGGCTATGTGGATGAGGAGTCCACCAATAAGAAAATAGCTCACAATGTCTTCAAGATGGGGGATTCTGCTTATGTCTCAGGTATGTTTCATTGTCTCTTTAGAACACAGTCAGATCAAAGCTTGACTTATGCTTTACACATCTGCGAGGGTCCCAAGTGGTCACAAGGTGATGTAAAACCATCAAGCGCAACCCTTTATGGGGGTCCTTTTTGCACTTTCTAACTAAGTGAATGCAGATGGAAGAAAATTGAGAAATATAAGAAGTGTGGCAGGAAGTGAGGCTATACGAACACCTATCTTACACAAATATAGCCCTCGTTTCATGTCCTCTTTCTGTTCTGTCACAGCAGGTAAAATCGAAACACAGTCGCTCCTCTTCTTAGATTATCATTTTCTAAATTAAACTCTTCAACAAAACCAAACATGAGTTCTCGATATGTTGCCCACCTACAGTTTGGGAGAATATTGGTGTGCAGCAAGAAAAACCTGCATCCAGTTTAAAAAGCCCAAACGTTTACTGGTCATTGTTCCATATCAGCCCATGTCTGTTCGGAAAGCTTGACTGGGCTTTAATGATGATGGACTGTCTGGGTTCATACGTGTTTCCTCCCACAGTCTGAACACTTACAGTATTACACAGCTGGATTGGAGACTTTAAATATAAATGTAATTGTTAGTGATTCACTGTCTGTGATTGAGGACTGGAAACCCATTGCACAAAGCCACAACAAATGATGATCAATAGATACACTCCACTTTATTTAACCCTTGAAATGACGATTCTTCCTCAGAGAAACACAACTGAACTACATACACCCACAGACACACTCAGGGTGTTACACACACTGTGGCCTAAGGAGACATTAGAAAGCATGCGACAAGTAATCATGAGAAAACTGACACATTTGCAAACAACACAGTGGAGCCAAATGAATCATCATCCGATCAGATCAAAGTCAAACCTGTACTGATGAGTCATCATCAATACAGACTTTACCTTGTCTTTGTCTGATACTCTGTGATGCCCTACAGGGATAATGACTATTTTTACGTTTGTCTCTTGTCTGTTTTCCTCTCTCTGGCTGTCCTTGTTTTCTGTCTCTCTGTCCCTTATCTTTAGGTGACATGCTGGTGATGGATGAATACGGCTACATATATTTCAGGGACCGCAGCGGCGACACATTTCGTTGGCGAGGGGAGAACGTTTCCACCACAGAGGTGGAGGGGGTCCTCAGCCGCCTGCTGGGACACACTGCTGTAGCCATCTATGGAGCGGCTGTACCAGGTGAGACCAGACAGTCTCAGGACGGGAAGAAACATTCACACATGAATGCAAGACTAAAGATTAAGGGCTTAATGCTGGAGTTACATCCTATAGTCTCCTGTTTATGACCTCACTTGTCTGTCTGCATGCAGGAGTGGAGGGGAAGGCGGGTATGGCAGCAATAGCACACACAGGAGGCCAGTTTGACCTTGATGCATTCTTCATCGCTGTACAGAAAGCCCTGCCGCCCTACGCACGGCCCGTCTTCCTGCGACTTATGCCATCTGTTGACACTACAGGTGATTCATTGATGCAAACACACGCAAACACACGCAAACACACACATTCACAAAGTCACATCTGAAGTTACGTTTTCATTTTTGTCCTCAGGTACCTTTAAAATCCAGAAAACACGGCTGCAGAAGGAAGGTTACGAGCCACAAGACGAGAGTGAGAAGATGTATTTTCTGAACAGTCGGGCTGGGTGCTACGAGGCTGTTACTGAGGAACTATATAAATCCATCATGGAGGGGACGGCGTGTCTATGAGACAGAAGAGGCTGTTAAAGAAGATAATGTTCATATTTTAAAGTGTAAATAGAGAGAAGGAAAACATAGGGACCTATTTACAGACACAAACACGTCTGTAAATATCTATGGTAAATAATAAAGTAAATATCTGATTGTGATGCTTTTTATTTTCTGCAATTAAATAAAAACACATATTTTGAAAAACAACACATTTAATACAGTTTTTTGGATCACATTTGAACAGAAGACAATATGAAGAGTTTTACACATATCATCCAAAAAACTGTGACAAGACTGGAAAAATTCAACTTTCAGATTTGTAAAACTTCATTTTTTATCTTCTGTTGTTCCAGAAGGTAACATACTGATGAGCTCACAGCAAATATATATTTTCACACAATATAAAACAACATGAAATATAATCAACTCATAATGTATTTAAAACCAGACTAAGAGTACACCTATGCTAGCAGCTGACAGTGAAGTAACATTGGCTATAAGCACCAAACACAGAGTCCAAGTGATGAGAACCATAGAGGTATTCATTTTGCAGGTATTTGTTAATAAACCAAAATACTGGACAAATTGAAATATCGGCCACACGAGGCTTTATGCTGAGTCCAGGAATCATCAAATGAATAACATTTCCCTCTGACAAATATACGATTGTACGTACCAAATGGCATGGCAATACATCCACTAGTTGGGACATTTTAAAGAAAATACAAATGTCAACCTCTTGTCGGCTCTAATGAAAAGTCAAGGGATCACCAACATCATCAGGATTCACCCTCTAGCAACAGCGGTAATTAAAGTTTAAAACTCTCAAAAATGCTACAACTACTGTCACAAACTAGATGAATGTGAAGTATTTTGTTAAAGGAGGATGAAAGAGTAATTAAGGAGCACTATTGGAGTGACTTTGATGGTTATTGGACTCAGGATTCATTCATTTGGATTCCCGCTGTATGAAGAAATTAAAGGACGGCGCGGAAGTGGAAACAATTCACAAAGGGATTAAACTGTTTAAAACACATGCTCAAAGTAAGCCGGATTTTGCCGATGTGTTTATGTTGATTCAAAAGTCGTAAATAATCTACAAAATGGAGGAGACCGATCTGATTGGAGCAACTGTGACAAATAATCCAACTGAAACTGGCATGGACAATGACTATGTTTTAAAAATGCGCTTATCCAGAAAAGCCCGGTTTGGACACTTTACGGGCAGAAGAAACATTTCTATAGAAAGAATTATACATTTCTGTCTTTTTATGCCTTTAGCTACTAACTTGAATTGTTATTCAAATTAATTAATCAATTATTTTTTATATTTTATTGTAATGTAGAGACAAGGCTTTTAGTGACAATCATGTATTGAGTACTTTTTTTTTTTTTTTTACATATAATTATATGTAAAAAGAAAAAAAAAAGTCTAAATATGATATTTGGCCTCAAATCATCTGAGGCCTGGCGCACCTCCTGCGATATTTGGCGCCCGCCCAAGTGGGGCGCGCCCCCCAGGTTGGGAACCACTGCTCTAGGGAACATGACTGTCTGAAAACACGCCAATCACTGAGTGTAATTTACAATCCTGGAGGCAAGCTTCTAGCACAACTTAAAACCAAGAATAACTTTAGTACGAATGGTAATGATGTTATTGTAATTCATTATGGCTGTGGGCTCTTGTTATTTAACACACGCATGATTAACCAAATGATCAACATGATTCATCTGGATTTGTTTGTGACTGTCAGACTCATTGTTGATGATGTTTAGGGCTCTGTTCAGTGACACATGGTAGGTCACATTGAACCTGGGTTTGCTGCTCTGTTTTTTGGTTTTGTTATCTTTTGACTTTTGCTCAGCGGGTTTTGTTTTAATGATATGGTTCTTCAAGGTGCCCCCCTGAGGTTTGGATTTCTTGTCTTCATTCAGACGTTCACTCTTCTTGCCGTTGTTATTTGTTGAAAGAGCGTTAATGTCTCCCTGTTTCCAGGAGTCATTTGTTATCACCTGATCCTCCTCAAGGATAGCAGTGTCCTCTTCAGGGACATCATATGACCCCAGGCTGACCTTCACTTTCTGTGCCAACACTGAAAAGTCCCCATACAACAATGTACTCTCAAAGTATGGGTACACCTTTTCAGTAAAGCGATGTTTAAACGTGAAAATATGTGTTTCAGTAGTGTTCAAGAATGCAAGCGTCCCTTCATCCCAGTCCAGCCTCACACGCAGGTTAGAGAGGTGTTGTGGGTTGAGTTTCTGAGTGGGAGCGGTCAGAGCCAGGTACTCTCCTTCCCGCAGGCTGATACACCAGAGTCCTGCCTCGGGACAGGCTGGACACCTCTGGACACTGCGTGAGCAGCCACACCGACTGCCCAACTGTTGGTGTCACCTCACCAACCTGTTGAAAACAATGAGGAACAAGATTAAATACCATGATGGATATCATAGCCTGGCAGCTCAGAGATAAATGTATCTTAATAATAATAATTCATTTTAACGCTTTATCAGGCGCGTCTACAGAGATACAAAAAAGATAAAAAGTCTAATTCAAATCAAGCAATAAATACATATTTATCACAAGGACACAGCATCAATCACAGATTTAAAAAAAACTAGTCTATAAAGGTGAGTCTCGGCTGGTGTTTTGAAGGTGGGGAGGGTAGTACTGTCTATGATTATTTTGTGGGAGTGAGTTCCAGAGGGTGGGGGGGGGGGGGGGCACAGTGGAGAATGCTCTGTCCCCCCAGGTTTGGTGCTTGGTTTGTGTGGGGATAGACAGGAGGTTGGCTTCTGATGAGAGAAGGCTGTGGGAAGGGTGTGGGGGTGGAGCAGGTCAGTGAGGTAGGAGGGGGCTTGGTTGTTGGCTTTGTGGGTTAGGAGGAGGATTTTGAAATGTATTCGTTGACAGACAAAGGTTGCAGGTTGTGAAGGACGGTGAAGTTATGTGTGCTGTATTCCTGAGGCTGAAACCCCCATCAGTATTTGTGTAATAAAATCAACATATGGGATATTGACAATATTTTAATGGCATAATGTATGGAATGCAATGATATTAGACTCTCATTGCACTATTATCGTAACAATATTATTGGTGTGCTTGCTTTATGGGAGAGGCCAGATAGAACATTTAAATGTTTTAAGAGGAGCTGAATTATTTTCATGATATTACAGTGTGTTTATTATTAACATGCTATCAATATTACACTTTTTAAATATTAAGGTTATTGTCAATACCTGTAAATAGTGACACTCCTACTGTTAAAGATGAGATAGGATATCAAACACTAATTTTACTTTCAGTGACAGTATGTAATAACAAAATAGCATATACCTAAAATATATGAACCTATAGTACTTTTACCATTAAAGAGCAACCTATAAATCATGTGTACTGATACTATTTTCTGAGGTCTTATTACCCAATAATTATTACTCATAGTTACAGTATAATTCTCAGACTCAGGATTTGAATACCTTAATATCCCAACAGTGCACTCCTGAGTCAAAGCCCTCTCTCGCCATGATGCAGGAATGAGGGTGGAAACTGTCTGGGTCAGCTGGGACATCCAGACACTGTGAAGGTCCAGGGGTGATATGGACACTGTTTAACCCGGGAGACACCCTCAGAGACAGGCCTGCTGTCCTGGGGTCAAGGGTCACAGGAGCAGGAAGACACAAAGGGGGGTCAGAGGGTAATGAAGAAGGGAGCAGGAAGTAATCACATACACACACTGTAAATATAAGGAAACTGACTGTAGGGGGCAATGTGTTTCATCTTCTCCCATTCAGCATACTGGAGGTTTCCCAGGTGTTTGGTCACTTCTATCAGAGGTCTGCAAACCTTCTGTGGTTCCCTGTCACCTGTACAGGTACTGCAGTACAATAAATAAACATTAAAATACAGTTGTACCGTTTCATTTGTATGTGATTGTGTGTGAAAAATACCCTGAAATGTCACATACCTATTCATTGTGTCTTGGTATTGCTGTTCAAGGTTACTGTTTAAAATACAAACACCTGACATTTATATACTTTTTGTGAAACATATGATTTGTGTTACCTTTAAAAATCCAGCCCCTTCTCCTCCTGCATCTAGCTCCTCTTCCACCAGTTGTACCTTCTCCTCCAGAGATGTTATCAGCTGATTCATTTCGTCTACCTGTTTTTCTGCCTCTCTCCTTTTCTCCTTCTGTTCCTCCCTGAGGACGAGCAGCCTGGCTGCTTCCTGCTCTCTCAAAAACTGGTGAAGGCTCTCAAACTCCTTCTTCATGTGCTCCTCTGTGAGTTCGGCCTCAGCCTGGGAAGAGTGGAAAAGGAAAGACATGTGTGAGGAAAACAGAGGAGGCCCTAAAGCAGTGAACCAATCATAAACTTAGCACCGGAACTTTTCTGATTGTTTTTCTAGTTGCAGCTCTACCTGGTTATGTCTGGATGCATGTTCACAGTTCTGTGTGACTTTCTCAAATTGCACCCTCCTCTTCTTCAGTCCATTTAGTGATGTTTTCAACTCCTCCTAGTGGTCGAAAGGAGAAACACGTTCTTAAGCGCAATGACTACTTATTTATTTGAGTAAAGTTCACTTCTATGACAGCTTCAGTTTGCAGATTGATGCACACATGTTTACCTTAAGCTTATAGAATAAACATTTTTACTGTGTGAGATATCTCAATAAAACATGGTAAGTAATCAGGCTGCATTCATTTGGATGTGAAGGACATTTTATATTTAAACAAAATGTGATCACACTATTGTTCTATGTTTGAAACTGCCAATTGTCTAATAGGTAGTTAAGATTAGTTAAATTGCTGCTTATTCTTTGGGTCATCAGTATGAATAAATCAGCCATTTCTGAATATACACCACTGACTTCACAGGAATTTCACAGAATACATTCACTCTCTGGGATTTAGGTTGAGTATTTGTGTCTGTGTGGTTCAAATTGCCTAATGAGACCCAAACATTCATTTCAGACACAATGATAGCAACAGCAATTACCGGCTTCACTTTCAGCTGGATGCCTCTCTAAACCTCACTCTAAATTCTGCCTGTGTAAACTAATCTTGGAATAACAGGCGTCATCTGTTTGGGCAGGAAAATAAATATTTACAGAGAAGGAAAAATGCTTGACTGCCTCCTTGCTATCCATTTGCTGAGAGGTCACAGGAAGCATGTTGATGAAAAAGTACGAGACAGGGGGCACCCTTCATCTTGGAAAAGATACATTTCCAATCTAAGAAGAGCCTGTGCCTTCGAGAGCTCTGCTGTTATTTGACGTCTTTGCACCACTGTGTTGTCTGGCTTTGTGGCAGCAGGGCGATCTTAACTGGAAGTCCAGAATTCAAGCACTCTTAACGGCAATCATCTGCCCTGCTGAAGTGTCCTCGAGGACCCCAGCGATTTCCTGCCAGCTGCTGTGTATCCAATCCTTCAGCGTGATACTTTATTGCTTTCAGTGGAGGAATAAAGAGACCTATTTCAGGCCTTTCACTTCGGTGATTACCTCATGGCAATTGCAATACCAACCTCAGAATCAAAAGATAATTAGATTGATAGGAGGGATTCAAAAACATATTTCCCTACAAATACATATTCTTATTTGCCTATTCCAATTGATCTTTTCTTGAGAAAAATAATGAATACTGAAACTAGCCTTCTACACAGGTATAAATGAAAAAATTTGAGGAGGGAAATATGTTTTTGTTAAGCAGCTCACGACAAATAAACATGAGAGATTGTGTCACATAAAGAATCTGCTTTGTTTTGAGGGGTAAGAGGCCTTTTACGCTATAAATACTTTTTACAAGAGGTGAAATACCCACTACAGCTATAACATTGATGTCTTCAAGGCAGTTAAAATGAGTTGCTGGCCTGACACCTTGCAGTCAGTAGCAGCCTCAGTCAGGAGGTAAACTCTGTGTCCTGCGTGGCTCACAGCTGCACCGTGTTCACATAAAGGCTCCAGGTCATCCAAACAGAACATGGTCAGGCTCTCTTCGTGTTCCTCACATGGCTCCTGAGAGTCAAACGAGTAGAGCGGTGAGGCGAGGTCTTCTGCCTCGGCTCGGTGAAGGGAGACAGGGAGGAAGGATTGGCAGCTCATGGTGGGGCCGCTGGTGGTCTCCATCTTTGAGGCCAGTCAAGTTGACTCAGACTTTAAGAGAGAGGACAAAAAAAGAGGGAGGAGTGGTGTGTTCTTGTTTTGGCATCTGTGTTGCATGTGTGCATCCATACATGAGTCCTAATTCATTCTTAGGTTACATAAAGTAGATCTGCTTACACGCCGCTTCTCAAACTTGAAGCTTGGCCAGCGTGTCTTCACCAGACGCAGTCATACACTCTGCATGTCATTCTGACTTTCATGACCTGCACTGATTTATGCATTCTCACATCCCAAGGCAGAATTCATTCCTGTGCCATCGCATGATACTTTAATTACTATATTCCACGAGACAAGGGTGTAGCACTGCTTTATTTCATGGCATATTAAGAAGAAGCAAAAATAATGTGTGATTTTGCACTAAATACATTTTATAATATTCTTGTAATGTGAGAGTTTCCTCTTTTTATTTTGTACTTTCTTACACACTGTATGCCAGGCCTGAGTTATGTCACATGGATACAGTTTCACTGGCCTTTGACAATTTGAGCTGCTCAGATCCAGAGAGCATGTATTTGACAGGTCAGTCATATTTCAGTGACATCACATGCTCTCTTTTGAACTGTATGACATATAATATGTTTATTCCTAATGTTCAACAACTCAGCGAGTACAGTACATTGTTAGACGCATATGACCCTACGTATGTCAACATATGCACCGTTGATATCTTGTTGACAAGTTTGCTAGCACTCTGTAGACGTATGCTGGCCTCCCATGGGGACATTGTGTTTTTTAGAACCAGGCCTTTTTTGGATGGCTTCCTCCCAGGAAGCTCACAATTAGCCTGTGTCCTGTTTGTGGTGAAGTTCAAATGATTTGTTTAATGTTGGAGCCACGGCTGCACTTAACTCAAGACACTTCACTGAAACTTGACTGAATGTTCTGTTTGTTAACTTCTATATTGAGAATTTAGGGTGTCCTGCAAAATGCAATTTTGTATATCTTTTATACATAAATATGTTTCCCCTGTGTGTCAGGGAACTCACAAAGTGTCAGAAAACAGAATCAGCTTCAACAGGGCTGAAATAGAGGGTTATGAGGCATGGCTAGAATGGGTGATCTGTTTGGTATTTTGAGCATAGACATGTTTTTTATATATTATTATATATCTGAGTCCTATAATATATGCCTAAAAATAGTATAATATAAGACCTTTAACACCGAAATATGTTAAATATATCTGGTACAACTTTTTCTATACTTGAGAGGAAGGGAGAGAGGTAGGGTGATTGAATCAGCAACTGTAACTCAGGTTCATGTTTACTTTATGGTATGTTCAGTTAAAGAATCACTGTTCACTTTGCAGTGCTAAACAGAGCTCCGTCTACTTTCACTGAACAAAGGCGAGTTTAGTTTAGCTTGCTAACCTCTGAACTCAATATGGTTGTTTGTGAAGGATAAGCTAGTGAAGTTTAGTTGGATAAGGATACTCTTGCAAATACATTTCCTGAATAAGAATGAGTCCCCTACATGTTGGTTTGTAACTCACTGAGAGCTCCAATGACTTGAGAAATTGACGTAAATGATTTAGTTCAGTTTCTAAGCCCCATAGATTTGTAAACAATGCAACAACACCTGGAAAACGTGGTATTGCTAACAATATTTCCAGAAACAATCCTTAATTTTTTATTTGTAATGTTTGATATTTTACTAAAAGGACACCTCGACCACCTTGTACATTCTCATAATCTCAACAAGTTGACACAAAAGTTGATAAAAGCTAAAGTAACAAACAAAATCCCAAACAAAGTTGATTTACTTTGGTTGGGTCCATTAGAGGGTTAAGGATTGTACCCACATGTATACTGAGATCTGTGAACATAGCTTGTGGTGTCCCTCAAGGATCAGTTCTCGGCCCCACCCTCTTCACACTCTACATGCTCCCCCTTGGCTCTATCATCAGCCGACATGGAGTATCATTTCATTGCTACGCTGATGACACCCAACTGTACCTCAGGATCAACCCTACCTCCTCTGCAGCCCTGCCTTCACCCACACTCACTGCCTGCCTGGAGGAGATACAGGCGTGGATGAAGCAAAACTTCCTGAAACTCAACAGCTCCAAGACCGAAGCCATTATAGTTGGCACCCCACACCAGGTTCGGTCATCCACCATCACCACCATCACCTTCTCCGGCCAGGACATTACCCTCTCCTCAATAGTCACCAACCTGGGTGTTAAAATTGACGCCCATCTGACCTTTGAGGCCCACATTAAACAGCTGTGCAAGAACTCCTTTTATTACCTCAGGAACATCGCCAAACTCCGCCCCACACTCACTCTGTCTGACGCCGAAAAGCTGGTCCACGCCTTTGTCTCCTCCAGGCTGGACTACTGCAATGCACTCCTCATCGGGATCCCCAACAAAAGCATCCAGAAGCTCCAATACATTCAGAACAGCGCTGCTAGGATCCTGATGAGGGTGCGCAAATATGATCACATCACCCCCATCCTTAAAGCACTACACTGGCTACCCGTGGAACTGAGGATCGAATTCAAGGTCTCCGTCCTCACCCACCAGTGTGTCCATGAAACTGCCCCTCCCTACCTCAAGGAACTCCTCACCCCCCATATCTCCTTGCGGACCACCCGCTCCAGCAACTCCAACTTCCTCAAACCCCCCAGGACTAAACTCCGTACTATGGGAGACCGGGCCTTCTGCTCAGCTGCTCCCAGTCTGTGGAATGCAGTCAGAATGCAGTCAGAAAAACAGCAACGGTAAGACTCATTTTCCGTTTTTTTGTGTGATGTCTGGGTTTGCTTCCCTGCCGCGAGTTTTGATCGCTCAGTGGTGATACTTATACCCCTGGAATCTGTGGAATCTCAGCTTGCTAGCTGATATCTTGTTTGTGCAGATCCGATAAGTAATAAAGTATTTCTACATCTACAATGAGTTCTGTGCTAAGTGCGTGAGCATTTTTTCGCTCAGGGCTCATTTAGACGCTTCTTGTGAGACATGTGTTTTGTTTCGGTAAAAATTGTTCGTATCGTCAGTTAGCTGAGTTTCTTCCCGTTTAGTGGGTATGACACATTAATGGATTATTAAATGTTAAGAAGCCCTGAGACACAGTTTCGTGAAAAAAAACAGGTTGTCACTCTTTCTGTCCTTTGTCATTCATGCTCAATGGGAGCAAGTGCAGCCGTTTACCAAACAACCACAAGTGCAAGTTAAAACGCACACATTAAAGGTGAACCCGACATATTCGCACATTTTTTTGTGATTGTTGGGAGAGTAATGTCTTAAATCTCCAAAATGGGTTCAATTTGGTATAGATCGGGTGATGGTGTGAATGCATATTTCCTGCATGCTATTGCTGGTAATACATTGCTGAAATTATTTCTTTTTGTGGATAAACAGTGCACATTGCTGACATCATAGAGATGTTTACTCCTCTTTATCAATGTCACCTCAGCTCAAATCTACTGATCCACATGAGGAACACACACAAAGTGTCACGATCTGTCTTTATGGTGTTTTGTCTTGTCTTGTTTCATGTTTAATTTTGTAAGGTCTTCACCTCCTGTCTTGCCTGTTTCTGTCTGCGTTGTGTCTTGTTTGGATTTGTCTGTGGTTCCCTGTCGTTAGTTTCCCTGGTGTGTCTGATTACCCAATTGTGTTCACCTGTGGCCCCTGTGTTTTCTCCTCCCTCCTCACCTGTGTCTTGTTTGTGTGATTAGTCTTGTGTGTATTTAAGTTCTGGTTTTTCTGTCTGTCTTTGTCGGTTTGTCTTTTGTTGTTGACTGTGGTCACCGGTGAGTGTTCTGTCTGTCCAAGTTCTATTAAAAGTATATCAGTTTAATCTGCATTTGGGTCCTGCTTCCTTCGCTCTACCGTGACACAAAGAGCCCATCAGCGAACCCCGCCCTCTGATTCAACATCCTGTGAGAAAAGCAACAATATTGAATTTGTTCATATTTAAATCTGCACATTTTGCTAGATAAAAAGCAACTTCTTTATATTTATTTTACAAATGTGTACTTCAGGATGTTGTTGCACATGCTGGGATTGTGTTGCAGGGGACTTTGCCTCTTTGCGTCGATGGGATCTGGATACATTGCCACCTCCGGCTCAACAACAGTTTTACACTCGAAAGTCATGATTCAAAACAGGTACAGGCAGAAACCCAGGAGCCAGCTGCTCCTTGACCTAAATCTGCCTTGCTACTGTAGCCTGATGTGCACATTGAGTGTCTCTGTGCGTCTTTGTGTCTGTGTATGGTTGGTTGTCAATTTGAATGCCACAGGTATTTGAAGGAGGGGGTGTAAGACTGAAATGGTGCTTTCTGGCGATTACATCTGCACCTCCATACAAGCATCGTGAGTTAGTGGATGACATGTGCCGACACATCAAAGGTACGCTGCTATTAAATGTATAATATGTAACATTAAAACCAACCAGACTTTTGAAAGCGAGAGAAATTCAATGTATTAAAATATATTTAAATGGCTCGTTTCATCTGGTTGCTTGGCATGCACATGCTAAAATATGCAGCCAGAAGTTTTTTATATTTATATCTAGTCTTAGGGAAAAAACAATATGATACACTTTAGATGTTGGTTGTCTTTAACTTTATATTTGAAATTGATGAAGAAGTTTAGGCTTGGAATTACTGGATCTTAGGATGTTGGAGGAACAAGCTGAGAAAAACGTCAGCAGTTAGCCCTCAGCTCCCACATCCTATCTGCAGAACAGCATTATTTTTCGGGTATTTTGCCTTTAATTGATAAAGCAGCTATACCTAGAAAGAGGGATTAACATGCAGCAATTGGCTGGAGTACGAAAACACTGATACTGAAACTGCTTTATTCAGTGTTTCTACCGTTTATAAGCAGTGGGTCAGTTTGTTTTGGAAAAGAGGAGACTCAATACAACTCCCTGTAAAATCCTCCAGAACAATAAACACTGACGTTTTCCAAAACTGTCCTCATAGATTGCAATGTGATGAAGACAACAATCCCCATGATCCAACGCTCCCTCACAACACCACTATACTCCATCTTTTGTTGTTTTAATTTGATAGGGGCAGAAAACGTCATATTGTGTGTTAAACTGCCTATAGGCAATCCGTATAATTGATGTATTTCTTCTACTTGACTCAAACAAAAGTGTTAATGTGTCTCACTGTCTGCACTTTTGCAAGCTTCAGGTAAATCAGGCAAAGAGCTGGCATGTTGGGTTTGTCCCACAGCATTTCCTGTCTTCATGCAGCACCCTTACAGAGCCTGGTCTGTCTGGCCACTGCATCCCACCAGGAACAGACACGCTGGGCCAACATGCTACGAGCTGCAGCACAACATCAGAGCCCCGGTACACTTCTCTAATTGCCGCTCCCAATCACAAGACAAAATGCCTTCAATGCCGTTTTTGAAGTCAATCTTTTCTTTTAATAATGTATTGTCTTGCCAGCACTTTGGTGTGAAGCTTCACCTGACACCAGGGCCTTCTTAGATGCTGTGTCATCTTTGAAGAGGCTTAGAGGAAACTGTCAGACCGAGGTACATCCAGTGGGTGATGGGGAAGAGGTGAGCAACCATCCATCGAGAAAAAGTAATCTTCTAAACCTTGTTGCCACCCATAAATACTCCTTCTCTCATTTGTTGTACATTTTAAGCCATCCATCTCGCTATTGTTTCACAAAAGGTTTGGTATTTTCTCCTGTTTATGTTGTATGATGTCCTGTATTAGTCTTTTGCTGTTTTCTGCTATATTTGACTGTTATCTGAGCCTGTTTTATATGCCATCTTTCCACCTCTCTTAGCCCTTCAGATTGTTGGTAAGCATTGTAATGGAAGAAGTGATCCCCTTCAAGCAGCAAGTATTTCCCCGTATTATTGCATCACAGCAGGAGGAGGAAAGCCTGGATTACTGTGAGTGAAAAGGACGAATAATACCCTGCATGATTTTCTTTGAAACTCCAGTTTATGTATTTATGCATGCCTTGTAGTTGCTGTCGGAGGTCTACAGGATGACAAAGCAACAGGTAAAAGCTGCTGCAGGACAACATCGCTCACATGATCACAGGTCAGTGTTTTTGGCTAAGTCAGAGGATGGAAAAGGAGACTTCAGCATCTTAAACCTTTTGCTGTTTCTCTTAGAGGTCATGTGTGAGCCGATGTTAAAGTCTCTCCAACACATGGTCATCCCAAAGCGCGACCGTACTCTGCAGGAAGTGGCCGCACCCACCTGGGATGGATTTGCTTCAACCTGGCAATACTTCCTGGAGACATGTGAGGACATGTTACGTTCCCTCCTGGACTAGGGGAACCAAAGGGAAGTAACAAAATATAAAATAACCGGGCGAGAGAAAAAAGGAGAAAACTGATTGCTGAAGCCACAAGGTGATGTTTAATAAGCAAAAAGTAAAGAGGGCTCACCAGCCAATTTGCAAAGTAAACTTAGGGTAAACTGTGAACAACTTTCTTATAAAAGAAAGTGACTAAAGTAAAACAATACGCACAGATACACTGGAGCACATCTCCTAATAATTAACAAAACACAGGTTAACTAGCAGGCCTCACACAGAGATAGAGACACCACACTACACATGCTGCACACATGCAGCCCAGAGGAGAAGGAGAGAGAGACTGCAGCCTTTCTCAGGTCCTTTATGGAGGCCCTGATTGGGGATTGGGAGCACCTGAGGGAGAGGCTGCACCTGGAGGGAGACAATCGGGGGAGAGAGACAAACACAACACGGCACATAACAGGTCCCATAGACCTGGATCAAAAGGCACATCATTGAAAAAGTTGCATCAGGCAAAACAATTATTGTAAAAGAAAATGTAAGAAGATTTTTGTGTACAGAGGATTACATTCATCAAATTCAGTGCTATCTTCCAAGCTACTGTAGTCATAGGGACCCACATTTGAAACGTAAGATCACAGACAAGTAACTTTTAACCTTTGATTTTTTTCTACGTCTCCATGTCCCTTCCGGGGCTCCATAGTTCTGGACATAACGTTGGTAGCTGAAGATTAAGTATTTTTCGAATAAAGTAACAACAGAAGAAGGATCGTTGATCAACATCTCCCTCAAGGGACAGGAGAAGTGTTTTCATAGTTTCATGTCTTTATTTGACTGGCAGCTATGCAATTGAGTAATTATGTGCTGGAATGTGAAGAGTTTTATGAGGCCCAGGGCGTAAAGAATTTTAATGGACGATTCCGTCATGTTGCTTTTTAAACATTAATAATTATAATCAAGAGTGATGTGTGAAAATACATGTGGAAACATTATCAAACATCCTACATAATCCTAGTTTGAAAAAAAAAAAAAGTGCGCACAAATCCAAGGCTTGTACAGAGCTACACTTTAATGTGAACTGTTACAACTAAACTGGCAGCTCTTTAGAAATACATTGCCCTTTAAAGTTCATGGAGGGTTTAATTCTTTCTGATGGCATTGCTAATAAGGTTTTTTCTGTATCACAGATCCTGATGCCTCTGTGTGGCCTTGGCCCAGACGCTGCCCGGATGTGGAAGTGCCTTGACGGGCTGGAGGGCATGTGTGGCTCCAGGAGACATGGGGTGTCCACAGTGGGGTCTGGAGGGCTTTGCTACTTAAAGCTCAGAAGGCTCTCTACAAAGTAAATCAAACATGTTTGTGTATCCAATTTAAAAACGAGTGGCATTTATAAAAAAAAAAGTACCCTTCTGTCTTTCACATCCCTCCTCTCTTTTTTCTCTTGCAGGTGGTTGACATGTATGCTGTGATGTTCATCGGTTGCTCTCTCGATATCAATGCTTCTTTCTAGACTCTTCCCAGATCACGGCAGTGTTGTGTAGGATCAGAGAGAGAGTAATAAAGGTGTGTAGCAGTAGGGAAACAGCTGCTTTTTTACGTCATTAAAACCAAATTCATGTCTCTGTCTGTCCCTGTCTCAGCACCTGGAAACAGAACTATTGGCTCTTCGATCTCAGTTGATTCTAGAGGCGATCCTGCAGATTACACTGCATGTGTTTACACGTGGTGTAGGTGAGCAGGTACATGTTTTTATATCTTCAGATGTGTATGATAATCTTTTGGTCTCCTTTTTGTCTTTCTCTTGACTATATGTATAGTATACTGAGTATACTGTATGCCATGGTGAGCATGCCTTTTACATCCACCCTGACATCGTCTTCCACTCCATCCTGAGAGAAAACCTGACCGCTTACATCCAATCAGTGATGAGGAACTTTTTATATACTGGATAAAAACAGTTGAGATGTCGATGACAGGATTACAACTGAATGTCCACCCCCCTTTGAAACTATTGCCATCTTTGATTGCAACACTTTGTCCCCCCTACAGTGATGAGGTGCTCCCTGCCACAGCAGCTCATGCCTCTCCCTGTCAGCTCCTGCTCTAGTTTATCTGAAACAGCACACAACAAGCTGCTGCCTCCTACTGACTGTATGCAGAACCTCTGCCACACCTCTGAAGGGTCCACCTCCGGATCTGAAACACTCACACCAAGCATTAACTCAGAAAATGCTGTAAATCACACGTCTTCACTGCTGGATGCCGGAGAATATATCTGTCTCACTGACTGAACCATGACAAATATACAACTTTAATGGAAAGGAAACAAATCAACAGCTTTGTAGTGAGATTTAAACCCACATTAAATCTACAGTACAATCTGCTTTATTCATTTAGCATGCACTTTCCCTTCAATTTGTAGTTAAATGTGTCAAGAGAGTCACTGAATCTCTGCCTTACTGCATTTGGCACACTTGACAGCAAGCTTCCAAAGAAGAAGTGAAAATTGAAAGAAAATACAATTGCTAAGAGATTTTTCAAGAGAACAGTACTTTTCATGAAACTTGTTGAAGAATTGTTGGGTCCACAAAAGACAAGGACTTATAAGGCCATTGTCCCTCCAGCCAAGTTTCAGAAAGTGACATTAAAAAAAAAGCGTCTTAAGACTCAATACTTAATATTGTCCACAATCATTATTCATCACAATTATGCAATGGGAAATTATTACAAGGAGATAATTAATCTGTGAAGGGATTTTGGAATTTAAATAAGAATAACTGACATGAGACTTTTAATGTGTGAATTGATTTAGTTAGCACTTGACTGTATGTCAGGGAAGTTATTTCAAATGTTTGTAGTAGGTTAAATTGACTTTGACTTTGATTTCGGATGTGTACTTTGTAGAAAGTCCCTCGGCACTCATCTGTCCTACGGCTGCAAACAGAGAACAATGTAAGATGTCCTGCACGAAGTCCCGGATGAGTTTATTTTATTGAAAATTAGTTTGTAGTTTGTTGCTTACCTAACCACGTGTGTCAGGCCTGCAGTACAGTATACACATGTACACGCCCATGCTGCTTCCTTTCTATTTCCTACAGCTGGATTTATTCTTAAAGGGGAGGACGTCCTATCACAGAGGGAAGCGTCTTTTTGGCCCACAGGGGGATATTTGTGCAACGTATAACTCAAAAACCTACCAGGATCTCATTGATTTGCTACACAAAGCTCAGAAATGTGGGCCTACGAGTTTATTTTGAGAACACCGAGTTCTCCTTGAACGAGTCCAGACCTGACCTTTAATTCAGCCAGCTCCTCCGCCATGTATCCAGTGTCGGCGCAACACAACAGCGGCAGCCTTAGCTTCCACATCCTCGGTGCCCTTCTCTGTCCGCTGCGCCTCTCGCGAGTTTATGTCCCCTGCCATGCCCCGGGCCACCTCACTGCTGCCCGCCCTGCTGTGCGTTCTCCTGCCTGGACCGAGCCGGGGGTATTTCCCCGAGGAGCGCTGGAGCCCCGAGTCTCCGCTCCTCGCCCCCCGGGTCGTCGTCGCGCTGGTCTGCCGCAACTCGGCGCACTCACTGCCGCTGTTCCTCGGAGCTCTGGAGCGCCTCAACTACCCGAAGGAACGCATTGCGCTGTGGTGAGTGTCATCGCTGTAAACACTGACAAATAAGTCTCATTGACACAATATGAGACTATATTATGGAAAACTTATATAAAGTATTTGAAAAAGTGTCAAAGTGTGTTTCAACACAGTGTGGTCTCATTGATGGAGCATCAGATACACGTCAAGCCAACGAAGGAGACTATAGAATAGATAGAAGGAAACTTTTGACCAGGTGGGGACGCTGTGTTATTATCAATAAGTGAGGAAAAGCAAAAGTGCTTTAGCTCCACACTACAGTATAATACACAATTAATTGGCGGTGAAATTAGTGAAAGTGCAGCATGAATACAGTCAGGGCTGGACTGGCCATCTGGCATACCGGGCATTTTCCCGGTGGGCCGACGTGCCTTTTGGGCCGACACGTCATTTTATTTTTATTTTATGAAGTCCCGGCCCATAAAACGGGTAGATTGGCCCTCTGTTTAAATGTTTTTAGTAATTGACACTTACGCCCTATTAGTGCTCGGTCACTGTTCGCTTTGTGAGAGGGTTTGAAGGTCTAATTTCTAATGATTGATAGTTACACATAGGCCTACTTGTGGTATGTATTAGTTTTGTTTGCCCCTGGTACGTAAAAAGGATAATAATAGCGTTTTTAAAAAAAAATTATACTGAGTTATTCTTCTTGTCAGGAACCGCTACTATTCGTTTGTTTTATGGATTTGGGCCGGTCTGGGTCTAAATGCCAGGGCCGATTTGCTGTCCCAGTCCAGCCCGTGTATTGTAGTGACTTGACCAGAGGCTCTCGGAGGGCTTGTTGTGCCAGCAGACTCGCCTGTAAAAAGTTCCATTCAGTCACAGACCGTCTCTCTCGTTGCCCCTCCGTTTCCCCCCTCCACCCACCCTCGCATTTTCATTCCACTCCCTCTTCTTCTTCCACACCTGCTTTTTACAGACTCGACACAGCAATCTGTGAATCTGCCTATTAAAAAGCCTCAGCAAATGTTACCTTCCTCATTCTCTTTCTGTCCCCCAGCCCCCATCCTAAATTATTCCTGGCTCGACTGCTCACTTCCTCTTGTCATTTTGATCTTGTGCCAGTAGATCAGTTCTTAAAGATTAACATAATCTTTTCATCAGCATTAAGTCCTGACCGGTTAGATACTATTTCTTTGGCCTCAAGGTAAACACCGGCAATGGCCTCAAGCAGAGTTGTGTTTAATGTGACTATGGATTAAAATGAAATTCAATCCCATGAATTGAATGTTTGATCCAACAGAGTCTCTCCTCTGAGATTGAATGCTGAAATGAACTTTTCAGCAGGAGCTAGAATGCGGGATCAAGTGTCTGTTTAAACAAAACTGGATGTTGAGCGCTTTCCCTTGTATCACAGCCAGAACATTCAGCCTGTGTGCCTGAGTCTGGCTCTGCCCATGTGGCAACTGGAGCCCAGTTTTCTGCATGGTTGCTTTAATCTACAACATATCTCTTCCCTCAGTGGAAGAACAGAGAAGCATCTAAAATGCAGCATGAAAGACATAAACTGTGCTGCGAGCCGGCCACCTGTCGATACCTGCAGTTATCAGCCTGACAGGTGAAGATGGAGTGCTTGGCAAGAGGCAAAAGAGAGACACACACGTACAGTCAGTGTGTGTGTTCTGCATGATGGATATTCTCTATTAATCTGCCATTTTCCATCCCTCTGCCTCTTTCTCTGCTATCGGTTTATGGCAGGCATGCAACCACATATATCCTCTCCATAAACCTTTTTTTATTAACTACCTCTGCTCATTCAAAACTTCACAGCAGTCTGAAATGGAAAGGTAGCGAGAGAGGAGGAAGATGGATTGTGGATTGTTGAGTTGGTCACATGTAGGTGCTGGACTCCACAGACAGATGGGAAACTAACAGTCGCAGCACGTCACTCAGTACATGACAGGACTGGGAGTAAATCAATTTCTCTCATATGTACACATTCTTTCCCCCATTCCTGCTTTCTCTGTGCCTCGGCCCCTTGCTGACACAAACTTTGATTTGTTATGATAACAGAGACAGCCGACGAATGGCGCTGTACCGCTCCACAGCCCCTATTGTCTGTCTGCGATCTCCTTTCTCCCGCTTGACGTTGGTGATGTGCATCTCTGCTGTAATGATGGCTAGACAAAAGATGGATAGTAAATCAATATTTTATCATTGTAATATCTTCCAGAATTTAGAGATATATCTTAAATGTACTTTTTCCATATTGCTTTAAGGTGCATTCATTTGTATTCTTATGTGAATGGTTTTATAAAAGGGGCGACTTTGGCTTTGGGGTTTTCTACCAATCAGAAGGTCAGTGATTTGATCCCCAGAACCTGCACTCAAAGTGTCCTGGAGAAACTTAAAGGGGCCATATTATGCTTTTTTTTAGGTTTTCCTTTTCCTGCAATCTGTTATAGGTTTTTGTGCATGTAAATGGTCTGCAAAGGCTGAAATCCCAAAGTTTATCTCCCACCGCCCCCAACAGCGCCGGCCAGCTAACCAATCAGAGCAGACTGGGCTCTGGTTTCAGACAGAGGGTGAAAATAGGTGCTGCAGCACAGGCAGTATAAGAAAAAAAGACTTTTGGAACAGTAATAATATAAACATATCACATTAGAGGCACACCACACATTACAATTATGAGACCTGAAAAGGACCATAAATGGGACCGTTTAACCCCAAATTGCACCCGTAGGCATGTCTATGGTTTAGAAGTGTACGTTAGTGGCTTTGAATTAGAATCGTAATTACATTACGGGTGAATGTTCTTTTTATCTTCTTTAACTATGTTTATGTATGCACCATGACCATGTACACCAAGGAAAATTACGCCTATGTGTTAACCTACAGTACTTGGCAATAAACCTGTTTCTGATTCTGATAAATGGTTAGACTGATTTCCATTTCACGTGCTGCCCCCAAATAGCCCAAAACATGATTTCCTTGCAGCTTTATTGTCTATCAATCAATCAATCAATGTTTATTTATATAGCCCAATATCACAAATGTTACATTTGTCTCAGTGGACTTTACAGTTTGTACAAAATATCAGTATGACAATACGACACCCTCTGTCCTTAGACCCTCACATCGTACAAGGAAAAACTTCCGAAGAAAACCCACAGTTTAAAGGGAAAAATGGGAGAAACCTCAGGGAGAGCAACAGAGGAGGGATCCCTCTCCCAGGACGGACAGACGTATAATAGATGCCGTGTGTAAATTGAAAAGATAATACATTTGCAACATAGGTAGTCCAAATGTTTGGAAATGCATGTGTGTATAATAGGAAGATGAATCCACGAGGATATCCATCCAGGACCTATGATCCAGAACCACAGCCACGACTCAAGATCCAGGGCTCGCGATCCAGGACAGAGGAGCGCAGGATCATCCATGACTCCGGATCCCGGCATATATAGACACCAAAAAGAAAGACATTTGGGGAAGCTGGGTTAATCGGAACATGAGAGTACACAGGTATAGATAGAGAGAAGGAAGAAGTAAGATGTCCCCCGACAAACTAAGCCTATATCAGCAAAACTAGGGGCTGAATCTAATCAGCCCTAACTATAAGCTTTATCAAAAAGGAAGGTCTTAAGCGCACTCTTAAAAACCGATAGGGTGTCTGCTGCCCGAACACAAACTGGAAGCTGATTCCACAAATGTGGAGCTTGATAAGAAAAGGCTCTGGCTCCCATTGTACTTTTAGAGACTCTAGGAACAACCAACAACCCTGCATTCTTGGAACGCAATGCCTTAGTAGGACAGTAGGGTATAATGAGTTCTTTAAGGTAAGATGGCGCCTGCCCATTAAGGGCTTTGTAGGCGAGAAGAAGAATTTTCAATTATATCCTGTGTTCTATAGGGAGCCAGTGTAAGGCAGCCAGAACAGGAGTAATGTGGTCCCTTTTCCTAACTCTGGTTAGTACACGAGCTGCAGCATTTTGAATCAGCTGAAGCTTGACTGACTTCTTGGTACACCCTGATAATAAAGAGTTACAATAATCCAGCCTTGAAGTAACAAATGCATGGACTAGTTTCTCTGCATCGTTTTGAGGCAAGATATGCCTGATTTTTGCAATGTTACGTAGATGGAAGTAGGCGGTCCTTGAAATTGATTTTATGTGGGCGTTAAAGGATAAATCCTGATCAAATATAACACCAAGATTCCTTACAGTCTCACTGGAAGCCAAATGAATGCCATCCATAGTTAGTATATCTTTAGATAATTTGTTTCGTAGATTCTTCGGGCCAAGTACAATAACTTCAGTTTTGGTCGTGTTTAACATCAAAAAGTTTAAGGTCATCCACGTTTTTAAGTCCTTAAGGCAGTCTTGAATTTTATTTAGATGATTAATTTCATCAGGCTTGATTGATAAATATAGTTGAGTATCATCCGCATAACAATGAAAATGTACAGAATGATTCCTTATAATATTGCCTAACGGAAGCATATATAATGTGAACAAAATAGGTCCGAGCACTGAGCCCTGTGGCACTCCATGGCTAACTTTGGTTTGCGTGGAAGATTCATCATTGACACATAAAAACTGAGAGCGTTCAGATAGATAGGACCTAAAGCCTAAAGCAGTTCCCTGTATGCCATCTAAGTGCTCTAGTCTTTGCAATAAGATATCATGGTCGATAGTATCAAATGCAGCACTGAGATCGAGCAAAACAAGAATAGAGACACGTCCCTTGTCAGAGGCTATTAGAATGTCATTTGTGACTTTAACCAGAGCTGTCTCTGTGCTATGATGTGTTCTAAAGCCAGACTGAAAATCTTCAAATAAATCATTGTTTTTTTAAGTAATCACACAACTGTTTTGCGACCGCTTTCTCAAGAATTTTTTGAGAGGAACGGAAGATTGGAAATAGGTCTATAATTGGCTAAAACCTCTGGATCGAGGTTGTGCTTTTTAAGAAGCGGTTTTATCACTGCTACTTTGAATGATTGTGGAAACATAGCCTGATAATAAAGACATATTCATAATATTTAATAAATAAGTGCTAATTAATGGAAAAACTTCCTTCAACAGCTTAGTTGGAATTGGGTCTAACATGCACGTTGATGGTTTAGAAGAGAGAATCATTGAATTTAATTGTTCAAGGTTTATGGCTGAAAAGCATTCTAGTTTACTATCTAGTGTAATATTAGAACTTACGTTTCCGGGAGCTGTTGATAACACTATACTGGTCAAAGGCAAGAGGTCATTAATTTTGTTTCTAAGAGTAACAATTTTATCGTTAAAAAAGCACATAAAATCATTACTACTGAGTGCTATGGGAATAGAAGGCTCAATCGAGCTATGGCTCTCTGTCAGCCTGGCTACAGTGCTGAAAAGAAATCTTGCATTATTCTTATTCTCATCTATTAATGAAGAGTAGTAGGCTGCTCTCGCTTTACGCAGTGCTTTCTTATATTCATTGAGAGTAATATGCCAAATTAAACGAGATTCTTCAAGTTTAGTGGAACGCCATAACCCGCAAAATAAAGCAAAAGTCGAGACAACTTCAAAGGTGAAGTTGTCTCGACTTTTGCTTTATTTTGCGGGTTTCGGCATTATGCCATGGAGCTAATCTATGTTGTTTTATTTTCTTCTTTTTCAATCATTCTAGTCATACACATCACTAGAATGATTTTTTAAAGTTAGCCTATCATCCATCCTTACTATGGCATTTTCCACTTGATTGACGTACAGGTAAGCTAGTCTGAGATCTCATATTTTCTAACACGCAGTTCACCACGCATGCTGCAAATCACAGACAAGCTGATTACCTAGTTAGCCTTCCAATGTATATAAAAATATCCCAAAAATGTACTGAGTTGTATTGTGCCATACGGGTTCATGTATTGTGCCATACGGGTTCATGTATTGTGCCATACGGGTTCATGTATTGTGCCATACGGGTTCATGTTTCATGGGTTCAGTTATGAGGGGGCCTCACCTCATCATCTGAAGCGCAAATGCGGCGCACTATGATGCGCTTATGCGGAGCAATTAGTGTAAGCGCGCCACAGCTTATCCACCCCCCCCGGCTTGCGACAGAGATTGGGCAACGGCGGCCCTGTAGGTAGATCATTTGGACTTGGTCATTTTAAAAGTAGCTCCCAAGCTGAAAAAGTGTGGGCACCCCTGCCTTAGTGTATGCAACTGATTGTGATCTTTTGTCTATATGTAAGGTAACATTAGCATATAACGGCACATCACTTCATGCTGTTAGAAAAAGCATTATTTATGTGGATGCGTTAGCTGACTGCAAGAAATGTAAGAAGCAAACAAGAAAAACAAAGGACCTCCTGCTGTGCAAATGCTATTGAGTGACAGAATAATAACTGCTGGCAAATATTTATGAACAAGTCATTATTGTGCACAGGGATGGCTGTGGTGCATTGCAACCGAATAAAGGTGGAATCACTGAATTAAAAAAAAGCAGTTTTCAGGAGCAGGCGCGGTGTAATATTGTCGGGACCAATTATGTTACAGTGATTCACATCTGTGCATCCCTAAAACCCCTGATATAAGCCCCTCGAGGGAGATTTGTGATATTGGACAAGGTAAATAACATTTATTTGACTGTATTATTGTTGGAGTATAACATTCAACACTGTCACTGAATAATTTATCCATAGATTTACCCCTTAGCTCAAGTAACACTGGATCAATTTAAAGAGTAACCTACATGGGGTGGTACAGGTACTGCAAGGTACTCTCACATTTAAAGGAGTTCTTATAAGCATAGAAAAAAAGTTTAAATCACAAAACCCCCAGAAAATGTAGGTTCATTAAGCAAAGATATAATAGAATACAGAAATGTGTGGACAGATCTGTGCAACAGTACAACATTGTTAAAAAATATAAACTAAAAGAGGGACGTTTGGCTTAGAATACAGAGGAAAACATGCGATTTTGCTCTTTCTTTAATAAATGTATTAAGAAATGTTCCCTTCTTACCCTCTCGCTCTCTCTTCCCACTCACCCCCCCTCCCCCCCAACTCCCCCGGCAGGGTGGCGACTGATCACAACACAGATAACACCACAGCCATCCTCAGAGGACTGGCTTGTGAAGGTGCAGAATGACTATCACTATGTGGAGTGGAGACCTGATGATGAAACCAGGTAGTGTGTGTGTGGTGTGTGTGTGTGTGTGTGTGTGTGTGTGTGTGTGTGTGTGTGTGTGTGGTGTGTGTGTGTGTGTGTGTGTGTGTGTGTGTGTGTGTGTGTGTGTGGTGTGTGTGTGTGTGGTGTGTGTGTGTGTGTGTGTGTGTGTTGTGTGTGTGTGTGTGTGTGTGTGTGTGTGTGTGTGTGTGTGTGTGTGTGTGTGTGTGTGTGTGTGTGTGTGTGTGTGTGTCTCTCTGTGTGTGTGTGTGTGTGTGTGTGTGTGTGTCGTGCTTTACTAAATGGGTGTGTCTGTGCATGTCTCCCAGTGCCTTTGAAGACGAGGTGGGGCCTAAGCACTGGAATAATCTGCGTTACGAACACGTAATGAAGCTCCGTCAGGCCGCGCTGGAGACCGCCCGTGAAATCTGGGCCGACTACCTGCTGGTATGTTATCATCCACGCAGCAGCTTCAAAAGCCTCCTCTTATTATGCAGCTACTGTCGGGGATGTCTCTGATGGGTGGTAAATTAAGCTGATTCGTGGGACTTAAATCCATTGTCGAGTACACCTGATTACAGCTGTTAAAAGGGTTTGAATTTGAAAATGAGCAACGCTTGATCTTCCTCATATTAGAAGAATGGGAACTGCATTAAACAGACAAAACTGTAGATGTATTTATTGTTGGATTTGAGTTAGTCTAAAAATCTTTTGACGCTCTTTGTCACCATAAAGTGTTTCTTTGTGTTTTAAATTAGCCATTTTGTTACATCAGATTTCATTACTGATCTGGGTTGATGTAGCAAAGTAATTGAGAAGATGTAATGATGCTAGAGTTTAAATATTTGTTTGTCGTCAGTTTTATATATGAGAGTTAACTGTAAATATAGGAAGAAGCCTTAGCAATGTTGCTATGCATTTTTCTATGTGGGTTGATCTAGAGATTTGTCTTGTTTTTCCCTCCAGCTTAAATATTTCTCAAAAAGATCTGAATACCACCTGTATGTGCACTATGGAAACATTACGTGAAGATAACATTTTCCAATATCAGTTTAAGAGTGATCTCAGTTATAATTGGCTTTATTTAAACATATCATGGCTGAAGAAAATGTAGACTCAGAGCAGTCTTTATTTACAGCAGCTGGCGAGACACATCCCGGTGGACAAACACAAAGGTTAAATTATGAGTTTAGGCATTTTGAAATTACATTTTTCTCAAGACATGGTAAAACAAGTGCAGTCTGTCGGTTAGCATTGTTTAAGGTTCAGGGCTGTGAGTTATAATGAGTTGTTAGGAGGGATGCTGAGGCTCAATCAATCTTTTAGTGAGAGCAGGCGACACTTTGTCTGTGCTCGCATGATTATGTTTGTGTGGGATTCTCGTCAATATCGTGCCCTTCTCTCTTGTCTGCAGGTGGCTGACTGTGACAACCTGCTCACCAACACGGACATGTTATGGAAGCTGATGAGTGAGAACAAGACCATTGTAGCGCCCATGCTGGAGTCCAGAGCTGCATACTCCAACTTCTGGTGCGGCATGACTTCACAGGTACTGCAGATGATTAGTTGTTATGCTGTTTAACCACCTATAGAGCTGCTGGTATAGCTATTCCTCACAGTTCCTTCACATCAACTTCCTGTTTTTTGCAATACCACCTCCATGTGAAATTTACACTTTTGTACTGATAGGATTTCTATTATTGGATGCACAGTAACTTTGTATGTTCATGTACATCAGGGGTGCCCAACCTTTTTTGAACCGAGAGCTACTTTTAAAGTTGCCAGTCTGCCGAGATCTACCAAATAGAGAGGCGTAGCCATTACTGACAGCCTACTACCAGGTAAATACACACTTCTACTTGTATAAAACTGACCTTTGTACGATTAATACTCCATAAAATACTGCAGATCCTTTATCTTACCTCTTTCTAATCTACACACATACAAGTATTTAACTGAAGTTACACAACAGTGTTGTTGATACAGAGTTTGAGTTTATTCACACGTCACATACTACAGTGGGTAATGTTTAAGAAACATTGAACAGTGCTGCCACATATGACACAGGGAAAAAGAAAAGACTCTGAACCCTTTCTTTTCCATTATATAAAAATAGTGTTGCTACAAAAGTATACATTCGGCTTACTAATAAGACAACTCAGATCTGAAGCTACTCAGGAATCTGCTGCCAACGTGCAATAAAAAAGACAAAATTAATAGAATCAAACCATTTTTTTGTTGCATTTTAGTAGAATATAAAAATAAATGCCTTTAAAATAGGATGCAAGCAACTCTAGTTTCTTAACCTGAATTGATAATAGACTATAATCAATTTAAACAGAACAGATCTTAATGTTTGCATTCTTATACCATTTTGTACAATAATTATAATGAATAAGTTCAAACAAACTAAAACTTACAGCTGATTAATAACGGTATCTAACTTGAGTTTTTATTATATCAAAAACCTGTCCCCAAAAAGCGCGTCAGCAGCCTCCAGGAAAGCTTCTTTCACAACTTCGCCGTCTTTGAAAGACTTCATGTGTTTCGCTAGAACGTGACTGACACGATAAGATGCTCTGGTAGCAGCCTTGCTCTTGTTGTTGGGCCTGGTGAAAATGGACTGCTGTGCATTTAGCTGTGCTCTCAGGCCCCTCCCCTTTTGGAGCGTAGGAGGAGGGAGTTCCGTCTCGTAGCGTTTGTGCACTGTTTTGAAATGCCGCTCCTAAATTACCCTTCTTCGATAAAGCCACGCTCCCAATGCAGATGAGAGACAGATGGACTTTGAATTGGAATAGATACAAAAATAATCAACCTCCCACTCGGAGTGAAAATTATATATTTTGGGCTTTTTTGCTTCTGCCATAATTGCGGTCTTGTGTGTGTGCGGACTGTCACTCCTGTTGACACGGTCGGACAACAACGTCAGCAAAATAGTGCCCACTGCCCACCAGCCACGCCCCGACACATGGGGTCACGTCGGCCAATCACAAAGCTTTGATGCGTTCAAGTGCATTCTGGCACAGGAACATTATGTTACAGGACATTAACGATAAAACAGAATGTTGTTGTTCTATTTTTAGACACATCTCGCGATCGACTGGGAATCTCCTCGCGATCGACCGGTCGATCGCGATCGACTGGTTGGGCACCCCTGATGTACATCATAATGTTGCTTCTTATTTCCATTTTTCTTTACCATGTATGTGAACTTATTTCATTTTAATGTTCACATTTGTATTTTGTGCCTCTACTGTGACATGTTTACACGCTTTAATGTTCAATAACCTCTTTATTTTTCTCATACTGCCTGTGCTGCTGCACCTCTTTTCACCCTCTGTCTGAAACCAGAGCCCAGTCTGCTCTGATTGGTTGGTTGGCCGGTTCTGTTGTGATTGGTCAACTGCTTAGAGATGTCCCGTCCCTAAGCCTATCAAGTACAACGGGTTTGATCGCTAGCCCGTAGAAGCGCATGTGTTATGTTGTGATGTCACTATCCGAAATAAACAAAGGACAACAAAGGAGGCATTTCAGGCAGGGGGAGGGGGGGACTGTGTCGGAGTGAAACTCTACACGAAAAGGAAAACCCCAAAAAGCATAATCAATGTGTGATTGCCTTATATTTTGTGAGCCTATTCATTGTATTTGCCTTTTTTATCTGCACTCCCCCCTTTGCTGTAACATTCCCTGCTGTTGGACGAATAAAGGATTTCTGATTCTTACTAATTGTGTAATGATCTGGGTGTGGTATTAACACTTAACTATAATAAGAATATTTAAAATGGCAACAATAGAAATCAGAGAAAACCTTTAAATTGTTTAAGTTACCACACCCAACCAGATTCTTTCTAAGTCCTTGTATACAGATATACAAATATGCATGTCCTTAGACTAATGTTCTGCATGTTACTGTAGTATGGCCTCTTAACTCCAACACACACAAACCAAACCAACAGATTGTAGAGATTATACATAGAGTATAGCCTCTTCGAAACGTCTCCATAAAAACCTCTTATTTCTGCATCCCAGGTGAATGATGTACTCCCAAGTCTGCTATTAACTCTCTGATTGTGAATACAATTCCTTTTCATGCAATCGTGCCGAATAATAAAGCGCATCTCCTTCCACCTTCATAAAACATAAATCTAGAGAGAATTTACACTTTATTTCCTTTTTATATGCATGAGGAAATCAAATGTGTACAAACAAGTCACTTTAAAAACACTCTACATTAGTCAATGTAAAGGCTGAGTAGAGATGTTTCTGTTATTAAGTATTTCCCCTCAGATTTCCGAGCAGGAGTTGAATGCTCTGTAAATATATTTTGTAAATTAAAGTAAATAATTTGTCTCACAGGTGAAATTAAACTTTATCGTCCTGAAATAACATCATATTTAGCTAAAGGTTTGTGATATCAGGAGATAATAGGTTTGCTTCACAGACAACCCACACGGCTCATTATGTTTAATTTGTTCCTACTTCTCAGTCTCTTACTGCGGGCTCCACTCAGATATTGCTGTCTGTGCTGTTTTATAAGATTACTCAGAACTAAAGTCCATTGTGTCTTTTAATTCATGCATGCCTTAAATAAAAGTTACTTTAATAAAAAACATTGTCATATATTTTTTTAACATATCATTACAATTATGCGAACATGATTTTTTGACCCATCAAAGGTGCACATCTGATCTATCAGGCCTTACACACTGTATGTGCATGTCTTAAATACAGTTGTGTCTGTGATCTGTTGAGACAGGATGCCTTTAAGTACTCATCTTTGCTTCTTGTCAAATCAGAGCTGACACACAGACGTTTTCTTTCCTCCAGCAACCGACTCTCTGATTCCTGCAGGGGACTTTTTTCAAAAACACTTAATTGGCCGGTATCCTAAAGGCAATACGCATCAGTCTGTCAGAGACTCTTCCTATAAGTCAGTATTACTCATTCTCTGTCACTTATTATTACATATTTTTGTAATTTAGTAGTAAAGAATTGAGTTTCAGATATGTCTTAATCCTTTAAAGTGTCTTCTTTGTAGACTTTGGACAGCCAATTATCAGATCTCAGTGAAATATAAGTTCCTCATTATTCCACAGCTTTTTATTTCTCTAGGAAACAAATCAGAGTAACGAAAGTAGTGTTTAACCGTACGGTGTTTGTGTGCACTCTGCAGGGCTACTACAAGCGTACTCCAGCCTACATACCTATCCGTAAGCAGGAGCGTCGTGGCTGTTTCGCCGTGCCGATGGTTCACTCCACCTACCTGCTGGACCTGCAGAAAGAGGCCTCCCGGCAGCTGGCCTTTTATCCCCCACACCCCGAGTACAACTGGGCCCTGGATGATGTCATCGTCTTGGCCTACTCTGCTCGCATGGCAGGTGAGACAAACAGATGTCGATTTTCTTTATCTGCAGGGCTGATGAAAGTGTTTCTAGGCATATTTTGTTGCGTATTTGATTACGATAGTATTACAATATTTGTTAAATGCAGCATATGTGACCAAAAAAGTAAAAATCTGATGTAATTATTGTCGTGCTACAGTACGGTGGCTGAGAGGTGCAATCGACAATTACAAAGTGTGAAACACTTTAACAAAGCTTGAGACAAATTTACATTTTATAAAACAAATTTACATTAGAAAAACACTTTTACCAAAGAAAAAACGATTTAACATTAACAAAAACAAATTAACAAGATGCGAAACACTTTTACATTTCCCGAAACACTTTAACAAACTAGAGAATCAAACCGGAAAGGGAATGCCCATCATACCAGAAGTCACGTGCAAGTGATTGACACAAACTTAAGTTTGTTTTGGCGGATAGACCGCCGGTACCGATTGACCTTTATGGTCGTTAAACATGTTTTGTCCGTTCTGTGGAAACCACTTGGGCCAAGTGGTTTTGCTCATCACGATATACTTTCTCGTGCGCAAGAGATACGTTCTCCTGCACACGAGAAAGTTACAGGTTCTCCAAGTAGGAAGTGAAGTGGAGCTGTGCCTTTTACACACAGCCTACGCTGTGTTTACCTTCATTATACAGCTAAAGAGCGACTGCAGGCTGCTGCGTTATAGCCACACACACCTCTATACACACACACACACACACACACACACACACACACACACACACACACACACACACACACACACACACACACACACATACCTCTCCACACATCGAACTGCCCGATTATTACGCCTTATTATTCTATTTATGAAGGAGATGTCCTGTATTGTATATGAACTATGAATTATTGTACTCAGGACAGGAGTTTAACCAAGTATTACTCAAAAGTACAGAGTTAAAATACTTGAATGTACTTGTGGTTGTAGTCTGAGTCCAACAGTACCAATTTTATTAAGAACTTATGGCTAAAAATCATTTTATCCCTCGTAAAATATAGCATCAAACATGCATTATTTGACTCTTGTACTACAGTGCCGCTTCTCTGTCGATTACCGTAAAGGCGCGATTAATCGCGCACTCACAAATGAAGAGCTGCTGATTTGACCAAGCAAACGCGAGAGACAGCTGAGTTGACCGCAGTGCTCCACTGCACTCCGACTGCACTGAGCACTACATCGAGATTAAGATTAAACAAATGTATTTCATTTGGGAACACACACATTATACCTATGGAGTTGGCCAGATGTGTGTAAATTACTGTTCATGGTAATTTGAAAACAAATGCCGGTGTCGGACATTCACAAACACACCGAACACACACACAGAGCGAAACTGAGCACAGCACAAACACACACGTCATGCGCCTTGTGGACCGGACATCTCCTTCATAAAACGAGTAATAGGGGGAATAATCGGGCAGTTTGATGTGTGTAGAGGTGTGTGTGTGTGTGTGTGTGTGTGTGTGTGTGTGTGTGAGTGTGTGTGTGTGTGTAGAGGTGTGTGTGTAGAGGTATGTGTGTAGAGGTGTGTGTGTGTGTGTGTGTGTAGAGGTGTGTGTGGCTATAACGCAGCAGCCTGCAGTCGCTCTTTAGCTGTATAATGAAGGTAAACACAGCGTAGGCTGTGTGTAAAAGGCACAGCTCCACTTCTTACTTGGAGAACCTGTAACTTTCTCGTGTGCAGGAGAACGTATCTCTTGCGCACGAGAAAGTATATCGTGATGAGCAAAACCACTTGGCCCAAGTGGTTTCCACAGAACGGACAAAACATGTTTAACGACCATAAAGGTCCATCGGTACCGGCGGTCTATCCGCCAAAACAAACTTAAGTTTGTGTCAATCACTTGCACGTGACTTCTGGTATGATGGGCATTCCCTTTCCGGTTTTATTCTCTAGTTTGTTAAAGTGTTTCGGCAAATGTTAAAGTGTTTCGACACTTGTAAATGTGTCTCTAGCTTTGTAAAAGTGTTTCGCATCTTGTTAATTTGTTTTTGTTAATGTTAAATAGTTTTTTCTTTGGTAAAATTGTTTTTCTAATGTAATTTTGTTTTATAAAATGTAATTTTGTCTCAAGCTTTGTTAAAGTGTTTCACACTTTGTAATTGTCGATTGCACTTCTCAGCCACCGTACTACAGGGATGTTCTGACCTTCAATACTCATTCTTCTGTACAGATCTTCTGTACAGATCTTAACATCTAAACACACCATGATCATTCAAAAAGATTTTTCAATGATGCAAAAATCCTCCTTCCCTTTAATATTGTGACTGATATCTTAATTGCAGTATCAGTTAAACCTTTCCAAATTATTTGTTTCCAAATCGTTCAGCCCTTTTTGTAAGCATGATTTTCTTTTTTCCCTTCTCAGATGTGCAGATGTATGTCTGCAACAAAGAGGCTTATGGCTATTTCCCAGTGCCGATGCATTCCCATGGCACCCTGCAGGATGAGGAGGAGAGCTTCTTGCATACTCAGCTGGAGGTCATGGGTGAGTCGACCATGTTAAGGAGCCTTTAAAAAGACCAGACAGATTTATTTGTGTTGTACAGTTTCAGCAGAAGGGTGCCAGTCTGCTTGTCTCAGACTCTAGGCTGTTGTTGTGCTGCTCTGCAGGTTTTGCATTTATTTAATTTTCCCCAATTATTCTTTAGCTGAACTGAATCCCTTTTTTGCTGTAGTCATTATGTAAAAGAAAACCGGTTTTCTTTATATTGGGTTAGAGTTACAAACTTCAACCATAGTAGTGCAATGATGTATGCCTCTGCGTACAAACTACAAACTTAATTAGACAGTGTTTACTTTTGCTACACGACAAAATTGCTACTGCTACAATCTGTTTAAGACATTGGCAGTTAGCATAGAAAATAGAAAAAACAAGAGTCAAAAACAGAGGGCCCGAAATAGTGCCATTAAAGATGCATAGATAGAGTATCTGTGGAAATTGTCATACCAGTGTCTCTAAGAATAAATTCCATGTTACCAGAGTAAAGTACTACTGTAATTAAATATCATTTCTTGGTGCAGCGTCTCTCATTGTAGGAAACAATAGGACAGTCTTTGAAACAAATGAATACCAATAATGATGGATGGATATCCTCGTGGATTCATCTTCCTATTATACACACATGCATTTCCAAACATTTGGACTACCTATGTTGCAAATGTATTATCTTTTAAATTTACACACGGCATCTATTGCACGTCTGTCCGTCCTGGGAGAGGGATCCCTCCTCTGTTGCTCTCCCTGAGGTTTCTCCCATGTTTCCCTTTAAACTGTGGGTTTTCTCCGGAAGTTTTTCCTTGTACGATGTGAGGGTCTAAGGACAGAGGGTGTCGTATTGTCATACTGATATTCTGTACACACTGTGAAGTCCACTGAGACAAATGTAACATTTGTGATATTGGGATATATAAATAAACATTGATTGAATAATGATAAAAATAGTCCTCTTTATACACACACTCATCTATCCTGTTATATCAATGGTTCACTTGGGAAATCTCCTGGGGTTCCCTGAGCATCCCTGAACCAGATTTCGAAAAGCCCTGTTTCACCACATTTCTCATTCTCTTTGTAACCTTCTCCCCTTTTCTTCCTTTGAAAGTGAAAAACCCTCCCTTGGAGCCCTCCAGCTTCCTGTCTCTTCCTCCCAAGCAGCCTAACAAGATGGGCTTTGATGAGGTACACACACTCAATCTCACCAACACGTAGAAACACACAAATAACCCTAATCATGTGTGTGAGGCTTCTCCCTTTGTGTGCACCCAGGTGTTCATGATCAATCTGGTGAGGAGATCTGACCGTCGCGAGCGAATGCTAAGAACTCTGCACGAGCAGGAGATCAGCTGTAAGGTTGTTGCCGCTGTGGACGGCAAGTACGTTTCTCATCTCCTTCCTCCCCCACTGCCTGTGTGTTCTTGATTTGTGCCTCTGCAGCATGCAGTGTTGATTGATGTAGGAAAGCTGAGCAGAGACAAACAACCACGTAAAAAGTAGCAGATGTATGCTGCCAATTATATATCAACTCAACGACATCGTTTCAGCTCATATGAGTAAAATACAACTAATATGTGTGAAGGCTATCCAGTCACGGAGGTAGTGTCATATTTTACATATTTTATTGTGTTTGCCATCATCTTGATTTAAAATGGTTAGAATGAATATAAAGCAGCACATGCCTTGTGTTATATTATTGTATTGGCTATTCAAGTCTCTGCTTCCCATTCCAAACACACATCACACCCCTATAATTTATTGTTTATCTCTAATCTCTTTGTTTATCCCTTCTCTTTCCCTTAGAGTGCTGAACAAGACTGATATAGAGTCCATGAAGATTAAGATGCTGCCGGGTTACAAAGACCCTTATAATGGTCGGCCCCTCACCAAGGGGGAACTCGGTTGTTTTCTCTCTCATTATAACATCTGGAAGGAGGTGAGACAGGCCTCTGGGTCGACCTGTGCTTGGCAGATAATGTTTAATGCTGAAAAACACAGTAACTCAGTTTGTGGGAAGAGGCAGTGAGAGTGGTTTTATTTAGGTTTAAATCATAGACTGTATATATAAATGGACGTAGTGTCCGTGACGTCACCCATAGGATTCTGCAGAGTTGCCGAGAAGCCCTTAGTAGGCGGAGTCGGCCACTAACGGCTCGACTGTGACGTCAGAGTCTAACTCCCGCCGAGGCGGGACCTCCTGCCACCGAGCTGGAAGTTCCGAGCTAGCTGAGGCTAAGCTAACATGCTCAGCAGTGCTGTTCTGTGATGCTAGCCGGCTAATTACCTACATCTGTTGCTCCCGGTCTGCACATTTTACGTTGCTTAAGGTAAGTGAACATGAAACTATTCAGCAAAACTTTCAATAATAATCTAAGGTATTGAGTTTTGGGATATTACTTGCATACAAATCTTAAAATGCCTTCAGGTTTCTAAAATATATATTTTGTGGTAAATTCAACAGCAAAGATTCAAATATTTGCATGATTTTAGCCATTGATGTTTTGCTGTTACTTAATTATACTTTTAATAAATTCAAGTCAAGATTAGTTACATGTGATGGTAGCTAGTGAGTGCTCTTACATGTGTGCCTCCTCCACAACCAGACTGTATTACAACTCTTAAAGGTGGGGTATGTAATTTTGGAGAAACCAGCTCGAGTGCGCTAGAATTTGAAAATACACAACCGGAAAAAATCTGCCACTTCCTTACAGAGCCCCTCCTCCAACACACACGAGCGCGCACATGACCAATGAGGGCACGAGATAAGTTTGTGCACAGATGGAAGGCTGACAGGCAGGTAGGCCATCCAGTTACTTTAGCCGGGCCGGCTAAAATGATTGGTCGTGCTTTTTACAGCGCTACGGTTTCCACAGATGACATTTTTTTTAATGTATTTATTGTCAAAGCATTTAATATATTCATTGCTATCGGGATGTCAAGAGCATTCCATGGAATATAACAACAAGTGTTTCTGAAATAAATTACATACCCCACCTTTAAGTACCAGTTCTATCTACTTTACTTTAAACAATTAAAGGTGGGGTAGGTAAGTTTGAGAAACCGGCTCGAGATACACTTTTTGTTATATTCCATGGAATGCTCTTAACATCCCGATGTTGTCCTCCATTGGGAAATGCATCGATGACGTGGTACCGAAGGTTTCTGTACGAACATTCCCTAATCAAAAGCCCTGGATAAACAGCGAGGTGCGTACCAAGCTGAAAGCGCGCACTATCGCGCACAGAGCTGGAGATTTGGAGGAGTTCAGGAATTCTAGGTATGAACTCCGGAGAGCTATCAGCAGTGCAAAGAGACAGTACAAAGACAAAGTGGAATCTAACTTCAAAGACTGTAACACCCAGAACATGTGGGCGGGACTAAGAACAATGACAGACTACAAAGGAGCGGCGGGGGGGGTGCGGGAGTGTCTGCGTCTCTCCCAGATGAGCTGAACAGTTTTTTTGCTCTCTTCGAGAGCAGCCAGGCTGGGGGTGCAGAGAAGGATCAGGAGCCCTGCCCTTTTGTTTTAAACAGGGCAGATGTGTGTAAATTCTTTAAAAGGGTTAACCCACACAAGGCTCCTGGACCTGATGGCATCCCTGGCCGTGTTCTCAGGGTGTGTGCAGTTCAGCTGGCAGAGGTGTTCACAGACATCTTCAACAGGTCCCTGCTGCAGTCTGTAGTCCCCACATGCTTCAAACACTCCACCATCGTTCCTGTCTCCAAAAAAACAAAAATCACCAGCCTCAATGACTACCGCCCAGTAGCACTCACCTCCATCATAATGAAGTGCTTTGAGCGGTTAGTCAAATCATTCATCATCTCCTCCCTCCCTGACTCTCTGGACCCCCTGCAGTTTGCCTACAGACCAAACAGGTCCACAGATGACGCCATAGCCCTCACCATCCACACTGCCCTCTCACACCTGGACCAGAGGAACACATATGGGAGAATGCTGTTCATTGACTACAATTCAGCCTTCAATACCATTGTGCCTTCCAAGCTGGTCATCAAGCTCAGAGACCTCGGGCTCAACAGCGCCCTCTGTGACTGGATCCTGAACTTTCTGACGGGCAGACCCCAGGCAGTGCGGGTGGGAAACATCACATCATCCACTCTGATCCTCAACACCGGAGCCCCTCAAGGCTGCGTGCTCAGCCCTCTCCTCTACTCCCTGTTCACTCACGACTGCGTGGCCACACACAGCTCCAACACCATCGTGAAGTTTGCTAACGACACCACCGTCATCGGCAACATCACAGACGGCGACCAGACGGCGTACAGAGAGGAGGTCGAAAACCTGTCATCTTGGTGCCAGGATAACAACCTCCATCTCAACGTCAGCAAAACAAAGGAGCTGATTGTGGATTACAGGAAGCAGCCGAGAGAGGGACATGCCCCCATCGCCATCAATGGGACTACGGTGGAGAGAGTCAGCAGCTTCAGGTTCCTCGGTGTCCACATCACTGAGGACCTGACATGGACTCACACTACCACCATCACCAAAAAAGCTTGACAGCGGCTCTTCTTCCTCCGCAGGCTGAGGAGGTTCAATATGGACTCTAGGATACTCTGCAACTTCTACAGGTGCACCATAGAGAGTATCCTGACTGGCTGCATCACGGCCTGGTACGGCAGCTGTACCGCCCTCAATCATAAGGCTTTACAGAGGGTGGTGAAAACTGCAGAGAACATCACCAGGACGGAGCTGCCATCCATGGAGGACCTTTACTCCCAGCGGCTCAGGAAGAAATCCCTCCGGATTATAAAAGACCCCCGTTACCCCAGCCACAAACTGTTCTGTCTGCTGCCGTCTGGCAGGCGTTACTGCAGCATCCGGACTTAAACCACCAGATTCAGAGACAGTTTCATACCACACGCAATAAGACTGCTAAACACCTGAACTGTTGAAACAACATCCATAACATTAATCTGCTACTTAGTAATTATTAATCTATTTATCTAATATATCATTCCAATAACTTGCATATAGACTCTTAATTGCACTATTTCACTTTTTAAAACTATTTTTCTTTTGTATTTACTATATTATTATTTACTTGCACTATATTTTTCTGTTTATCTCTGTTATTGTGTTGCACTGTTGGAGAAGCCTGTGGCCTAAGAATTTCATCGGCATAACTACACTGTAGCTCGTATGACAAAATAAATAACCTTGAACCTATTACACACATGTTCCCCTCTCATATTCACAGTGTGGATCAATTGAGACAGCGTTGTGTCCAGGGAGCTGCAGAGACTTTGGGAGAAACCTCAGCGTGATGATGTCCTGTCTGTGGGTTTGGCTGGAGAAGACAGAGGTGGAGCGGTCTTTCTCTGGGAGGAGGACCAGGTCTGATGAAGAAACCACCAAACTACATCTGTGAGCCCATACTGGGCACAGCTGTCACAAACAAATTATGGTCCTGTTTGACTACACACTATTCAGTGTGCAGATCTTTGTGTTCACAATAAAAGTGTAGTTTCTCAGTGAATGTCTTGTATTGGTCTTTAATCTCATATCAGCTTTTCATTTTCTTCTTGCCCCTCGGAAAAAACGGTGAGGCAGTTGTGTCCTTCCCTAACATAAATGACAAGAAACATAAAACATGACATTATTGCAGAGTAAGTGTGTTATTTATGAAAGAGGTGCGTTAGAAGGCTGTAGAAATAAATACAAAATGTATTTGAATGTGTTTTTGAAATTCATCACTTTATACTCCAAAGATAATCAGATTATGAATTAACAGTCTGCAGTTAATCAACATTAAAATATATGTTATTATTAAAATAATATTCAACTGTTATCAGAACTTAGTGTAAATGTAGTATCATGCTGTTCGGTTGTCTCACTGCAAGAACCACTTTTACCACGTTTTTACAGATAATATGTAGAGACAAATGGTAGCTATTCTCACAAAGTAAAATAATAATTGCCTTAAATACATTGACATGTGAAAGCTGACAAAAAAATCATGTTGCTTGGTCAAATCTAAATGTAACTTTTTGCAAGGAAGGAACACTCAACTTCCCTAATGTCAGTATATTTAGTCATGTTTAATGGCATGTATATCAGTGTATTATAGTTGTTACTTTATTTAAACCAGAAGGTTTCTCCATTCTTTGTAAAGTATGAAAGGGGTCTTTGTACCTTTCATTCCATGCTGAAGTTCACTGATGTTAGGAATAGGTCTGTCTCTCATGGTCAGCATCCTCTGGTCAGTCTGCATCACCTGGAAACTTTAAACAAACAGATAGTAAAGTAACAATGTGTGGTCACAGACTTTTTTTACATGCCAATGTCATGTCCTAATCTTTTTGATTATCCTTAAAAAAAAGTGCTGGGTATCACAGCCCTTACTGTATCTTATCAGTTGGATTGTGTATTATTGTATAGTTGGGGTGCTTTTTCATTTTACTGTTACTTTGGAATAGTAAAATAAACTATTACGCAATTTTTCGCCCTTAAATACTTAAGTTACATGTGCACCTTCTGCTGCCACAATAAGTCGGTTTCTCCAGTGTAATGATAATAAAATGCTTAGTAAGTATTGGTAATAATATTAATAAAAACAACAAGGTTTGGGTTCATTCGTTTATTATGATGGTAACGTTAACCAGTAAGCTTCAATAATCAACTCCAGCTCAACAAACCATATCGCAATATCTATGTTAACGTTATTTCTGGAACCATCTGGAAATGTGAGATTCATATTTCTAAGATACACAGATCTTATAGTGAGGTTATTCTCATATACAGTACGCTGGTCTTCAACACTACTGTAACATTAGCTGTTTGCATCGTCGAGCATAGCAAATTTAAATCAACAATATCAATGCATACAGTTACCTAACTAGCAAACTAACTAATGTACGAGGATGACCTTATTTTACCAACCTCACCGAGAAGCCTTTTGTTCTACAGTATAATCCTTCTTAATGTTTTACACTTCTCTAATATGTTTGAACTTGTATGCTACGGTTAGCACAGATGTAGCTTCCTCTCGCTCGTTAGCTGAATAAAAAGACCAGTAAGAAATAAAGTGCTTGAATTTCACTTACCGAAGAAACTGCATTCAGGGACGGTCTATTTTAACCACAGAGCCATAAGATAAGTCCGATATTTAAATTAAGAATACTCCACCAGGCACCAACACAACAAACACATAAACGAGTTCAAGTTGTGTTCCCCGGGTCAGCCGAGCAGTTGAGCCCCTGTAGCATCCTGGAGCTCACTGAGCTAACAGAGCTACTAGCAGAGAGACAGAAAGCAAGAAGCAGCACTCACTGCAGAGACCTGTCACTCAAGGTGACCACGCCCTAATTTATGCAAAAACGTTAAGACCTAATATAACTAAAAGAGTTGCGTTATAAAACAGTTCACTCACCAATCCATAATCATGAAGGTGGAATCTAACTATATCCATAATAATTGTTATTGCATTCAGGGGTAGAAATATGTTTATTTCTGCTCCAAAGCTGGGCATTTTAACATGGGGGTCTATGGAAATTGCTCCTTTCTGCAGTCTTCCCCTATCGGCGAATAGATTAACTGCAGTTTGTGGCACTTCCTTATTGGCCTCCCTGCTCTGCCCCAGGGTCCTTCTCACTTCGGTTAAATGGATTCCTTGCATCTCTCACATCGTTTCCCTGTGACTAGTCCCTCCCACCAGGGAAGCATGGAGAGACGCAAGGAAACCACGAGAAGCAGGGAAATGAGTTTTAAGAGCAATGGGACGTCCTTTCCTCCGGGGCGTCACGTGAAGCGACGTCCGTTTGTGATGACTCTGCACAGCTGATCGTCTGACAGCAGCCAGCTCTATCCCCGTTATTTCCACACATACCCCCGCCTCTGTTAGTACACATTTACTGACACAAACATTTGTATCATCTGTTGTAGACCCAAATAAATAAAATAAGAACTTATTCTCAAAAAAGATAAACGCCATTCTTAAAATGTATAAACGAACATTAGTTGGATTAATATTGATAGAGTGCACAATAGAAATAAAATAATTGAGAGAAGAAAAAGCGATATGTTATCTATCAAAACCCAGTTAGATTAACATTCATTGGATTGCACACTTTGTTTGGATATGTAGCAAATTAACATTTTAATAGCACTTAATGACTGACTGAATGGAAATGACAATAAATGAAAATGTAAAACGAAAAAAGCGATCGTGAAAATGTTTCCAAAAAATGAATAAAATTATTTTTGACCACTTTGTTGTTCAGATATATCACATATTTGTAACTAAATGATACATTAATTGAAACAAAACACGGTATAAACTGAGGAGTGAGTCTCGTGAGTTTCATGTGTTTTTTTCACTCCGCCGGGAACTGCTCTCATGTCAAGAAGCATCAGATCAGTGCGTGCGCTGCATCGTCCAATCAGTGAGCGATACACAGTAAGGGGGCGGGGCGAGTGTCTGAGGATTTCATCGAAGGATGGTCTGGTGGTTCCTCGATTATAGCTCCTCCATTATCGCTCCTACTCAAGATGGCGCAGACAAATCAACTTCCGGTGAGGCCGAGACCGAGGAGCGAGGAAATGAAAAATAAGTGAAGTGAGAAAGTGCTCCAGAGTTTGCCACTTGGTTTCAATACCTCTATTGCTTTTTGTGAAACAAGGTTCTTCTACAGTAGTAACTTCTTTTTTTAAAGATCCTCGTCTTAATGTCAACTGTTGAGTGCAACCTCATAGTGGAAACATGTTTTTACCCGAGGAGGAGGAACTGTGTGGTCCAAAGTGGTAAAATCTGCTCACAAAGAATACTTACAATAAAACACACACTAATATTTAAAAGAGACCAAGCTCCAGCACGTCTCTCCTGGGAACGGAAATATCCGCAGATTACCTGGTTACCTCTTCTCCAAAACAACCTGTGATGAATAGGCCTACTGGGTATAACTTAAACAAAATAAAATTAGTTTCACAATTTAAAAAGTATAGTAAAAATATATAACATAAAAATTGTATTCTAAAAATGTTGCTTAAAACCGAATAAACAGTCATCAATATTGTGACAGCTTCTGGTAGGCAACCACGTTTCCCATGCGTTTTGGTTGGAAAAAGTTGGCGTAATGTAACAAAATATATAACATACTGTAGGCCTACGTCTGGAATGTGTTAAACAAAAGACTCCAGTATTTTAAAAAAACGATGTGTTTGCATGTATAACACGTATGTGTTTTTGTGTTTGTGTGTAGATCGTAGATCGTGGTCTGCACACCTCCCTGGTCATCGAGGACGACCTCCGCTTCGAGGTGTTCTTCAAGCGACGCCTCCAGACGCTGCTGCAGGAGCTGGCGACCTATAAACTGGACTGGGATCTCATGTGAGTGATGCAGAGCACGACGTAGTAAACAGAGAGGATTATCGAGTCGCTTCAGTGAAATCCGTCCATCTGTCATTCACACAACTCGCCTTATCACATTATGAGAACACTTGTGGGAATTGCGCATCGTATGCAATCACACTAATGAGATGCTCTAGACATTTCACATTCACAGAGCCTGATTTATGCTGTAGGATAGCAAGCCTGAAGACTGTATTATACAGTATACTGTATGTGCTATGATTTATTTATTTATTCCACACATGGCAGTTATTTTAAAACAAAGCATACACTTTACACAGATGCTTGTTGTAGCCCATGGTGGAAAGGAGCAGGGAGAAGAAAATCGTATTTAACCTGCCCCTACTTCAAAAATTCAATAACAAAATAATATATAACATCATAGACTGTTTTAGAGAAGTGGATGTCACCCTATGGTTTCTAGATTATGGTTTTGAAGCTTGGATTCTGGCGTTTTGGCCGTGGCCTTCATATGTTTGGAACCAAAAGGGTAGAGGGTGGAGCAGCTGGAGAGGAGTGAGGCCCGGTGTGGCCAGGTGCCGTTAACAAAGCAAATGCAATTCTTCCAGCAAATGCTAGCGCTAGCTAATCGAGATATTATTTGGGATGCTTATTTTAGCTAGCAAGAAAACGTGCCAAGCGAAAAAATGAACAGCTTTAATGTCTTTTATTACAACGAAACAAATAATCATACAAGACTTGAAACTACCATCAGAATCAGAATCAGAAACAGGTTTATTGCCAGGTAGGTTCACACATACGAGGAATTTGACTTGATGTCATGGTGCATACATAAAATATAATATATAAAAATAATATATATAAAAAGACATCTAATATAAAACTAAAAATCTTTAAGGACATAAACTTGTAGTTAACATTTTTTCTTAGTAGTTAGTAAATAAAGTAAAAGTACATATATATTTTTTATAGACCTTTAAACATTGCATTGACAGTCGGTATAGACAGAAACAAACCTTCATCAGTAGTTACAATACATTCAGCCAAAATAAAAAACTAAACTTTGGCACGGTGCTGTTCTTTGCTCATCACCTGACTGCATCAAATATGTTTAAATAAATTGATTGAAGTCTGTTTAAAATGCTGATGTAAGTTAGGTGCTTCTGATGTATACCACCCCTTTTATCTTTAACACTAAATACAGTTACATTGGGCGGAAGCGGATGCAGATTGACCACCAAGAGAAGCCTGTACCAAACATCCACAACCTGGTGGAGGCCGACTACTCCTACTGGACCCTCGGCTACCTGCTGTCCCTAAAGGGGGCCCAGAAGCTCCTCCTGGCCGAACCTCTGAACAATCTGCTTCCTGTCGATGAGTTCCTCCCTGTCATGTATGACAAACATCCAGTGTGAGTTAACCCACCATCCCTCTATCGTCTTTATCTGGAAAATACTGGATGTACTCTTCCAATATCAGAGTAGCACATGATAACAAAGGCCCAACTGTAGCTGCGTAGATGTCAGGATGTATGATTACCTAGAAGAGCATCAGGACACACTGTTTTAGGCATATGATAGCTATGTGACAACGACTAACATGATGATTCAGCCTCTATGGAGATATGACAAGCATGATCATTTCTGACGTGGGCCTTAGTTAATCTAAACTAAACATTGTATACTGCTTTGAACCGGTATCCATGCATCTTGTGACTGTGTAACACCCTCTCTTGTATATAAAGCATGTGAAGGACACTGCTCAGGAACTAGTTGTTCCATATGCTCTGTATGTGATGAGGATTCATAAATACATGTATCCTGTTATTGAAGCTCAAGCCAGTGACGCGTGATATTTTTCGAACAGTCTTCCTCTACCCGTCTCCTCTTTTTGATTCTGTCCTGTAACACTCTTCTTAATAAAATGTCCCGCTCCTCTCGCTCATCAGGTCAGAGTACATGGAGCGCTTTGAGAGCCGGGACCTGCGTGCATTTTCCGCAGAGCCGCTTCTGGTGTATCCAACGCATTACACAGGAGAAATGGGTTACATCAGCGACACGGAAACATCGGTGGTCTGGGACAACGAGACAGTCAGAACCGACTGGGACCGAGCCAGGTCGAGAAAAACTCAGGAGCAGGGGGAACTGAGCTCTGAGGCCCAAAACTCTGACGTACTGCAGTCTGAACTGGAAAACTGGAGCGCAAGGGACGAGCTGTGAGGAAGAGGAGGAGAGAAAACTCTGGCAAACAGAGATAAGGATGAGGGAAATAGAACAAAGCTGTGATCACTGGGGAAATGGATGAAATGGAGAGAATATAACAAAATAGAGAGGGGAAGGGGGAAAGGCAGAGTAGTCGAGCTCAGGGTGGGTGTGACATATGCTTTTCCCCATATATTCCTCTCTCCAATCTTTCTCCTAAGAATTGTGATGTAGTTGAAGAGTTAACTCTCGACGGGAAGCTTTTGTTTTATTTATTGCATCCAACGCATATCCTTTAACCACAACCTGGTCCAATGATAGTTCCATGTTTTGAATATAAAGTCCTACAGAGAAAATAAAAGAATACATTGGAATAAATACAGTATTAAACCCAACTCTTGATAGCTCTATATGACTTCAAGTCACATCAACTGCTGAAAGTAAATGTGAAAGCTTTGGGTTTTAAAAAAAGAGCCTCTAAAATACGAAAAAGTGATTTTTATCTGATTTTATACTAGGTTTTCAAGGCAGGAAACTGAATCACTAAAATGTTGCCTTTTCTAAACGGTGTAATACTGTAAGTGGTTGAAAAGAAGCAATGTTTATTTGCAATCGATTATCACCAGTTGTATATTTCTACTGGCTGTGATAAAGTGTCCCCAAAGAGCCGGGAACCACGGCATGTCTTCTTCTTCTACGTCTTGTGACTCCTAACACCCTGCTCTTCTTCAGTTTAGCTCGAGTGTTATTTAAATACGTTTTCTAAGTTTGCTACTTGTATATCTATCAGTGTTTTCCTTTATGTGCTATCAATCCTTTTCACACTTTGCCAGTAAGCTTTCATGTTTCATTGTTTTCCCGTCAGTTCAAACTTTTAGCTTTTGTATCTTTTTGTTTGCAGACGATCAGAAGAACAAATGAATATAGATCTTTAGTAACTTTTCTTGTTTGTGTGCTCCTCTATGGTTTCACAGTGTGTCTTTTTTAACAAAAGAGTGAATAAAGACTTTTTTTAATGATTGGTTGTGTTGTTCTCTACTGAATTTAACTATAACTGAATTAAGTCTATTTGCAGTCCCTCGAGGCTCAGTTTGAAGTACAAAGAAGCTCTGACATTGTGGGTTTATTTCTAGCCAGTGGCTTAAACATCAAAATACACTGCACTGCTTTTTTTGTCACACAGAAGCTTTAATTCCAGCACAGACATAAACATCCCACAAGCCAGTGAGGTTTCTCTTCTAATTGGTGCTTGCTGATGTTGGCCTGCCCTGTCAGTTTGGGCTTCAGCAGGCCACCATTACTCCTCCTTCTTCACTGTGTGTATACAAATGATCCCTACTGTACTGGCTGCTGTACAATTTCATGTTATTGCATCACACACAACATATTTTGTATTTGAATTAAACACATAAAAGGTAAGCAAAAGTAAAACAAAATTGTTTTAGGCTTAAAATTACTATTGTGTTAGAAAAGTATTTTTAATGTATGCCCTGGCTCCGCCTCTGCACAGGTGTTCCCAACTCCACATAATCACGGGTATAAAAGAAAGGCTAGAGGAGAAGGATGTCTCTCTTTCTGACGCCGGAAGACACTCACGACTGAAGACCCCTATTTGTAGTTAGGCTTGAGCGATACAGTCTCTTTTGTCTTGACTTTTTTTAGCCTGGAGGACCTGGTAGTCCAGTTTTCATGGCTTCATTTATTACTTTGGGTTATACACCTGACTTTAGGGGGGCAAGTTCTGGGTCCTACGGCCCATGGTGTGGCTGGCTCAGGCTCCCTCCACCCTTTTGTTCTTTTTGGCCAGTGCTCCAGACCTTTTTCATTTTAGATTGGCTTGTTGAAAGAAGACGGCTCAATAAAAGTAAATGGTCGATGTTAAGTCTACTGGTTGTTGCGTCTATTTTCATGTTGCGGGTCTCAGCGTGAGCCACTACTGCCGTGTAGAAGCTGTGGCCGTAACATATGGGCCAGCTGGTGCCCGACCAATTCTGAAGAATCTTTCCCCATTCCCATGTAGCTAGCTCTGAAGAATAATCAACATGCTGCATAACAAGATAAAACAGGCAAAGCACTATAACACCTCTATCAGCTGACGCCAACAGGCAGGAATAGGGAGACAAAACACTGAGAGCACAGCAGCCCAAAGTTGCAGGCATGTGCTCATTGAGGGGAGTACAAACTGATAAACTGGGTCAAAGGTATATGGGCCTAGGAAAATATTTCCCCAAAAACCATCTTAGTGTTGATTAGTTATTACGCTTCGTCCTGAGAACATGATCAACAATGCCCCAAACATCATGGTTAAAAGGTTTAGCACTTGTTGTGTGTGTTTGCTCCTATGTTCGCAGAATTAGGTTAATCATGTATCGGTGTGAGCGTAACCATGAGTAGTGGCACTCGTCTGTGACTCAGACTAATCCTATTAGATCTCCCTCCCCCCACCTCTATATTTACCTCACCTCTCTGTGAGATTAACCCAGGTATTCTCTGCGAGTGCCTCTGCTGATCAATAGTCACTGTTCTGCAGTTGGACCTGCTGATGCTTACTCCAACCAGCTATTGACTTTCTCAGTTTATTTTCCTTAAAGCTCCACATCCTGTCAAATCACCTTGAAAACAGTGAGACATAATCATTATAAAGCTCTGAGGGGGTAAATACGTGACATAGTGGTTAGTAAGAATTAAGGAGAGGTTTGAGCAGGTTAGAAGGCTTCAAATCTGTTTTCTTTCCACCATTTAACCTACACGCCAGTCTTCCCTTAGCAATCCAATTGTCTGTAACTTTATCCTTCCTCTGCTCCCTCCCTTCTTCTCTTAAGGTAATACGATTGCTGCTCTTGAGCTGGAGTTTTAAAGGCCCACAGTGCAAAAACACAGCCATACACAAAGGAGCAACCTCTGCTCCTGATTTACAGCACGACACACCTCCAGCTCTCTGTAATCTTCTTCGGTAGACGGCACAGTGCACGGTAAATAAATTACAGAGAGAGGCAGTGATAGGTGTCGCTAACATAACCAACTTCACATGATTTAAAGGAAGAAAGAAAACAAATCAAAGCATGGCTTGAGAGAGAGAAGTAACTGGATATATTTCTTTCCTTGAAGGAGTCGAGGAGTTTCAAGGTGAGGTAAATTACTCTTGGTACATACAGCTGACACAACTCTACACAGATCGATGGCCTATTACATTTGCAACTAGCAAAACAAGGTAGAGTTGCTTGTTTGTATCAGGGGCGATCGATCAGCTTCAAAAAGTGAGCAGGGTTATTATGAAATAACTTTTTTAAATGTTAGATTTAAGCTCCAACCCTTCAGAGTCTTCAAGTAAATCTTTCTTTTTCTTCTCAGGTGAAGTGCGATGCTGCTCAATTTCAAACATATTTCCCCTCCATCAGCCTTGGAAGTCTGAGTCCAGAGTGGTGGTCTCAAATAGATCTGGCACAGCTCAGAGCCAGAGCCAAATCTAATTTGTGAGGTTATCGCTGTCAATTCACAGCCGGCAGCGACGGCTGGGACAGTGAAATACAGGCTGGTCGAGGCAGATAAAGCACCTTTCTGAGATGTTAGGTCTGAACTTTATTTCTTTATATGAAAGGTATTTCTTATGAGGCTTTTTGTTCTGAGCCATAAGTCTTCTTTTGGAAAACACCATCGCATAAATGACCGATTCATCCTTGTCAGCTGATCCTGGCTGAGCTGTTGTGTAGTAAATTACTTTTGTAAACAAAAACTATGTAAGATTATAGACTGTATGTACAGGTCACTTGGGCCTGAGCTGTACCACTACAAGAGGACAGTCACCCAACATGTTTTTACCTTATTGATTATAAAAGTGATTACATTTTGGGACTTCTTTTTGCTTGGATGAGTGTTTTAATAGCTACAGATAACTTCATTTCAGAGTAATCCATTCACTATCATTATGGGAGGCCTGGATACAGATATAAAAAACAAAAACAGTCTGTTGATCAAATGTACTAGTGTTCAGATATTTTATTATCACATTAATAACTGCTCACATCTAGACCATTTAACATAATGTGCACAATTCAGTAGCTGTTTTTTGTTTATTTAACAATGTTTAATAATAGTTGTTCATACATTTTTTACTCTACTTTGCACTACTGTGTGGTTTTCACAGATATATGTCCTTGTTTAAGTATAGCAAAAAAGCTCTGCAATCAAATAATCCAAAACTGAACAGAAGTTCAGTGAGAAAATAAAGGGAGAACACATTTCTGAGGATCCATTTTCTAAATCTGATATAATCTTTTTGTATCCTGTTTTTAAGACTTGGGAATAGATAAGCAAAGGCCCTGCCAGAATAGTGCCTCTAAGTTTCTTAAATATGTGTGTTATAAAGAAATGTTAAGCTTTATAAAGTTAGTATGTTAGGGCAGAACAAACACCAAAACAGCGGCTAATCATTCCTCTAAGTGATGGACAGGAACAGGAAGTTGGAACCTTTGATTTGTCAAGCAACATTTAATCAACATGTGGATTTTTCTTTACTTCATGTGCTGCCACAGTTGATCAAATTTGATCCACCCACAGTCCTGCTGAAGCAAAGTACTGCATGGTGAAACTCTGAATATGTAACAGCGTTTTTTCTCCAAACTTTGATTCTTATTTTGTCTCCTTAAATCATGAATATGTAATGCATTGGGGTGTGCATTGCAGCATTAGTTAGTGCCTTCACAGTATGGGAAAAAAGTATCTCTCTGCTGCAGTACTATTGCTACTTTTCCTCTCAGTACATATAGCGGTGTGCTTCACACTCCTCTGTGGGATGTTGAAAGTCACTGTGAAATCCCTAGTTACTCCTGAGACTGCACTGAAAATCTCAGATGATCGAATAATGATCTCCAGTGTTAGACTACCTTTTTTTCCAGATAGAGTTGGCATGGAAACAGGCACTAAGCATGATTTATATCCCCAAATATTCAAATCTTATGTCACCGTTTCTTCTACACAGAACACCTGCACCATCTTTTCCATCATGGTGGACCTGTTCCTAAACCGAGTATTGGTCGAGAACAACACGGACCAGGATGAACTCAACACAGAGCGAGAGATTGTCGGGATCCTCGAAAACAGAATCCTAATGCTATTCTTCGCATCCTCCGAGTGTGAAAACTGCCAGGAGTTCCTCCCTGTAATGAATGACTTTTTGAAGAGACTCAAAGATCCAGCGTACATTGAATACCCCAAACTGCTTGCACTTGTCTACATCAGGTCTCTATCTTTACTTCTGTCTGTCTCTTTGATGACCCCATGTGTTTGCATGGACTCCCATTCACACTGTTTTATCTTTTATGTAATTTCCATTTCCATCTCCTCTCTCCAGCTTAGACAAATCTGAGGCGCAGCAGGAGAGATTCCTCAATAAGCTGCACAAAAAGGTTCTGTTCTTGGCCTTTGAGGATCCATACAGGAAGTAAGTGGAGAGAAAAGAGCGCCTCTGTAGTTTCAATTTTTCTGTATTTGTATGTTTAACATGTTAAAGTGTAGGTTTTCTAAAGTCAAATATTTGTATTACTTATACAAGTGCATTAAGGTAGCTGTGTGTGTTTTTCTCTTTGTCAGTGAGCTGAAGGCCATGTTTAAGGTGAAGAGCGTACCAACAGTCATGGTCCTTCGCCCTGATGGCTCCGTACTCTCTCCGAATGCTGTGCAGGACATTTGTAGTTACGGTACCGACTGTTTCAGAGACTGGCAGGAATCAGCGGAGGTCATTGAGAGGAGCTTCATGCTCAACGAGGATTTCGACAACCTAAATATGCACAGTGCCACTGACCCTGTGAGGAGACTCAAGTACAAGACAGAGGACGACAAGAGGAAAAAGAGATGGTGGAAGTTATGGGTGAAGGGCAAAGATGAAAACGAAGAGGAGGAGAAAGATGGAGCCTGGGATAGAAAGAGAAAAGATGGAGATAAAGGAATATGGAGAATAAGATGAAGAGAAAATACAAAGGAAAACACTTTTGCTTTTGTTCTCTTGCACATTTAAGTCCAGCCTCCTTAATCATTAATCCTTTGGTGACTGATACTGCAGTCTCTTAACAGGCTCATTAGGAGGACTCTTTAAAAATGCACACTGAAAACAGCTCCTCTGTTTTGTTGCAGGATGTATTAGCACAAAGGGTGAGTTCTCAGTCAGAGCGAATCCCAGGTTTCAAACAAAAACATAAATATACACAGTAATGGTCTTGCTCCTAATGGTCTTTATAAATGTCTACCTGTATATCATTTAACCCAGGAATCCCAAATGTAAGTACATTGTTTTTGAATTTCTGCCAAGTACCTCAAGTCATATCCCATACCTTTCAAGATGCACCATGCAGCAGTTTTTAGAAATTGACAAAAGAACAGCAAAGGGGGCATAGGCTGCCAAATCAATGTCCTATGTTGTATTCCAAAGCAAAGTTAAAATAAAGTGAATATTGGACTTACTTTTATCAGGTGACTAGGGACAGAACTTTAAAAAATGAATGATGATGTAGTTCCTTGTTTGCTGGTTGTGTAAAAAAGTAGCCTAAGTAGCCTACTCATTAGAAGTAGGGATCGACCGATATGGCTTTTTCAAGACCGATACCGATGATTAGTAATCAAGGAGACCGATAACCGATATTTGGAACCGATATACATTTGCAGTAAAATCAGAAAATATTGGTGTCAAAATGTAGAATAACACAAACTCCAACACAACTCAACACAACTTCTTTGAAATGCATTTAAGCATATATTATGTTTAATTAAGTTTTAAACATCTTACAACTGGTTTCCTCTCTGTGCCCTTTTCTTTAGTGCAGTCATCTGCAATGAGTTAGAGAGACAGACAAGAAGTGGGGCTGCAGGCTGACATGCTTAAAGGGATAGTGGAAATGGAACCTCAAATAGTTTCGTTTTAACTTATATACAAGCATAATTACGTACCAAAACAATCACACCTGATTAAAAATATATAATAATTGCCTTACGCATGTTAGAAGCACTTTATTGCAGCTTCCCCGAAGTTTTTTAGAAACGAAATGTTCGACTCAGCCAAACCGGAAGTGACGAAAACGTAGGAAGACGATACGATAACAAACCATGGCGTCTATGCAGAATGAACGTGGAAGGGCAAATATACCAGACAAAGAAGAAGGATTGTACGAGGTATCCAGTGATGATAGCGAGTCAGAAACATCCTCTCGGCTTTCCTACGAAAATGTCGTTTTAGGAACTAAATCTGAATCCGGTTCAGTAAGCGACGATGGTGACAATATTGAGCCAGACGATGGACCATTACGTCCTTATTTGTTCGAGCCCGAGCCCGAGGTGATGGTTCACGGCATGGGCAATGGCGAGGATGACCAGGACCAGGCGCCAGATGATGCACCCCTACGCACAAATAATCTTGACTGGTAGGTCCCTAAGCATAGCTCACGCATCTTAAGATCACCTGTAGCCTTTACAAATATTAATCATTGTTAACCAGTTAATCCCGAAGGTCCCCCCAGTGGACCCCTCCCACAGTTTTTTTTTCTCTCACATGTCTCAGGGCTTCTTAACATTTATGAAACTATTAATGTTTCATACCCTTTTAAAGGTAAGAAACTCCGCTAACTGACAATAAGAACAATTGTTAGCTAGAAAAAACACAAGAGTAATACCAAGCCTTTGAATTAGCATTGAGCGAAACAATGCTAACTAATGCTAACGCTTTTTTACATACAACACACGGTAGAAATGCCCTTATTACTATCTTAACTGCACAAACAAGATATACGATTTAAAGCTGAGACTCCACAGATTCCACACATGTAATGTCATCACTGTAAGACCTCGAATTCCTATAGCTATCAGCCAGAAAAGAGAAAGTAAACAACATCCGGTTCCAAAAATATTACAATAATTACGTCTTACCTTTTTTGAGTTGTGATCAAAAGTTGTGTTCAACGGAATAAAAACGCATCTCAAAGTTAATCCAATGTCGTTGTGTCACGTAGGATTTTTTACTGATAATCAATCATCATATTTATGGCAATATACTCGGTACCATAATAAAGGTCGGCTATTCACATGCAAATGCTATTGAATGTCCGCCATTGTTTGTGCCCGTCTTCCTATGCTCTCGTCATCACCCGAAGATTCCCGACGATTCCCGAAGTATTTCATTTCATTGAGAGGGCGCAGTAAAATTGAAAATAAAATGAAACTTGGCGCATGAAATTAAAAAAAATTGTTTATTATGCTTATTTTTAATAAAAATACATAAGTTAAACCCAAAATTCGCGGATTTCCACTATCCCTTTAACTAACAATAATGCTTAATTTATTATATCTGTCTATCTAGCATAAAATCCCAATAAGCTGCTAGCAACTGCAAAACACTAGTGCTAGCTAATGTTTTGCCAACTATTAAAAGTGAGGCTATTACAGTAGACCTAACGTTAGTCTAGTAGCCTCACTTCTAATATTTTGCTAAACATTTGCTAGATACATGTTGGCTAGCTAATGAGCTTCACATATCAACCTGAAAAACTGCGAGGCTCCACTCGCAGCCCCTCCCCCCCCCCCACCACAGTTACTCCGCTGCGAGACGCTGCACGCACCCCCAACTCTGACTGACTTCCCGCGTCCCTGTGTAACTGGGAAACTGATAGAATTGGATCATAAGAACGTGGTGTTTTTACAACTTCAGCATAGGGGATAGGGATGTTTATTGAACTTCGGTTTAACACATGTATGGCTCTGCCGCTCAACGCTGCTGCTTGCTTCAGTCTGTGTCTGCGTTCTTTCGCACCTGCCTGTAATCTGAGAAGGTCCCGCCTCTGGCTGGCTCCCGCCCGGAAAATCTTCAGTAATAGCCTATCAGATAGCGCTGTGGGCGGGACATTGCTCGTGTACACAGAGTGGTGACTGCAGCCAGAGAAACGGCCGCATCAGAGCCAAAGTTTTATCGGCAATTTGATTAAAAAAAAGGCCGATACCGATAATCGGTCGAATGCGGAATATCGGCCCTGATAATCGGCTTGGCCGCCCCGTAGTTTCAGAGCGCATCGAGTTTAAAATACCATCTACAAGCTGATGCTGACAGTCCCGCTCCTGCCGCCCGCTTGTGGCAGACCACACTTCCACGCTCACCGGCAGGCACCGACTGGCCATCTGGAGGACCGGGAGGGTGTGTGTATGTGTGGCCCGAGCGAGCGAGAGAGAGACCTTACGTGCATTGTTGTTGTTGTTAGCATCTGGTGCTAGCTAGCTGCGCTAACGGATATACGGAGCTGTTTAAATGAAAACAGAGGAGCGACATTTCGCCACAACTGCGCCGAGCACTTGACTTTATGCAGGAAGTCAGACAGTGGGACATTGTACGAAAAGTCAGCACACTCAGCACGGATAGTGCGCAACATGATTGCAGCGTCCAGGCAGCTCCCGTTCGAGCATATGCCTATGCCTTGAGTTACACATAGCTCCAACGATCACACACACACACACACACACACACACACACACCACACACACACACACACACACACACACACACACACACACACACACACACACACACAATTTGTATTGTATTATTGTATGAGAGAGGTTCCAGGTTGAATTGAGGCGAATATTTGTAATGTTCAGAGGTTGTTGTGTTTAATATTCATGAGGCTATTTGTCATTGTTCAAATGATAATAAACATTAGCATAAAGCATATTTGTCCACTCATATGTTGATAACAGTATTAAAAACTTGAAAAATATTCCTCTAAGGTACATTTAGAACAGATAAAAAATGTGCGATTAATTTGCGATTAATCGCGATTAACTATGGACAATCATGAGATTAAATATTTTAATCGACTGACAGCCCTAATTATTATTATTAAGAAGAACAACTTGGTGTGGAGGGGATGTAGGAAGCAGGAGCAGGTGGGGAGAGATGGGGCTTCAAGGTTCAAGGTTATTTGTTTTAAATGTGTCTTGGAGATAAGGACCAGCTGCACACAATAAAATACAGTATAACACAAAACCAATAAGACACACGGTGACACATGGCACACCAACAATCAATCATCGTCCAGCCTCAGCTTTGGTATTCTTTCACAACCATGTTATGGGTTTATTAGACTGAGCAAACATAAACATATGTGGGGAACATAGTGCTGCGTCTCATGGAACATGAAGATTTAATAAATACATAGTAGGTGGCGATATATGCTCCTAGTGGTAGCGATTCGCCATTAAACAAAGAAGAAGAAGAAACATCAGGGGGAAAGAGAGGGAGACACACAAGCACCCACTACGGCATGTAACACATGTGCACACACAGTTGGAGCTAATGCCCTTTGAAAAGGACTGTTTTTGTGAGCTTCTGTCTCATGCTGCCACTCTGTAAGCTCAGAGTAGTTATTTTTGCAATTTGATGCAGCCTTAGCTTAAAAAACAGGGACACAACTAATGTCAACAGCGTATGGTGGTGACTGTCAATGCCATACTGTGTGTCGACAATGTGCTCCCCGAGCAAAAACACATCCTCTGGACCTATCCTCTTCCGCACAATGTAGAGGACCTCTAGCAGTTTGATGGGCTGTGATCGTCTAGAACAGGGGTGGGGAACCTCCGGCCCCCGGGCCGTATACGGCCCGCGAGACCATTTGGTGTGGCCCTCGAGGTAATTTATAAACACACGCAAAAAAGAAAAAAATTAAAGAAATCTAGACCGCAAAATAATTAAACAAGTGAGTGCCTGTTTTTCCTGGCCAAGATCAGGGTCCTTGAACACAACACAAGCCTAACGTGTCATCACGTGGTATATGTCTCTGACAGGGGTGTAGTTCTGACGGGGAGCAGTGAGCACCAGAACGCAGCTCCGCTCCGGCAAAATTGCAGTACCCATAAGGAGCCGTACACATGCTGCAGTTTTTGCGTGGCTGTGTCTTAGTTGTAAACCCAGTGGCAATCTGTCATACTGATCATACAGTCAATAACTTTGTTGTTATTAGCATCTGGTTAGCTAGCTATGCTAACAAATATAAGAAGCTTTTTCCACAACCAGTGAGGTAAAGGCACATCTTTATATGATCATTATAGTTATAAAAAAATAAGAGAATAAAGTAAACGGGTATAAAATACTATATGACAGTAAAAAAAAGTTGTTATTAATAAACAAGAATACAGTTTGAAAGAAGAGTGATTTGTAAATTATCCATAAAGAAAAAGAAAATCTGCTTCATATGGGTGTTGAGAGATGTATCCATAGATCTAATGTTGCTCTCAAAGTGCACCAGATTGATGCTTTTAACTTCAACATTTACAAAAAAAATCTTCCCGGGGGAGCATGCCCCCCGGACCCCCCTAGAAGGGGTTAGGTCCCCCCCACTTAAATCATGTTCACATGGATAGGAAAGTAAATACATTTGCACACATCTTGTGTCCATATCTTTCTGTTTTGGTGGTCATGCCACAACCGTGCATGTGCATGCATGTGTGAGTCATGGTGAGATATCTGGATTAAGAGGTTGCTTTTTCTTTGCACAGAATGAAAGAAAGGTGAAATGAGTGGGCTGTGATTTTAGTATTTTTAAGCAGAGGTCAATAATTTGTACGGCCCTCGGAGGATGTTGAAAACATTGAAATGGCCCTTGAGAGGAAAAAGGTTCCCCACCCCTGGTCTAGAATCTGCTGATGCCTGGCGAATTACCCACTCTGCTGCCCTGACAACACTCACTGTGCCTTCAGACGGAATCACCAGGCCCCCATTGTTTCTTAAAGTCAGCAGGTGGTAGCTCTTGTCCTTACTGGCTGATGCAGCGTCCGTCACCAGGCTGGCACGGCAGACATCACAGGACAGCTTCTTGAAAGTCCGTCGCACAACAAATCCTGAAATTAGAGGTAGACTGATTAATAATAATTAATAAGCATGGGGAAATTAGAATTTGACAGTCTGTGAATACTTCTTTTTTTGGACTATTGTCCGATTAATCGCCCATCGTTTTCACCGCAGCTTTTGACTATTGGCACAATCGGTTATAAGCTAAATACATTATCAGTCGACCTCTACCTGAAATGTACACGTATGTATGTATGCATGTATGTATAGCCTACTTTAAGAATAAGACAACCACACTAAGAGTAATAAAAAAGGTGTCCAACACCATAACTGTACGTCCACACAGCAGCTTTTCAAAAATGAACTGCGGTCTGGTTCTCCCTGCTTACACGCGGTTTGATTGGCTAGCTAGCGCCAGCGCCATATAGACTGAGAGTTATGTCATCTCCGTTCACTCCAATGGACCACTTTTTTACAGCAATGGCGGATCGTGGAGCCTCTCACTCGTTCCCCGGAAGTTAGCGCCAAGGCTAGCAGAGCTGTAGAGTTGCAGCATAATAGACCGTTCGTGACGGACTTTTAAAGGTAAGAAGAAGTTTAAAGATTTATATTGCGGATATTATCAGTACATCTGATTCAAATTAACATGTGTATTAAAGGATGTCAGTGGATTATCCCTAAATCAGTAGATTTAGGGAACGTTTACAGATAACAGATCAAGCTAGGATACCGAAGCAAGTTAGCAACACACGTTGAACAGCCTTTTAATTGTAAATTCCGTTCTCTTAAGTCTATTTGGTCCAACGTTGTTGAATTAGAGAAGAGGGGCTTCTAAACGGGATTGTATGCGGGGGTGGAGGGAGTTAAATATAACTTTGGTGCGTGTAAGAGTGAGTGTTTTTAGCAGAGCCATATTGTGTCCTTGTGATTATGTTGATTATTACCTGTCTGTATAATGTTGCAGCTCAGCTGATTTTGGATTGATGGCAAAGGGAGAGGGACTTAAGTGAGAGTGAAAACACAAGGTAAGTTTAATACTACTGTTTTATATAAGTAAACACCTTATCTCCCCCAGGCAATTTCCCATCCAATAGGTGTGCTATATAGGTGTGTATAACCCTTTCTCCTGTCTGTTACTCCCTCTTTCAGCACAAGAACCAGAGGGGGATTCAATGGAGCCTGAATACCTGCACTGAGACCCTCATCCTGCACCCTGAGTCTCAACTCTCAGTGTTTTTCAAGCCTTTGCCTGTTTTTTTTTATTAAACAAAACATTAAGCTTTCCCAATGGTGTGGTTTTCGTTTTGTGAAAAAGTGCAAATGCAGTGTTTGTATATAATTACATCACATATTTTTTTGCTGTTGGTCGTGAAATTGCTCCTGCTGACTTGAGCCAGCCATTTTTTCCTACGCTCTGTGTCAGTGGGGAAGCCGTACATTCGTACTCCTTTCTCGGAGCGATTTGAGCATCCCCAGGCAGCACAGCAAACCATGGTGGCGACTAGGAGGCAGCACAGCAAACCAGGACAACACGGAGGAAAAGGCACCGACAAACTGCATGATATGCTATTCAATGTTTATTGAATCCCATGTATTTGCAATGGATGTTCCTAAAACAACACATTTAACATCATCACTTTGTGCCCTTTATTGTGTATTTGTATATATTGTATATCCTATATGCTAAGGTCCCGCTGACACAATAGCAGTCATTTAGTGCGCATATGTGTAATTAAACCCATGATATCAAAATCTCACTCCAGCCAGGTACCCAAAGTTGGCAACCCTGAGCTAGTGTGGTATGCCAACTCCATTTGGCAAAGACTGCAAATAACAATGCCTTTGCGTTTTGGACTAAATTTAAAGTATTCCCATGCTTTTGAAGACCGAGGGAGAGATGTTTTTGTTTGGGGGCTTTTTGCAGGGCTTCGTGCGCAATCCTGTGAGGAGGAGGTGGTAGCCGTTTCAGTCTCCATTGTGTTTGAAGTGCGATTGCGAACTGCTTGTTGCTTTGGGTGACCCACGTGTGTGTGGCGATGCGTCGACGAGGAAATCTGTCGTCGACGAGATTTTGAAGTCGACGATGTCGACGCGTCGCTACAGCACTAGTAAATACATACACATATCGATTTGTTGTATAAATATTGCAAATCAAAACCTTTATTCACTAAGGAGGAAATGCTGCCCCACAATGCATTGCAGCCGCAGCATTTGCCATCACAACAGTCGCCCGTTCACGGAAACAACCGATTATGACCGAGAAATTATATCATGAAAGTTACGGTGCTTATTAAGCATTTTAAAACGTATGTGGTAAGTGCTTTTTTCTGAACGTTCATCAGTATTATAATCAAAAAGAGAAATATGAACGTTAGTTTTTACTGAAATGATCAAATAAAGTCAACATCTCACAGTCTTTACTGAGCTGTGTGGGGTTTGTTCAACTTTTAAAAGATGTTTGAATGGTGATATACACAGTGATAGATGGTAAGGAGTCCTAAGGACTAACGTTTATAATAAATACATTTATGATTTTAAGATATTGTCATACAATCATACGTATTGGGATCATTTGTATTAATGTGGACCGGAGAGAGAGGGTGACGAGCATAAGTTTCACCTTCCTTTTTTATTTCAATTCCAACTTTGGTCATGAAGAATATGTTTCTCTGTTGTCCACGTTCATAAAGCATAAAGCAACAGCATCAGAGCACGGTGCAGAGTCTCTAGATGAGTTTACAGTAGTCCCTCGTTCTTATTAAACATCCATGTTGTAGTCCACTGTATAGAAAACTGTAGTTTCCATAGTTTCCCCACAGCAGCAGACGCACATTTATGACGTCCGCTGGCGCATCATAAACACGTCGGATAGTGAAAGTGCATTCGGATTCTCTAAAGTACTGCGGTCTCTTCTCCTAAATCCTTTTGAATTCTCCTATTTAACCCCGTGACGTTTCACTCAGAGGTCAAGGAATAGGAGATAGGGTTAGAATTTAGGAGCTGATTTTTGGATTATCGGAACGCAACCCCTGCTTCTCGTGGTTTCCTTGCGTCTCTCCATGCTTCCCTTGTGGGAGGGACTAAACGCGGGGAAACGACGCAAGTGAGGGACGCAAGGATTCCATTTAATCGACTTGAGAAGGACCCATGGTGATAAAAACGAGGATAGTTTAGCCTGTTGAATAATTTAGTTATGAGCAATATACTTTAGCGGAAACTGTAACGCGTGTTTCTTGCCATAATCTCAGGTGATAAGGGCGGAGTTATTGCGTGATTGTGTGTGTGCTAACTGCTAAACTAACGTCGTGAGCACAGCTGCTGCATCAAAGGACGCTTCTGCTGGCCGGAAATTAGCCTACTTTCGGTGTGGTTTTGGACGAGGACTTCACTTCCACTGCTTGACGGTTTAATCTGTCTGATCACGAACTGTTTCTACAGGACTGGCGTCCCTGTGAGCCAGACTCTCGGTGGCATACCTCTCCTGAAGATAAAGACTATCTCGGGCCTGCAACTTTTTTTATTTTGTTTTGTGGACACAGAGGTTAAGAGATCAGATATTGGCTAAAGGGAAATAATACAGAAATCTGAGGGGATTTGATTTCGGTCATAGTGTTTTTTATAAGCCAATTCAAATTTGCATTTGTTTTCAGGTAATAAGTTGATCAACACATTTTTGTACCGGTATTTTGTTTACTCCTCTTTTAACACCTAATTTTAAAGGGGTCTATTTTGTGTGTTGGAAACTAAGAGGGTAGGCTACGTACTATATGTACAGTGCAACAAAACAGTTTACCATCTATTATTCTATTTCCTTCCAAACACTTGTCTGGGGTCCGTTTTTTTAAGATAGAGCATAGTATACTTGATCTAACCAAAAATACCAAAAAGTAGTTTTTGGAACATTTCACAGATCTCATCCTAAGTGGTCGCCATCTTGGCTGAAGACAGGGGATCCCCATGTCTAATAATGTAGGCTATGGAAACCCAATTGGTTAATCTGGTAAACATTGGAATACACTTAAACTAGTCAAATGTTTCTTTAATTTACAGGAAGTGCACAACAGCTATGTTTGATTTGAGGCGACAGTACATTTTGGTAACCAGCCGCAAGTAAGTAGGCCTAGTGTTCACGGTGTATTTCGAATTTGAGACACTGCTAAAAACAAGTGTTTGCCTCATTAAAGCGTATTTTAGGTGCTGGTGCCTGATGTAAAAAAAGGAATTCAATACTTTGTAAAGCATTGTGTTTGCATTTGTTTTGTTATGTATGGCATGTCTCGAGCTTAATTTGATGTTGCTATAGTATATCTTTTGCTAAGTATAAGTTGTATTGTACTTCTAAAAACAATACACTCTATTCTGCTAGCACAAACGGTTTTGATGTCTCTGCTGTGCTTCATGGATTTATTGTGTATTTCCCTGTGGAGGAAATCAGACTATCTCCAACCACACTCTCCCTGTGGTTCTGCTCCTCCATTAGTTACTGGATAATAAAGGTCTCACTGGCTCTCACCTCATTAAGGCCTTTTTATTTTTTCAAGCACGACTCTCATTCTGTAATTTCTATGCTTTCCGGCTCAGTTGCTGCCTTCACACACAATCACAGTGAGCTTTTCATGTCACTTGTGCCTCTGTCACCTTGTCTTTCAATCCCTCCCTCCCAGACAGGGGAGGGGGGAGACAAAGGGAGAGGGAGTGAGCAGCTACTGCCGTCAAGGTGAAGGAGATGGAGTCAATGAGTGGACGAGATATAAACTGACAGGCTGGGAACAGATTCACATACGACACCAGGAGGAGTTGCAAAGAAAGAAAACACAATATATTGAAAGCTGTTTACTTTTTGGATTTGCGGCCTCAAGGGGAGATAATATTTGCGAGAGGTAAGCAACTGTGAGGATTATCCCATTTATCAGCAAGCAAGATGGGCTCATATGATTAACGGGCTGTTCATAATTCTGCCTGACTGGAAACATACGTCTTACTTATCAAATCATACTGTATGAAAGATAAGCCTTTGCAAATGGCAAAACCTTTTTCATATATTGTTGTTGAAGGAAGATTATAGTTATTAGTCTTTGCTTTACTTCACGTTTGGCACTGATATGCATGCCTGTGATAACCCTCACAACTATCTGTTTTCTTTCTTTCCCTTTTTCTTTTATACTATGTTGTGCTTTCCTTATGATTCTACTGTTAATCCATTGTGTATAAAAACATTTTATATATCTCCCCTGTGCTTTCCTTAGCCTCCGTCCTCATTCCTGTGAATATGGTGGACCTGTTTGTTGACCGGGTGCTGTTGAAGAACAACAAGGAGCAGGATGAGCTGGACACAGAGAGAGAGATCGTCATGCGCCTGCAGAACCGCATCCTGATGCTCTTCTTTGCATCTGCAGCATGTGAGAGATGCCAGCAGTTTACTCCCACGCTCAGCAACTTCTTCAAACGGTTGACGGATGAATTCTATGTCGACCGAGCTGCTCAGCTTGTTCTCGTGTACATAAGGTATAACACACACGGAGACACTTCAAACTTGCATTAGACTTGCAATGGACCACATTTATTCCCCAACACCTAAACCTAATCAGCTGCTCAACAACAGCCCTTAGGTGTCGACTCGAGTCACGTGACTTGGATTTGATCAAATTGGCTTAAACACCAATGACACGTGACGTTACTACACTTGGACTTGAGCCTTTCGACTTAAAACCGTCCCCCATATGGATTGAAACAAGTTATTTAAAAAGTGTACCCCGAAATAATTGCTTTCACTTCATTTCTTGAATCAACTAACATTCTATGTTAAGTGTCAACTTGCATTCCCAGCAAGTTGACACTTAATTTCGACAGCAATCAATCAAGATGCGGGACAGAACCACAAACTGATGTCACGTTACTGAGTGGCATTTGGCTGAAAATGATACCAAACATATCTGTTTTTACATACAAAAACTACATAATGGCCAAATAAAAAACTAAAGCAGTATGCAAAAGAGGCGAAACATCTGGTTAAGACTTTGGACTAGTTAGTCTTGACTTGAAGACTTCAGTGCAAAGACTTGAGACATAAAAGATAGTTACTTGGTCACTCCATGCCCGTTACCCAAATTCAATATGAACATTTTCTGTTTGCAGGTTCCGTGTACAAATATGCACCTGTATTCATGTGTTTTGTTAACATTGTACATATATATTTCTGTTTCGTCCCTTTGAAACAATAAGGATATATTCCTATTTTTGTGAGAACCGAATGTCCTCATAAGTCTAAACATTTGGATATGTGTCCTGACCTGGAATCTATCTCTTCATCCCAAACTCTCAACGTGCCCCTCCTTATTTTCCATTGTTCCTTTTCTTTTCAGTTTGGACCAGACGGAGGAAGCGCAAGAAAGCTTCCTGAAAGAGCTGCCCAAGAGGTGCCTGTTCCTGGCCTACGAGGACCCCTACAGGAGGTGCGTGGGTTTGGCCACTTGGTTGTGTGCACAACCTGCTGGTAAATGATTGTAATGTAAATATGCCTTGCTGTATAAATGATATGTATGCTAATGTATGTGTGTGTCCACAGAGAGCTGCAGGCCATGTTTAATGTGGAGGAGCTGCCCGCTGTGGTGGTGCTGCGCCCCGACTGCTCCATCCTCATCCCCAACGCAGCGGAGGAGATTCTCTGCCTCGGACCAGATTGCTACCGCAACTGGCAGGAGGCGGCGGAGATCATCGACAGGAACTTCCTGATCAACGAGGACTTTGAAGTGAAGTCCATGTGCAGCTGGAGTGACCCCATGAGGAGACTGAAGTACAGGGTGGAGGATGAGAAGAAGAAAAGCAAGAAAAAGCACCTTGACAGAGGGTGGGGTGGAGGTGGAGAAGAGGATGTGAATGGTAAGGATGGAGGAGGTTCACCATGGTGATGGAGACCAAGAACAAAAAGACAAGATTGGGGGTTTTGTTAAGTATTAATTAAAGGTTTTTTACTGACGCTGCCAACACAGTTTTGTTGAATCCAACAAAACCCTTTTCACAGCTCAATGTGAGAAAAATACTGACATTACTCATCTTAACCAAGAGGTAGAAACATCAAACCAAGGTCACTGACTGTTTCAGAGCTTATTAAATAAGATGAGAAATTGATTAGTCGATTGACAGAGAAATAAACCACCAGCTCTTTTAATAATCAAATAAGTGTGAGACACTTTTTATGCAGAAAACGTGGTGATCAGCCTCATACTGTAGGTTTGCTCTTTTTCATTCAAAATCCTTAATATCTTTGGGTTTTGGTCTGACAACCCATTTAAAGACATCACCTATGAGAAACTGAAATCGACATTTTACAGTAATTTTGGACATTTTATTGATGATTAATTGATTAACTTTTTTTTTTTTACATCCATACTAGATTTTGTTATCTAGTTCGGCGCCAAGGCTAGGTCTGAGCCAGGTCTTCCTGTTATAGCTTGTTTTTATAACACCCAGGAGATTATTATTGCGCTCTCCCCATTTTCACAACACAGCTCTGCAACATAATGCACTTTCTTATTGTCTTTGACATTATAATTTGTAGCAATCAATCAAAACACCATGTATTATCTGAAACAAATGAATTATTCAGAACCATTAAAAATAATTTTGTTAGTGACTGTTGTGCTTTGAGTGTTTATGAAGTGTAGCTCCACTTTACGTGCGGCACGAGAAGCAATCAGAGCCATTCAGAGGCAGTGGAGCGGAACTATGGAGCAATGGGCTTTTCTACATAATCACTGATTTCATTGGACATGTTTCATCCTCCTCCATGCTAAGGACTGTGTTTAGTCTTTGCACACTTCCTTGCACATTGTAAACTGCATAAATTATGTTTGTATCTGAACGGGCAAAAGATCCCCTGAGTGACCTGCGCCTTCAATATATGCTGCCATTACTCCTGGAATGCAAATAAAGAAATCAACGGTGCTTTTTCTTATTGAGTAGGCGTATAATGGCAGGAGGAGATGGGTTAAACGTGTTCCTGCAGAGACAGATGATGAAACCAGAATGCCATCAGGTGTCATCGAGGTGTTTCTGCCTGATTTGACATGTTTCATAAATGGCAGTGACATGATAATGTATTTCCTTAAGGACACCTGTTCTGTCAGTAGCAAAGCTCTTTCTATAAGTCTGCTCACTGGATGCACGCAGGCTGCGCACAATAGCTCCCCTTGCTACATGTTGTTGCCATATGGAAGATTGTAGATGCACGTACATATATCTAACACAGCGTCCTAAATAAACATGAGCATTTCAGTTTAGTCCATATTCCTCTCCTTTTGCCTACACAGCAGCTTATTGTTGCTCACTCAGACAAACCCCTGTTAATCTAGTCGAAGAAGCATCCTCTCACTGTCTCGCACACGCACACACAAACACACGTGCGCACACAAAGGCACACACACACGCGTTGCGCGCTCTCGAGTACAGAACGCGCAACAAGCGGACCAGCGGATGGAGAGAGAGAAGAAGAAGAGAGAAGGACGGATGCAAGGCGAGGCCAGGAGCTGAAAACCTCATATCTCCTATCCAGCTGTTGTCTTTTTTATTAATGATCACGGCACCATTTTCTAGCACGATTCCTGCCTATTGTTCTTTTTTTGTAAAGACGCCCAACATCCAACATCCCCGTCCTGATGTGCTGCTGCGCCTCATCACGATTCTTCAAGGATATGCAAAGCGGCTGTCATCGCGTCGACGTTATTCCCCATTAAATGCAAGGATGCAATATGATCAACGGTGACATACGACGACTGGGCTTGACGCGCGGTAGAAATCGACGGAGGGAGACTTGAGCAGCTCTGCGTGTTAATTTGCGCCTAATTATTGTTTTCGCGTATTTTTCTACTACTCCCCCCTCATCCAATCGGAGCTATAAGGCCCTAGCCGCACCGTCTCTGGGCATGAAACCCGTGGGAATTATGATACCAACGTGACGCACAGTCACACAGCACAGCGGGGAAGACATCGATCTTCAACAGGACGGAGAAAGGGAGGGAGGGAGGGTGTGAGGTCCAGCGGAGCCCCACACAGGACACTGATCCCAGGCCGAGGACGCCCAGTTGTTGTCGGACGCTAATGACTGCCGTATAGCCCAGCAGCAGGTATCGCCCATTTATTTCCCCCTCATTGAATATTTCAGTTTTTTCATGCATCGGGCAGAGAGGAGCGCGAGAAAGGGAGGAGAGTACAGTGGGTGCACGAGGGCGCGGAGAGACGGGATGCGGGAGACGCAGTGAGCGAGGAGGAGGAGGAGGAGGAGGAGGAGGAGGAGGAGGAGGAGGAGGAGGAGGAGGAGGAGGAGGAGGAGGAGGAGGAGGGAAACCGGAGGATTGACGGTAAGATATGGATTCATATAGGCTATGAGGATGCACGCCGCCCCTCATGTCTCTCTCTCTCTCTCACACACACACACACACACACACACACACACACACACACACACACACACACACACGCGCGTGCGCACACACACACACACATACACGCACACACACATGATCAATTCATGAGAAGACAGTGCTGTTGCTGCTGCTGTCAGAGGCCATTTGATCACAGAGGGACAGACAGGGATCTGATGCAGGCCCTGGTTGCCATTGAAGCTGGGTCAGTAAAGGAGTGTGAGGCATGATGGGTGATGTGAAATATTCATGGTCACGTGATTAGCCTCTCAGAGGAGTGCAGGGAGAAAGTGGCGTAATGACTCAGGTTGTCCCACAGTGAGGGGGTTTGTCACAAGTGGGCTGAATTATGTTCATAACACATGCACACATCATTCTCCTTCATTGCCGTGTCTAGTGCTGCATTGGAAAGTGGTGTACACACACACACACACACACACACACACACACACACACACACACACACACACACACACACACACACAACACACACACACACACACACCACACTCACACACGCACACACACACACACACACACACACACACACACACACACACACACACACACACACACACACACACAGGTTTGGTTTGAATGTTTGCTACTTTGGTTTGCTGATTCACCACAGATGGGAACATGAGGAGGGAAAGAGACAGAGAGAGTCCATTATCAATATTTCAGAGAGGGGATGAGGAAGAGAAAACAGATGCAGAGGAGAAAGGAGACAAGAAGAAAGCTTAAGGAGGCAAGGATGAGGATGAGAGGAGACAGAAACGTCTCAGTGGCTCTTCTGTCAGGCTGGATATCTGAGTTGTAGCCTTGAGTGTGTGTGTGTGTGTGTGTGTGTGTGTGTGTGTGTGTGTGTGTGTGTGTGTGTATATGTGTGTGTGTGTGTGTGTGTGTGTGTGTGTGTGTGTGTGTGTGTGTGTGTGTGTGTGTGTAGGATGATTTATTTGAACTGATTTATACGTAGAAATGCCAGAGGACTCACATTTTAATAAGGTGACTCCTAGTTGTGTGTGTGTGCTGTGCATGGTAGATGGGCACGAGAAAACAGGTAGGGAGGTTTGTATCCATGTAGAGATCATTTACATTACCCACTGAGGAGAAAAAAACATCCATTTGCTTAAACCACTCAGACACGCACACACACATCAGTCAGGAGGATTTGACTTGTAAAACACACTATTTGTGTCTTTTCTGGGCTGACCACCTCTCCCAGGTTCCCATCAGTCTCATTGCATCAGTCACACACACTATGCTGCGAGCGTGCACGCAGGCCTGTGGGCGGATATATGAGTCGAATATTAATATCGTGGAGATTAGACATCAGGATTTAAATTATTATAATGGTGTAAACTGATTATTTTAATTACTGATTAATCCTCAAAAATGACTTGGCTGAGTAACCAACAGTGAATAAATTAGGAAATAAATAGTGAACAAATGTTTAGGGGATGTCAAATTAAAACCATTATATATGACAGAAAATCCTATCAGAGAAAGGCAAATCATTGTTAAACTCAGTGAATTTTGACATTTTTGCTTTCTTTATTATTGAGATGAGTTATAATCAATTATCAAAATAGCGGCAAATTGAATTTCCGCCAATCGACTGATTGCTGTAATTTGCTTCAGGATTTATTGTTGTGTTTTCCTGGGATTGATGGTTCAGCAATACAATAATCTGATTTGTTAGACACTTTGTGGAAGGAAAATAAACAGTTATCAAGCATTGTAGGAATATTATGGTTTTTTCTCCAAACTTTTGTACAAATGTCCCTAAAAGCACAAATGTTCATATTTCTAAAACATAGTACTAGATTTATGTGATTTTATGATATTGGAATATACTGTGGGTTAGTATGTGTTTCTTAAAAAACACATTTAAGAGACAATTTGAGTAAAATAAAAGCAATCATTGTGCAACTACAAAGATTGGAAAACTATTGAATTTTCCTTTTTTAAATGTTTTAGTGCAACGTTTTGCATCCAAATTGGATTTCCTGCAGTCACAGACCATATATGTAATGAAATTACCTCAAACAAAAAAATCTGCTCAAACAATGGAGGTTAAATCTACTGCATATATTCAAGGGATTATGGAATAATCTCTGACGAGCGGCCAATTGCTGCCATCATCTCACTGTATAAATGGTCCTATAGCCGAAATAAAAGCTGCCTGATGCTCTTGCCTCTTTAAATTATTATAATGGTGTGATGGTGTAAGGCTCTGTCACGCACCTGCTCCGTCAATGATTTCAGAGAATGCACAAATATTTACATTATAGCCATGACTTTGTAAGATCGCAATCCTGTTATTTGTGAGGACTCATATTGTAGTTCCAGGTTATGCTGACAAACAAATCCTACTTAGTGCAAAAAGGCAGGACAGAGCATGCAGCACAACAGACTCAAGGTCGTAACCGCTCGAAATACTGTTCACGTTTGTTCTTTATTGAATGTTAACCTCAGTGAAAACATCCTCATGACTTACAATAACATCAGAGGCTCTCATACATTACCCTTTTGTGCTTTCTGTGACATTCAGACAGCACTAAACTATTCATTGTTTCTACGACTCAAGATGCATTTAACATTAGCAATACATTATGAATATTTAAGCAACCCCAAGACATTTGGTTCCCGTTCACTTTACATATTGGAATTAACATTTTCCAGGAAATACAACATCTTTCTGACCTTTACTGCAGAACTTCCCTGCTGTTTTATTGTGAAAACTATGAGCAGTGTGTGGCGGTTAATCACAGAAACACAGTGTGCTACTTTAAATAATATGAATCACATTTATTCAAATAAGTTGTACAGTATTACCATACTATTATTTCTAGTAATTGTGCCTCTTGTGTAAAGGTTGGACACATGGATAAAATGTTATATTACAGAGTGTCATTTCATATTTAGACATTGATATATAAAGCTAAAGTTCCATTTATGTAAAATCTATGGAGAACTGTTAATGGGTAAAGAGAACAAAGAGTGAATGCAACATCATTTGATTTGCAAGTGTTGCCCACAATAGTCCAATACACTTAGAGGAAATCTCTGACCAAACTTATTCTGTCCTTACTGGTGATGACAAGATCTTTTTTTAGCGTGACTCCAATTTAAGAGATAGAAAAGCAGAATCTACATTCCTCGGTCTCTGCAGAAATGCATGTACAGTTCATTATGAAGCTTCAGCAGTCAACACAAAGAGGTCATTTAGTCAGAAAAAGGCAAACTTTGTGGAAGAAAAAGGCACTTAATTGGTTTAACTTTGACTGTAAGAAAATGTTTCTGGTGGCTGACTCCAGTTAACAAGCCTCTGCATGAGCACCCAGTGAAAGCATGAGGACTGCATGTAAGAGACGTTTGTTCAGCATCATGGACTGTAGCAAACGGTCACTGCTGCTAGCTACAGGAGCGACGAAGCTCATCCACTCAAGTGTACATCTTTAAACTGAACTTAATGAGTTCTGATTGGTTACTACATCAATCCATTTGCTGCTCCTTGTTTGGGTCAGCACACGTTTATTTAATACATTTGAGAATTAAGAAATGTTATCACAACTAGGAAGTATAACAAAAATTGATGTAATACTTAAATACAGACATGCTTGTCTTTACTGATTATCCATCATACTTCCATTATTTTGCGGGTGTGATCCAAAAGAGGTAAAGTTGCATTTTATAATGGAAAAATCCCATTAACATATTATTTGTGTTGTCCTTTTTCAAAAGAACCAAGATGATGTCTTCAGATGTCTAGTTTTGTCTGACTAATGGACCAAAACCAAAACATATTAATGTTACCACCATGTATTACAAAAAAGGCTTAAAATCATGACGTTTGAGAAGCAGAAGTCTGCAAATGATGGCCAATTTTGCTCAAAGACCATTTTGATTTTCAAACTAGTTTCTATTTATTTGATATCAATTTACTTATTGCTGCAGTTTTAGTTGTTACGACAACTGGGGATATCATCCAATATAACAGGCATGGCCGACGCCTCTCATCAGCCAATGTCCACTGTTTCATGTAAGAATGAATTCTCAGTGGTGTTATGTTGCATATATTTAAATCCTAAACTAACTCTTCATACAAATATCTAAATAACATGAGAAATTGGTAGTCATTTACACATGAGATTTCCCATCTTTGCCATGTACCGTACAGAAGATCAGTTCAGATGTGCCCTGTCACGTTGAGAGTCATCAGATTATTTTGTACAGACCACTGAAGCTTCATATGTTCACACTGAGAGGGAATTAATTCAACGCCGGTATGGAGAGGAGACACAATCGCAGCGACAAATAACTCTTTAAGCGTGTATGATGGTGTCAGTTTTAAGACAGATTTAAAGAAAAACTGTGGCCCTATCCTTTAATAGCACTCTGTGGTGTCGTGGGTTATTTCTTCCCAGAGTGTGTGGTGATCTATTCTGCTTTAGGCTGTATGTATGGTGATGAGATAAAAACAAAACAGTGACAAATGACCAAAGACTTCTAAAATTCTCATATACCCAGAAAGTGCTTATATGGCACTAATGCACTGTGTGCTTTTAAGTCACAGAGCGAGTGCTGAGGGCAACACTACGATCTTGATAAATATGTGAGGGAACCTATTAATATTTAATCCACCTCCCTGCAGCCTTCAGAAGAGACTCAGTTCTTTAGGTGAAATAAATAGAATGACTTCTCAAACATGCAGTGCAGGTCGTAATGCCCTGGGGCCTCATTTATAAACGGTGCGTACGCTCAAAAGATGGCGTACGCCAGTTTCTACGCAATGTTTGCGACTTATAAAAAACAAACTTGGTGTGAGATGTCTTTTTTAGCTGTTCTGTCGTCATTTCCTGCGATCTTCTTCATGCAGTCAGTCAAAATGAATGAATGGGCGTTTCTTTAGGCAAATATGGGCGTTACGTGAAGCCCGCAAAAGCTGCGCCGCATTTTGAGTTGATTATGATTTATAAAGGGAAACCGGCGTAGGATGTGCCGTACGCAAGTCCTACGCCGGTACGCAGTGTTTTATGAATCGGAAAGTGTCTGCGTATTTATTTGCTTTGTCCTACGTAAGCAACCTTCCCATGTGAATCCTACGCAATGCTTTATAAATGAGGCCCCTGATCTTGGCTCTAAGCGTGGCCTCTGATTCGTGCCTGCAACAAGCAAACGATTGACATCGGGCGACACCTCCATTCCCCAGGGTCACGCATCGACCAGACACACATCCAGGCTCTAAAGCCCTGTAAGTGGCTCTGACTGCGGCGAGTAGGCTTCAGCCCTCTGGGAGCTGTAGAGGTCAACGGTCTGAAATAGAGGGCACTGTAGTAGTGTGTTCCAAAATCCTCTCCTAAGCCTTAAATAATGTCCACGGCAACAAGAACATTTCTTGACACCATTGTTATTAAAAAAAGAATTTCAGCCAATAAAGCTTTCGCCATCGCTGTGCTTTCAGAAGTCTAATCTCTCTGCCTCTCCCTCCCTCACACACACACACACACACACACACACACACACACACACACACACCACACACACACACACACACACACACCACACACACACGTTCATTCTTCCATTAGGAGCATAACACTACAAGGCTGTTTTGTCGCTTTGTGCTTCATAGTGATCTGCCCTCAGGCAACGATAGCTCTCTGACCAACGGGGGGGAGGTTACTCTCCCTCCCTCTCTCCATCTCCCCCTCTCTGCTGTGTGTGTTATGGCCTCTGCCTCCCGTAGTGTGAATCTGTGTAACTGGCGTAGTTTCACATCAGTTTGAATGATTTCCAACAGGTTGACGTTAATGGCTTTCAGGTTTTTTCTTGCTGACCACCACAGCAGTGACGCTTTCTTCAATATGTATTGCTTGAATATCAAACCTCCTGTTTAACATATCAGCTTCTTAGTGGTTCGTGTTAAGAGTATTCTCATGATATTATCTTTTCCCTAACTTGTTATCTTACATTTATTTAAATATGTGAAATGTCAGATAATACTGAACTAGTCTGTAGTACAACATTTGGCTGGGTAATAGGAAGAAAATGAAGAACTAATACATCGATATTGCAACAATATTGTAAGATTGACAGTCAGTGCTTTCTCAAAATATTTACCCAATGAGATTTTTGATCAATAATCTGCAATAACATGATGCATATGGATATAATGGCTATTTGGAAACGGAAAAATAACAACAAATAGGACAGTCTACTCATCTCAGAAAATGACATTGCAGCCATTGTAAACAGGAAAAGACAACACTTTTCCAAAAATGATTGTCGATATCTGGTCTCATATCGATGTCATATCCATTGCATAAATTATATCCAATTTACATTTTTGACAAACACAAAAAGAGTATCAAATCCTCACATGCGAAGAGCCAGAACCAGCGAATAACCTGAAGCCTAACTCTGATCAAACCCCCATGACTTTATAGCAGATCTCAAAGTTTGCAAAGATCGCATGGTTTGTTTGGTGGTCTTGTATTTGAAAGAGAGCGTTGTAACAAGCCGTCAGTCAGAGACATGTGATCTCAACAACCCATAAGCCCAAAACGAAGAGCTTCGTTTGATACAAAAATGTTGCTACATTTTCTGTTAACAAAGTTAGATACATGAAAATAAATGCAGTTCCCCTCCTGGTTGAGTTACTCCTCACACACTCTCACTTAGAGAGTGCTGCTCCTCCAAGTAGGCCGGCCGGTGGCCTGGGGCTGGGGTTTGGTTGCAGGCATGGAGCATGGTGCTGCGAACAGGGTGTGTGGCTTTGTCAAGGCCCATCAGTGTCCTTGCTCTACTTACCCTGCCTCAACACTTAAGGGTGAGAGAGAGAGAGATGAGAGAGAGAGAGAGAGAGGAGAGGAGAGAGAGAGAGAGAGAGAGAGAGAGAGAGAGAGAGAGAGAGAGAGAGAGAGAGAGAGAGAGCAAGAGAGCGTGGGGGTTGCAAGCAAAGGAACATGCTTCCATAAGGGTTTTGGATGTGATGAGACCTATATTGTGTGTGTGTGTGTGTGCATGTGTGTGTATGTGAAGAAAAAACGGAAGGTTCTCTTTCTGGCGAGTCTTAAATGTACTATCTTTGGTGTGTGTGTGTGTGTGTGTGTGTGTGTGTGTGTGTGTGTGTGTGTGTGTGTGTGTGTGTGTGTGTGTGTGTGTGTGTGTATCACAGGGGTCCTGAGGCCTTTATTACAGTCTTGTTGGTTCAGTGGACTTAAATAAGGCAGAGGTCTCTCTTCTCTTTCTTGTGTGTCAGCGTGTGTGTGTATTTGTGTGTGTGTGTGTTTGTGTGTGCGTGTTTGCTTGTGTGTGCCCTGTACAAGCACAAGTCTTTGAATGCATGTTGGACATTTGTTGAGTAGTGACCTAAATCTGTCTGCCATCATTATCTAACATGAAGACGGAGAGAAAAGCAAGTTAGAAACAGACACAGGCAAGCACACATGTACACACACACACACACACACACACACACACACACACACACACACACACACACACACTGGAGACTGTGCACACTCTGCAGCAGCAGATTGTCCAGCTAAGCAGGAGAAAATAAATAATTGTAATGTCGTGCACGATGCGATTCAGCCTCCATCCTCCCTTCTGTCCGGGGCCAAGAGTTCAGTCTATATTAAGGAGTCATATTACTGTTGTTCTCTTGTGTCTCGCCCGCCTGCGTCCCGTATGTTCCCTCTCCACATCGCCCTCCCATCACCTGCGGCCTCCGTCAGCTGTTTACCTTGTTACCCCTGCTGCGGAAGAGATGTCTGTACGACATAATTCATTCAGGATTACTGAAAAGTGGCCTAAACTGAGCCCATCCCCTCTCATCTGTGTGTGTGTGTGTGTGTGATAGTAAAATGTATGTGTGTGTGATAGTAAGATTAAGACTCTTTTATGGGTCAGTGGTTCCTTCTTGCTAATTACAGATTTAAAACACGAACTCACATGCGTGTGCTTTCACTCACAAAGACACACACACGCACGCAGCACATCCATCTCTCACTCCTTCAGACTGCACCGTGCTATCACCATGGTAACAGCAGATTGAGGGACTTTTCGCTGCACCGAATGCTTAACTCTTATCTCTTTCTCCTCTCTGTATTATTCTGTCCCCTCCCACACGGCCGTGTTTTGTCACGTGCACTCTTTCACTGTCAGTGTGTGTTATGGAGTATCCAACACACCCACAGAAACACACTGATCACACAAGGAGAGGTGCACTTCTTCCCTCTCAGTCTCACTCTGCTCCCTCCCCAGGCTCTCCTAACGCGGCTGGTGGTGTGACGTCCTAACTCTTCCTGCCCAGCATGGCTGCGTCCCTGTGGTTCCTGGGGGTGTGTGTGCTCACTCTGGCTCACGTCGCCCCCTCCAGCCAAGGTAAGCTTCCCGGCACTGAGGGTAGTATGTATCACGTGATGGTTTTGAACCTGACACAGCAAAACAGCAGAATGAATCACATTTGGAAGAGGAAGAAATGGATGGTGCTTGTGTGACTCAAGTTGAAGTCATTGTTTGGCAAAGTCGAAAAGTGTAACTCAGCCCACTTCCTGTAGAGAAAGGCAAAGTCATCCGGTGACCTACATAACAAAAACAAGCTCACCAGAACATTTGAAGTGTGCAGCTTGCCACAGGGAGTTTCTTCAGAAGCCGCCCAGAGCGCCTAGTTAATAAACAATCAGTCATTCAGCACCACGGACAGTTACAGAACACCAGCAGCATACTGATCACACAGACCTGTTCGCTGAGAAAGAGGCTCTAATCCTGAAGCGGCAAAACACCTTTCCATGTGTACATGATACTCAGCATCATGTGAACAAGCGGATTAAGATAATGCTAATGTGATTTTATTCAATGAACATGGTTTACACGGATTAATATGGCAGTTAAGGGAGTATACACACACACACACACACACACACACACACACACCACACACACACACACACACACACACACACACACACACACACACACACTCACAGACATGACAAAGAGAGCCTTCAAAGAAAAGAAAAGAAATCATAATTATATCTTGTTTTTCTCGACTTGAGTTTACCGAGCCTCTGACAGGCAGTAGTATAAGCTTTATTGCCCCCAAAGACTTCACAACACGTGTGCCCACGCATCACATCGCATGCAGGTGTCACAGTGGAGGTGTAGTGTGATTTATGTCAACAATCATGCTTCACCTGGGAATACTGCCAGAGTAAATGTGACAATATGTGTGCTTGCACCAAGGCAGGTATCACCATGTTTGCATCGAGCAAAGCAGAGTGAGGTATCTAAATTACACGTACATGTCAACATGGGTAGATCGTAGGAGTGTGTTGCTCATAGCTTATTACATATCTTGAGGTATGTATGCTTGAATTATAAACAGCTGCTTTGAGAGGAAATTCACAATTTAGCAAACAAACATAACGGCATTATTTGAATCCGCATAGATAAGAAGCTCTCATCACCAACTAGGCAGTGTTGCCACCCTCTAACGCCCCTCTAATTACAACATGGGGATGATTGGTTGAATGTAGTCCCTGGTGTAGCTGCAGAGCAGACAGCAAGCAGCTTCTAACCTGAGAAGGTTGTGTGTCACTTTAAGCACTATTGTAATTAAAACAGGTAAACAAAAAATCAGCCCCTATAGAGTTGTCAGACTTGGATATGGTCTGATCGGGCCTTGGTCCTGAAAGTCATTGTCACACAGGCTGCTACTCATTACTACATTACTCTGAATATTCATCCATTAACTGATTAGCAAACAAGGTAAATGCTAATTGTACTTTCCAATAAAAACTCCCTCTTTTCTTCCTTCCTCCACCCTTTTGCACTCTGCCTCATCCTACCCCCCCAACCCCATCTCCCTCACCTCCCCCCCCCTCATGAGCAGCTATGTCCCGGGCCGCCATGCCGTTCGGGCTGCTGCGCAGGGAGCTGGCGTGCGAGGGTTACCCCATAGAGCTGCGCTGCCCAGGAAGTGATGTCGTGATGGTGGAGACCGCCAACTATGGACGCACCGATGACAAGATCTGTGACGCAGACCCTTTCCAGATGGAGAACACGCAGTGTTACCTCCCTGATGCACTCAAGATTATGGCACAGAGGTGTGTATGTGCCGGATTTACACATGTTGTGTTTGAGTGAGATCTTAAATCATCCAGCAGACGCAAATCGGGCCATTTGCGTATTTGCAAACATTTGGGAAGCAGTTAAGCCAATCAATTAAAGCATCTATTGTTTCCTACATACAGCATGCGTGCAACGCCAACATACGTGCGGATTCATGTCAGAAGAAACGTTAGACAAAGCCAATACTTGTGTGTCGTGAGTGTGTGTGTGGGGGGGTGTGTGTGTGTGTGTGCGAGTGCAGTAATCTCTCCAGCTGAGTCTGAGTGCCTGGCTGCACTACTAGCTGTGTACTCAGCAGTGTTTTCCTAGAAGAAGTGATCAATAGTCAGCGAGGGGGAGAGGGAGAGTAGACAAATGGAGTGTCCTTTGCTTTCCCTTTCCTGTCTGTTAATCACTCTCCCTCCCTCCTTTGTTTTCTCTCTCTATCATCCCTTTTCACTCATACATCCCCCCCCCAGGTGTAACAACAGGACTCAGTGTGTGGTGGTGGCCGGGGTCGACGTCTTCCCAGACCCCTGTCCTGGAACATACAAGTACCTGGAGATCCAGTATGAATGTGTCCCTTACAGTGAGTATGCATATATTATCCAAACACAAATAAACCCACACACAACACGCAGATATATGCGTGAGAGATGTAACATGGTTTTGTCTCGCTGCATTGGGATGTTCTGACTTATGGACTGAGAGGTTGAGTGATAGAGGAGTTGTTTGTTTTTTTCTCAGGGTGTGCGTGTTTGTGAATTATAAATCAAAAGTTGGATGGAGACAGTAAAAAGGGAAAACTATATTACATTTGCATAATGTGTGTTGTGTGTGTGTGTGTGTGTGTGTGTGTGTGTGTGTGTGTGTGTGTGTGTGTGTGTGTGTGTGTGTGTGTGTGTATGTGTGTGTGCGTGCGTGCGAGAGTGCACGGACGCACTTGCGCATGCATGCGGCGTGTGTTTTCTTTTTCAGATTCACGCCACAGGAGTTGCTCTCTTTTCTCCACAGGAGCCTGATTGAGGGGAGGAGAGATCAGGGGAGGGTAAAGAGGGGAGGCTGGGGGGGGGGGGTAGAGGAGGGGGAGATATGCTGGATCTCTTTTTCTGCTTCTTCTTTCTTTTTATGTGAACCTAAAAAGTTTGTGGTGAGAGTGAGTTCCAAAGTCTTTATCTGTGCAATTCTTTCTTTCTTCCTCTCTTTTTTTCTTCCTTTCTCTCTTGCTTGCTTTTCTTTACTTCCCTTCTTTCACCCTCTGACTTCTCTTTCTTTCTCTCCCTCTTTTTTTCCTATGCTTGAGTAGAAGTGGACCAAAAAGGTAAAGACAAAACATTGTAGCATCTTGATCTCTCCTTACCCCCGACCCCCCTCTTTTCTCTCCTTCTCTTCCTCTCTCCTGCCATCTCTCTCTTCCTCCTACCCTAGGACGTTGTTTCGTAGTCATGCTGGATGTTGCCCCCTTTTTTTCATTTTCATATATTTTTTCCCCCCCATTTCTATCTATCTCTCGTTGTTGAAACCCGTCCTTTTATCCAATTTGATCCAGGTTCTGCACCTAGTTTCTCTCTGCTCTCTTTCCTTCTCTCTCCAGCTTCTTCCTCTCTTGCTGGTCGATCTCTCTGTCTCTTATGTCTCTCCCCCGGCTCCTCAGTGCACACACAAACAAAAACACGCCTACTAACACAAACAAACAACATTTTCTTCTTACCTCTTCTCTCCTTCACTCTATTTTCTTACAAACAAGCACATTTGTCTTCCTTCCTTTCTTCTTTTCTCTTTTTCTTTCTTACCAATCATTCCTTCCAATCATTCCTTCCTACTTGTCTGATCATCCTCTTCATGCTTATTTTCCCTTTTCTTCCCTTATAGGAAGAGCCCCTTATTTATCTTCATAGGAAAAATAAGACCAAATGTGTGTGATTGTATATCCTTCTGGATGTGTGCTTACCAAGCACTGCTTCTGTGCGTGAGTGTGTGTGTGCGTGTGTGTGTGTGTGTGCATGCCTATTTGCATGCCAGTGTGAGACTGTACAGTAAACATATGTGTTCATTGACATGTGGGTGGATCAATCGTTGTGCTTGGCGTAAACTAACCTGCCCTCTCATTCACTTCAAGGCAACATGTAGCCCCACCTTCTGCGTCCCTGATTCTACCTCACACTCTTTTTTACTCTTTTTGCACTAACCCACACACACATGCATACACAATCAAAACAAAGCACATACAACACTCACACACCTTTCATTGCAGTGTCCCTGTCGTATTACTCACCACACACACACACACACACACACACACACACACACACACACACACACACACACACACACACACACACACGCACACGCTAACAGTGTGTGATTTGCAACACTTGTACGTGTCTTCTGTTGCTTGCCTCTCGAGATCAGCACAGGTGTTTTAATTCCCTCTCTCTCTTTCTCTTCATTCTGTTTTCTTTTTCCTGCTGCATCAACTGCATCTAATTCGATCCATTTTTCATGCATCGATCCATTTTCTCCCCGCACCTGCCTCCGCTATCTTCCCACTCTTTCCCCCCCCCTCACCTCCTCCTCCTCCTCTTCTTCTTCTCCCTCCCTCTTTCTCTTTCTTTTCTCACATCCTGCTGTCTTCCCCCTTCCTAACTCCCGTCTCCCAGTTTTCGTGTGTCCCGGCTCGCTGCTCAGCATCCAGCCGGCCTCCTCTCTCCTGGAGGCAGAGCATCAGTCGGGGGCGTGGTGTAAGGACCCTCTGCAGGCAGGCGATAGGCTGTATGTCATGCCGTGGACGCCCTATAGGACGGAGGTGCTGTACGAGTACGCCTCCTGGGACGACTACCGCCAAAACAGAGTCACCACCACTTATAAGTGAGTCATGTCTGAGTGTTCTCTTTGTGAAGCTGGAGAAAGGACCTTGGGCTTTGTACACTTGTGACTGGCGTTGGGAAAATCTAATTAACGATTCATCTATTCGTACAAGACAAACTGCATGGTTTAATTTAAAATAAAAATTATTAGTAATTCAGGGCTAATTTCACGCTCAGCCCAATCAATTAAAAATGGGTATAGAGCAGTGTTTCTCAAACTTTTTCATACCAAGGACCACTTATCCAATAAAAAAACACTCGCGGACCACCTAACTCCACAAATATCCCAAAACACATCGTTTTTCTAGAACAGATTACAAATCGCCTGAAATTGGTACAAAGAAGTGGCAACATGTGTGATCAAAGTGTTGCGCTGGGCTATATGATGCAATCGAAAGTGAAACTTAAGCTCGCTCCATTGCGGAGATATTCGCGCGAGCGTGCGGAAAACTTAAATGTATTTATTTATTTAAAATGTGAAATTTTACCAATATACTCACGGACCACTAGGGGGCGCTCACGGACCACCAGTGGTCCGCGGACCACACTTTGAGAAGCACTGGTATAGAGCAACAATTACTTTCTAAATGAACAGATAGAATAAAAGCACCTTAAAATCCATGAGAAATGAAATATCTATGACTAAATAAGCACCAAGCGTTAACCGAAAGTTAAAGTTTGAAATCTTTACGTTTTTTATTAGATCAAACCCAATTCTTGGTGCGATTTATAAATTCTGTTACACATTTAATGTGTTAACACAAATATATATTTACTTGTCTATGAAGTAGTTTGTATTGTCCGGGACAACGTGCTGTTTTGAGTTGGTATCTTTATGGTTAATTGCACTTCAAATTGTCTCCAAATGAAACGAATATTTCCCTTTTTGATTTAATCTTGCACAATGGATGCAGTGATCATGTGTTATCTTTTTTAACAACGGTTCATATCAGACCAGGGACAGCAGCACATAATGGACATAAATGCAAAAATCTTTAATGTGACCAAAATTGTTATTACTGTGTGTTCAGTAGGCATGATAAGAATCTGATTGAGAAAAAAAGGGTTTTCATTTAACTCTCCTAATAAAAAATATGAATAACATCAATTCACATTTTCCAAAATGTTCTGTTCTAGGTTGCCTAGCCGTGTGGACGGTACAGGCTTCGTGGTGTACGATGGCGCTGTGTTCTATAACAAGGAGCGAACGCGCAACCTTGTCAAATACGACCTTAGGACACGCATCAAGAGCGGCGAGGCAGTGGTGGTCAATGCCAACTACCACGACACCTCGCCTTACCGCTGGGGGGGGAAGTCAGACATCGATCTGGCGGTGGACGAGAACGGCCTTTGGGTGATCTACTCCACTGAAGCCAATAACGGACGCATCGTGGTCAGCCAGGTACGGCAGAAGGAAAACAGATCGATGAGTGGAGACAGGAAAGAGAAGGAGTTGTATTACTGACTCATGTTGATGTCTTCTCTCCTTATTCAGATCAACCCATACACCCTGCGCTTCGAGGGTACGTGGGCTACAGGATTCGATAAGCGTGGGGCGAGCAACGCCTTCATGGCCTGTGGCGTGCTCTACGCTGTGCGCTCCGTCTTCCAGGACGACGAGGGGCAGGCGGAGGGCCGGGTCGGCAGCGACATGGTGATCTACGCCTACGACACGAGCCGAGGACAGGAGCTGCCCGTTCAGATACCCTTCCCCAACCCGTACCAGTACATCTCCTCCATAGACTACAACCCCAGAGACAACCAGCTGTACGTGTGGAATAACTACTACGTGCTGAGATACCCGCTGCAGTTCACCCCGCCCCCGCCAACTAAAGGTTTGTAGACCTGGTGCACTTGTGTTTTTAACCGCAATAAATCGTATTTCATTTAGTCTTAAAGGTCCCCTATTATACTGTTTTTCATCAATATATTATAGGTCTCAGATATATACAAAATAAGTCTCTGAAGTATTTGGCTCCAAACACCAAACAGATCATTGTAGCATCCCATAAACCCCTCTGTTTCAGCCCTGTTTCCAAAGTGCTGATTCTCTGTCTGTTACTTTAGATGAAAATAAGGAGCCCCTCCCCACGCCCCTCTGAGAGAGATTTGGTTAAAAAGAACACAATGGGGCTCTAGGAGGAGATTCAGGGGATAAGGTGGGGGGTGTTACCTTGGTTGGTGATTGGCTAATGGTTACACAAGCCAAAACATCGTTATGACAGACATGTTTTTATATAAATGGATCAGGACAAAAAGTGAGCAAATCTTTTTTCTTTCAGAATCTCTTTACACAGAGGGGACACATGTTTATGTATAAAAGGATGGATTTTGTCATAATAGGTGACCTTTAATATATATGTTTTAATTTCATATTCTGTTCTTGTACATATCATATTCTATTTACATGTATTGTAAATACTTCTTCTTGCTCTATTTCTTTGTATTTTATTATATATGTTGCATTGTTGGAGGAGCTTGGGTCAGAAGAATGTCATTGCCATTTCTACTCTGTAGCTTATGTGCATATGACAATAAAACCTGATGAAACTAGAGAACCAACAGTGTTCCCGCCCCTCCAGGTCCGCTCTCCTCTCTGATGACGACCGTGCGCTCGTACACCGCCACTGTGGCGCTGGCCCCGGTGCGCCCCTCCGCCTCTCACCCCATAGGCGTCATCAACAGAGGACCCTTTGACCAGCGGCCCATCACAGCCATGGTCCCTCTGACTCCACGTCCCCCTCTGCGTGTCCCCATGGCCCCCGGGGGCCCCGGTCAGGTGAGCGGATGTGAGGGCCGCGTGGCACGAGGGGTGCAGTGGCCCCCGACGCTGAAGGGAGAGTCGGTGGAGAGACCCTGCCCCAAAGGCTCACTGGGTAGGTGCTGCCAGGCTGTGTGTTGCGTTCAGTGTGTGTATCTGGTTTCCCTTTGAAATGTAGTCGGATGTCCCCTCTTTGAACCTGCCCTCAGATGAGAGGGGAGGAGAAGAGAGAGGTTACAGTGTGAAGAGAAACAGGGTTCATCAACTCTTCCTCTCGCTGTGCAGCTGTCTTCCTCAGCCAAGCGCTCCCTCTGACCTAAAGCTGTTTTGGAGATGATGTAGATAAGCCTGTGGTGCATTTTACCTAGCCCTCATCATGTGAAATGCTTTGAACATGATTTCAGCACAGAGGTGAGGATACATTGGGGAATAATCTTATATTGAACCATGTTTATTAACTGAACACGTGCGTTGTCTTATAAATATATATAATTTCAAGAACTGGCGTGTTACAGATCCTATAGACCTGTTTTCTATGAAATATGCAAAGGAGCAACACTCGAATATACTGCTTAACATAGCTTTTTAGCTTCTTTTAGCTTTGAGTTTGTTTTTTAACAATACATTTAGTGTTTGGTTTGGGAAGACAGACAAGTCAAGGCTTATTATTAGCCAGCAATTGTTTGTTTGTATGGTTGATAAATACTAAAACCGAGACTAAAGGATAAATCAGGTTGACTCAAACATGACTCGCATTCTTGCTGGATGTATATAATGTCATAGTTTTCCAGTAATGGGCATTATACTGGGTCCATGTTTATTTTTCCCAGTTCACAGTTCATATATCATTTCAAACTTTTTTTAAATATTAACAACAACAATCTAAAAAAACATATGGTACACCTCAGGTGGTGTACCACATGATCTGTCCTCTCTCTCTCTGAAACTCTGCCTTGCCCTGTCTGTCTCCGCAGGTATTGCTTCCTATCAGTGCGTTCAGTCTCCAGTGGGATGGAACTCCAGAGGGCCTGACCTTTCCAACTGCACCTCTCCCTGGGTCAGCCAAATCGCACAGAAGGTTAGTCATACACAAACAAATACACACACACACACACACACACACACACACACACACACACACACACACACACACACGCTTAGTAAATGCCCTAAGGCCAGTCAGCAAGCAAATGTCAAAAATATTTGACATTACAACCCCCCCCCCCCCCGATCTCTCTGCAGATAAAGAGCGGAGAGAACGCTGCCAACATCGCCGGAGAGTTGGTCAACCTGACCCGGGGGCGGATCTACGCCGGTGACGTCAGCATGTCCGTCAAGCTTACTGAGCAGCTATTGGACATCCTGGACTCCCAGCTGCAGGCCCTGAGACCGGCCAATAAAGAGTCAGCGGCACGCAATTACAACAAGGTGATTCGAGCTGCTGTTGGTGCTGAAATGTACTTGACCTTTCCTGGAAATCAGAGCGGAAATGTCAGTGATTATGATTCTAACAATAGATGTTTTTCTTCTCTGTAGCTGCAGAAAAGGGAGCGCACATGCAGAGCATATGTTCAGGTGAGAGACAGATAGATGGACAGATGGACAGATGGACAGACTGATGGATAAATAGATGGAATAAGTAGAAAGAATAAAACACTCGGTTTTTCTCTCTGTCAGGCGGTGGTTCAGACGGTCAATAACCTTTTGGGTCCCGAGGCTCTCGTGTCCTGGGCGGACATGAGCGGCGTTGACCAGTCGCGCTCAGCATCCCTGTTGTTAGACGCAGTAGAAAAAGGAGCGTTTCTATTGGCTAACAACCTCTACGAAGGCCGCTTCAGTGACAGGGCACCGAATGTTGGTACGTTTCCTTCTTCCTTGTGCTCTACACATCGTTTTGGTGTTACCACTTTGACTGAGCTTTTGCGTGTGTCTCTTCCGGTGTGTTCACAGATTTGGAGGTGTATGTGCTAAACACAGAGGCAGACATACAGGACCTGACGTTCCCTCACTCCTACGACAGCGACAGCATCTTGCAGATATCGGCTCAGGCTCTGCAGCAGTACAGCAACAATGGTATGTGACACACCGAAATGAATCAACATTTGGGTTTGTAAACCATATTAAACACTTTTGTTTATTTTTGATTTAATCTGTTCCTCATTATTTTCTTGGGAGATTCTAGTTTTTAAATGTTCCTTTCCCAGTGTCCTCTCTGGATTAGAATTCTCCCACATTCCTCCATATTTATCACACATTTTCACAACTATATTACAGTGAGTGTCTCCACCTGGATTCATGCCCTTAACCCTAAGCATCCTCAGTGATGACAGATTTAGAGAGAAATGGAGAGTATGCAACTAAAACCAGAAAATACTTCAGCAAAATTCAGACATCCTGGGAACTAGAGTTTCAGTTTTGTTCTGAAACATTTGAAGGGATGTGGCTTACGTTTTGTAAAAATATGCTTAGTCAGTTTTTCCTTCTAGCTTGTGGGTTGCAGTGAAGTGAATCTCCATCATGTGGCATGCACAGACACGGGCAATAGTACACATTGAATGAACTGCATGACTGATTAAATGTAAATCTATAAACATTAGTTTATGCCAAAGATTTATGCACGTTAAAGCTAAAAGTATGAATTATTAAAAATACTACTGCAGTGTTATTTTTAAGAAATCACCAGAATACAGGGTACATTGGCAAGTGTGATATTAGTGGGACCAGTAACAGGCAGTAGAAGCAATACTAGGTTAGCTCCACCTTTGACAAATCTAAACACTATATAATAAACGAAAATAAAGTCTAAGTGTCTCTGTGCTCTTCACTTTGTCCCCTTCTCCTCTCCAGGCCAGGTGAAGCTGGTCCTCTCTCTCTATAAGAACCTGGGCTCCTTCCTCACCACCCAGAATTCCACTCTGCGGCTGGGGCTGGGGTTGGGTCAGGGGTCGGACGCCATGCGCAGGAGCCTGGTGGTCAACTCCCATGTGATCTCTGCCTCAGTGCACCGAGGGTCCAACAGAGTGTACCTCTCTGAGCCCGTGATCTTCACTCTCAGGCACCTGCAGGTCTGCCTGGAAACCAGTTTAAGGAATGAGCCTGACCTTTTCTGAAGAATCTGGTCGCTTAGTGTCCATTGTGTTTGGTGTTTGTTTCCACAGATGGAGAACCACTTTGGCCCTAACTGCTCTTTCTGGAACGGGACAGGGGTCTCTGGGAGTGGCAGGTGGTCTACACAGGGCTGCCGACTCTTACACACCAACAACACACACACTACCTGCGCCTGCAACCACCTGTCCAGCTACGCCGTCCTCATGACATATCAGCAACCGGCTGTAAGTAACACAAAAACAACACATAACAGCGTTTAGTTCACCTTTACGGCAGAATGAAAGCATATTTAGGGTTACAGTGTGTTTATTTTTTAATTGCATTAACTTAAACGGTATAATTACTGTGTTGCGAAAAGTAGCTATTTTACTCACCTGATGCTCCTTTGAGACTTCCGTATGTTTGATTCGACGAATACATTTAGCACTGAACACAGCCATGCACTAGATATTCCCCCTGTACATTTAGCATTAGTGCACATGTATGATTGTCCTATGTTACACATTATTCATGCCACCACACTTATTTTGTAACTTCATAAATCCGCTCCATCCTCGACAACAAAGGCTTCCTGACTCCACCTTCATGCACCCATTTGCTGTTGCACATTTGGACTCCCCTCCACCGTTCTTCCCAAATTCTTGTTTAAAAATTAAACAGAGAAGGGGTTATAATTGTGGGTGGTAGCTGTAAAAGCACAATAGCGAAAGAGTGATACATGCTGCGGGCTGTTTTGTCCTGCCATGAAATTGAATTTAGTGTTCCTACAGTATGCAAGATGTTCTCTTGGTTGGGTGTGAATTTATTCATTTGAATAGATGTTATGTAACATTCAGCAACATGCAACCAGTGGGGTAATTCATCTAAAATGCATCTGCACATCTTCCTACATGCTGTTTATGATCAGATGAATAATGTCTCTGCTTCTGTCTCTCAGTTCGGGGTGGGTGTGGAGGAGCTTCTCGTCTACGTGGTCTCCTGGGTCGGCATCTCTGTGGCGCTGGTGTGTTTGGCCACCTGTCTCACCACCCTGTGCTGCCAGGGGGCGCCCTGGCACACGGACCACAGCACCATCCACTGCAACCTGTGGGCCAACCTGCTCTTCACTGAGCTGCTCTTCCTCGTTGGTGCCAACAAGACGCAATACACGGTGAGCGCTTGGAGGTCACCCATGTATTTTAGGAATGTATTGAACTGGTCTTATTTTAAACAAGTGGAGAGGAAACATCCACAGTACACATTCAGATATAAAACATTCCCTCTATATATAGCAGTGCTGTTCGTCAACAAAATAAAAAATAATGGTACAAAAATAATGTTTAACCTGGCTTAACCTGAACGTTTTCATTGTGATATCAATATTTAAAAAGTTTACCCTTTTCACCAATAGGGAGAGTCATTTAGTTAAATATTCCCTCTCCTCTGTGTCATTTTGCAGGTTGTGTGCTCCATCATAGCTGGCCTGCTGCACTTCTCGCTGCTCTCAGTGTTCTGCTGGTTGTGTCTGGAGGGGCTGGAGCTGTACCTGCTGCAGCGTGAGGTCTTCGAAGGACGAAACTCACGGAGGAAGTATTTCTACCTCTGTGGATACTCGATTCCTGGGCTGGTGGTGGCTGTGTCTGCAGCGATAGACTTCAGAGGCTACGGCTCAAACACTGCGTATGTTCACTAGTGGGTGTGTGTGTGTGTGTGTGTGTGTGTGGTGTGTGTGTGTGTGTGTGTGTGTGTTGTGTGTGTGTGGTGTGTGTGTGTGTGTGTGTGTGTGTGTGTGTGTGTGTGTGTGTGTGTGTGTGTGTGTGTGTGTGTGTGTGTGTGTGTGTGTGTGTGTGTGTGTGTGTGTGCATATTTTGGATGGAAATAATTACTTTTCTACATGTGTATAGTATTGTTTCAGCTCCTATATTGGAGTTGTTCGCTTGCAGGTTCTTATTTAACCCTATGTGTGTTTGTGTGTAGATGCTGGCTGCGAACAGACAATTACTTCATCTGGAGTTTCCTGGGCCCTGTGGGTGTCATCATCACGGTGAGAGTTCATGCTCTCTTACAGAAACCAGCCTTTTGCTACATTTTTAATCATCTCTGTGTTATGACATCATGTTCATTCATTTTTAATTGACATAATGTCAAACCGTGTTTGCTGTTTTTGTCTTTTTCGGCCTCAGTTGAACCTGGTTGTCCTGGTGATGACTTTACTTAAGATGCACAGCACTGCTGCTCTGAAGCCAGACTCCAGTCGCCATGACAACCTGAGGTAAGTACAGTGTGTCATACTAATGTGTTGCGCTGGTGATGTTCAGGGCTGATTGTGTTTCAGCAGCTTTGGCTATAATCACAGTCTTGAGGTAAATGTATAAACTGAAACAGGTTTATTATGAAAAATGTTTGACTTATGTTACCTTACCTTCCAGTGGCATGTTATTTTGTCTTATTATATATTCTTTTGAGTTCATGAGTTTTGAAATGAATATAAAAATCTATATTTTTTGAGCTAGATGCAGTCAACAACAAAAAAAGCAAGTTGCAACATGTTAAATAGTTAAAAAGTCAAGTATTCACAGGACAAGAACATATACAGTATATAGCAGTCATGACAGCAGCATGAATTGTTTGCATTTTTAGAAAGTGAAGGTCAAATCTTACCTCCATTGTATAAATGAAACATAAAGGGGAAATAGCAGCATTCAATAAAGTGTTAGTAAAAAGCAAACAAAAGTGCTTTTAGTTAGTAATTTTTCAAATGTACACTCAGGGGTGCTTGAGGATGGTGGCATTCTGATAGATGTGTGCAGGCTCTTCTTGACCTTGGGTCGACATTGACATTAGCAACACGCGCACCAGCTCTCTGTTTGTCCTTGTTTTACCTGCTCTGTCAAGTCGGAGCGCACTCAAACCTTTTTCGTGCCATTTAAAGCTCAAGACCTGCGAAATCCAATTAGAAAGGCATTCTAGCAGATTTGGGTGAGTGAACCCTTGTTGAAATCACTTGTTGGAATGAAAATAAAATGTGATTTCCAGGGCGTGGGCGGTGGGCTCCCTGACGCTGCTCTTCCTGCAGAGCGTCACCTGGTCCTCAGGCCTAATGTTCCTGTGTGCTCCGTCTCTGCTGCTGGCTTACCTCTTCTCCTCCCTCAACACGGCCCAGGGCCTCCTCATCTCCATACTGCACTGCACCCTTGCCAGGAAGGTCAGTATCTGTCATTATGTAACATTATGTTTCATGTATCATCATCATTTGTGACTAAACAGCTGTTAACATGTTTGAATATTGCGTGTAGGGTCAGAAGGACTACGGCCGGTGCCTGCGCCTCTCACAGTGCTGCGCCACATCCACCTCCAGCTCTCCAGACTCAGTTAAAGGAGCCGCCCTGCGCTCCAACAGCCGCTACACCAGCAGCCAGAGCCGGAGAGCTACCGCTAACAGACAGGTACATTACAACACCCTGGATCTCTGAGTCTCTAAGTCTTTGTCTCTCTTTCTGGCAGCTTCTGAGTTTGACCTTGTCTGGATTATTTCTGTTCCAGAGTCGCATCAGGAGGATGTGGAACGACACTGTTCGCAGACAGACTGAATCTTCTTTCATCGCTGCAGACATTAACAACACACCTACTCTAAACCGAGGTAAAGATTTTAGATAACAGCATTGCCTTTTGTACAAAAGCCCTGAGAAGCAAGTGTGAAAAAAAGAAATCTAATGATCCGTTTTGAGTCTGGTATAAAACATTTTTCTCGAAAAACTCAAAACTGTTTTAAAGCAGCCCTATTATGCTATGTTCAGGTTTCATATTTGTGTCATGAGCCTCTACTGTGATATTTTTAACTGCTTTAATGTTCAAAAAGCTCTTTCTCTTATTTTTCTCATACTGCCTGTTATGCAGCAACTCTTTTCACCCTCTGTCTGAAACCAGAGCCAGGTCTGATTGGTTGAGATTTTAGCCTTTGCAGACCATTTAAATTCATATCTATATAACACTCTACGGCAGGGGTGGGGAACCTCCGGCCCTCGGGCTGTATACGGCCCGCGAGACCATTTGGTACGGCCCTCGAGGTAATTTAAAAACACAAGCAAAAAGAAAAAAATTCAAATGATCTAGACCGCAAAATAATTAAACAAGCGAGTGCCTGTTTTTCCTGGCCAAGGTCAGGGTCCTTGAACACAACACGAGCCTAACGTGTCATCACGTGGTATATCTCTCGTCTGACACGGGTGTAGTTCTAACGGAGAGCACCAGAACACGGCTCCGGGCCGGGACTTCACAAATTGCAATACCCATAAGGAGCTGTACACATGCCGCAGTTTTTGCGTGGCTGTGTCTTAGTTGAAAGCCCAGTGGCGATCTGTCATACTGATCATACAGTCAATAACTTTGTTGTTATTAGCATCTGGTTAGCTAGCTATGCTAACGAATATAAGAAGCTTTTTCTCCAACCAGTGAGGTAAAGGCACATCTTTATATGATCATTATAGTTCTAAACAAATAAGAGAATAAATTAAACAGGAATAAAATACTAATATGACAGTAAAAAGGTTATTATTAATAAACAAGAATACAGTTTAAAAGGGGAGTGATTTGTAAAATATCCATAAAGAAAAAAATCTGCTTACAGTTCTGTTTCATATGGGTGTTGAGAGATGTATCCATAGATCTCTTAATGTTGCTCTCAAAGTGCACCAGATTGATGCTTTTAACTTCAACATTTAAAAAAAATCTTCCTGGTGGTGCATGCCCCCAAACCCCCCTAGATGAGGTTAGATCCCCCCCCCCACTTAAATCATGTCCACATGGATATGAAACTAAATACATTTGCGAACATCTTGTGTCCATATACTGTACTTCTGTTTTGGTGGTCATGCCACGGTGCATGCATGCGCGGGTCATGGTCAAATATCTGGATTAAGAGGTTGCTTTTTCTTTGCACAGCATAAAATAAATGGGCTGTGATTTTAGTTTTTTAAGCAGACGTTGAGTTCAATAATTTGTACGGCCCTCGGAGGATGTTGTAAAAATTGAAATGGCCCTTGAGAAGAAAAAGGTTCCCCACCCCTGCTCTACGGGAAAGGGAAAACCCAAAACAGCATAATAGGACCTCTTTAAATCTTAAATATAGGAGAGAAAACTTTTAGATTTAGATACTTGGACAATTTTTTTTCTCTCACTTGGCTCTCGAGCTTACATACTCCTTTGCTGCTTAAGAATATTATATTTATTTTCTCCCTCTCCTCAGCTGCTCTGGGGAACCACTTCCTCACAAATCCAGTGTTGCAGACTCACGCTGGAGCCTCTCCTTACGACACGATGCTCGCCCAGGGTTACAACCAACCGTTCACCTCCACAGGTACGCTTCATCACAACGCTCTGCGATTTAGAGTCTATTCACTTCCGAACAGTTTACTCACTGTCTCTCTTTATGTTGGTATCTTTTACTGTCCGTCACTTTTGCGCAGTAACAGTGCTTTGCAAATCTCTTAAGCCACAGTGAAAAAGGGTTACAGTTTCTCACTTAAAAGGTGTACAACATCGCCTTTAAGGGAAGTTTCAACTCTCCATTCAAATCTTACATACATTTTCCATTGATCCTCTTTGTGGTTGAAAAATCCCACGACAAAACATTACCAAATTTAAGATTTGACATAGCATAAACGTAAATTATTAATTCATGATTTGTGTATGGACAGTGCACTTAAATGTAAGTGTGCTATCTAATAAGCAAATCCGATAGTGGCAGTTTTCCAAATTAGCTCATACATTTCTTAACGTCATTTCTTGTTACTTGTCACTGACAGCATACATTACGTGCCAATACCCATTTATCTGTAATGAGTCCATTTTGGCCCATCACTTGGGCTCTCCTGCCAGAATTTCCCTGAGTGGCGTGTTTTGCCCAGCACAGTTTGTTTTTCTTTTGTGCTGTTTCTGTACAATCTGTATGGTTGGAAATGAAAACTGAATTCTCTTTGTTTTACCCGTCTGTTCTGTTTTTTTTACTTTTAAATGTTTGTCTTTTAAATGTTTTTTTTGACACTTTCCCTCTTTGTCTCTCTGTCTTTATGTGGAGCAGTAGGAACCTTCAGAAACAAACTGAGTACGAGCTCTTCTTTGTTGTGCTCACTCAAATCATTAAGCGCCACTTCCTTGTTCACTTCATAGAGCTCTGCCACTTTTGCCCACAATAACTATTCATACACCATGAAGACATGACATAAATCTATCCTATTTGGCCTCATAACCAAACATTTCATCACAATATTGTTGATATCCAAATATTTCTGGTGAATCCACACCCTCAGTAGGAACCCTAAACTCTGCTCATTCATTCATATGTTCACTCAACAAATGTTAATCTTTGTTGGTATCCCTGTTTCAAATGTTCTCTCCCTGTTTCCTCCAACAGAGGGTGGTGGGTCCCAGAGCCAGGAGTCCTGTGGGTTGGACAGTGTGTGTCTGAATGGAGGCTACACCCCCAACAGCTTCACCCTGCACGGGCTGGGAACCACGCCCGGGTCCCGAGCCGGAGTGGTGGGCAGCACCGACCTCCTGCGCGAGGGAGGAGTTGGGATGGGAGGTGACGACATCTCCCCCGCCCTCCTCACCCCCCACGGGGCTGCAGATCTGGGCAGTGGTGCAGGGATGCGTCATAACCTGTCTGATGCGGCGGCGCTGGAAAAGATGATCATCTCAGAGCTGGTGCAGAGCAACCTGAGGCCCTCCACCGCCATGCCCGTCCCTCCTGAGCGCTACGGCAGCCTGGCGAGGCCTCACCTCCACGACAGGCCTCTCACGCACACCGCTACTTTGACTCGACACCCACAGCCCCCCCAGGACGGGTGGGCTTCCACCATGCAGACAAACACACGACACAACGGACCAGAGGGCTGGGCGCACACGCGGCACCACACGGAGGACGCTGAGACACATTCCTCAAACCGTGGACAAGATCACGCCACAGCGCCGCGCCTACAAGATGGCTGGTCACAGTCACGAGTTCCTGGAGACCATGAGTCCCGCGAGCTGCTTAAAGATGGGGAGCGGTCGCTGCAGGGAACTCTGAGTCGCCGCGGGCTCCAGGACAGGCAGCAGGCGCGCCCCCCCGATGTCCAGGCACGGCCGTACTCCACCCTCAGCCGCACCCCTGGTACTCTGTCCCGCCACCGCGGCACAATAGAGCCGAACGGAGGGACAGACAGAGACAGGGACAGGGAGAGAGACAGGGAGCGTTACCGGGACAGGCCCCTCCCGCCTCCTCCTCCCCCTCCCCCGCAGGAGTCTGAGCCCCTGTACAAGGCTCTGGAGGAACCGCTGCTGATGAAGCAGAGGGAGGCCAACGTGGAGACCTGGAGAAACTGCCAGGAGAGGGAGAAGGATGAGACATTTCTCTTAAAAAGAGACGAGATGATGGACGACTGGAGGGGAGCAACCGAAAGAGGGAGGGACGAGTCTTTCACCTCTCAAACGCGGGATGGAGAGATGGACGAATGGCGTGCTGGGATGGAGAAGGCAAGGGAGGATATGCTGGAGAAGAGAGGGGGGAGGATGGAGGTGTGGCGGGGAGGAGCAGAGACGGACCAGGAAGAGACTTTTATAACTCAGAAGAAAGATTTTACGCTGGAAGGATGGAGGGCTGGGATGGACAGAGACAAAGATGAATCCTTGTTTTTGAAGGACAGAGACGGTTGGAGAGCGGGGATGGAGCGAGAGAATGACAAGCAGAAGGAGCGAGTGCTGGACGTGTGGAGAGGAGGGATCGACGTAGACAGGGAGGAGTCTTTCCTGTTCGATAACAAAGATGGCGGCCTCGACGGCATGAAGAGAGGGAAAGACAGAGGGTCTCTCCGGTACCATGGCGAACGAGAGGATTCCGACAGCTTCTCTCTGCCCTTGACTCCTGACCTTGACCTTGACCCTGACTCCTCACCCATCTACGCCCACGATTCAAATCCCTCGCTCTACCCCGGAGACCGCTGCTCGCCTCCAATCAGCATCTTCCCCCGAAGCTCTCCCCCTACAAATATCTTCGTTCCTCGAGACAATAACTCGCCTCCAAACAATATCTACTCCCGCCACTCCCCGCAGGTGTACAGCCGGAGCAGCTCCCCTCCTCGATTCTACACCCGCACCTCCCCTCCCACGCTCTCGTACCCTGACAGCAGCCCTGAAGGTCCTGAAGACGTCAGTCCCACTGGCCAGACCCAGCGGCCCGCCCTGGAGCTGCCCTACAGCCTGGGGCGGCCCCCGCTGGGCCCGCGACCCAATCACCTGCAGACCTTCTACCAGCCGCCGCCAATGGCATCCAATGGAGAAGCAGCGTACACAGGAGAGCCCGCATCGGAGGGAGAAGACGGACAGATGCAGCGGGTGACGAGTCTGTGACTAGGGCGGTGGTGATCGGGGCATAGAAACCAGGGATGACGCGGAAGACAGGGATAATACCAAATAATGATGATCAAACTGATGGAAATGACGATGATTGTGATGATGAAGAGGACAACAAGGATAAATGCTGAAGGTAACGATGACGACAGCGATGGCTCCTCCCTGCTTCTATCTCCCGATCACCACGAGACTGCCACCTTTTCATGTTTTGTTACTTTTCTATGACTGTGATCCATTTAAACCTCCTCGACTTCCTCTCCTCATCCTCTCTACCCCGAAGCCCTGCTGTGTTTTCCCGTCTCATCGGTGGTTATCTTTATCGGCCCATCGTCTAAGTTTCTATTGGTTCGTCGGCTGCGTGTCGCCCTTTCCTGTAGCAAGCAAACAGTGTGTCAAAGAAGCACTCAAGTGTTGCCAAAAAATACTTTCAAAGAACATGTGCATGACTTTATAGTGGCTTTACAAGGCTGCATACAGTAGGAGGAAAGCGCTGAAGTGTGTGTGTGAGCGTGTGTGCGCAAAAGAGTGCGTGTGCGTAGCTTGAAGAGCATGCGTGTGTGTAAGGAAGAGTGTGTGTGAGTGTGTGTATATACATCATTATTGTATAATTAATGTATCACAGTGAAGCATTTTATCAATATCAACTGGGGGGACTCTTACACAAATCCCCTCCCACTGATTTTGAACTCTTGACCAATCCCATTTCACATCAAGACCAAAACCTCCGCCGCCCCTCCCCCAACCTGCCACAAACTGTCGGTGATGGGACTCGTTGCCATGGAGTTTGTCATAGCAACAGGACTCTTGAATCCAGAGCCAGAGATCATATGAAACCTCAAAACTTTTCTGCGCCCCTGAGACCCCTGTACATATCGACCTCAAGTGTTCTGACTGTCTTGTATTGCTATTGAAGTTCAAGTAAACATGTGAAATAAATGTAACTGTCTTTCTCTTTGTGTGATTGTACAGAGAAAGGGGGGTTTCACAAGAAGATATTCACAGTGGAAAAGGGTGGGGGGTGAGAGACTGTTGATGCATTTAATAAAGAGAATCAGATAAATAAAAAGATAAAGAATACTTTTACAGTTGAATGTAATTAAGTATGTTTACTAAGACACTTTTCTGTACATAAAGTACTTTTACTTTACTAATGGATGGATTACTGAACAGGCCTATAGGGAACAGGAACAGGGGCTCAAAGGTCATGGGCCCCCCCTGGACTTGATATAATAACTGTACCAACTAGGAAGATATTTAAAGGGGCCCTAATATAATCATTTTCACGTTGCTAATTGGATTATGTGCCTCTACTGTGACATGTTTACATGTTTTAATGTTCAAAAAGCTCTTTATTTTTCTAATACTGCCTGTGTTGCAGTTCCTCTTTTTACCCTCTGTCTGTAACCAGAGCCCAGTCTGCTCTGATTGGTTAGCTGACCAGCTCTGTTGTGATTGGCCAACCTATCAGAGATGTCCCGTCCCTTCAACCCAGTCTCACGGCATTTCGTGTTATAGTCACAAAATTAATTTAATCCATTGATTCGTGTTCACCAACATGATTTTTTTTCGTGTCACACAGAACGATTTTAAAAGCAATGTATTTCTATTGGTAGTATGTTTCGTGCCTGCACCACGTCTTTTTGTCCGGTCGGATCTTGGAATACCAGAAGCTGCGGTTCATAAAAACATTTTCTTACTCAATATCTTACCCTAAGCCTAACCCTATCCCTTTTATTTTAAATTGTATAATGTCTGAGTTGTTTTGCCGTCTGCTAGGAAAATAAATGGGGCAAAGAGCCTCAGCATACTGAAATCTGTATTTTTTGTCATCTTTTTTTCCTTCTAATTTGTTATTATTTGGTGCAGGCACGAAACATACTACCAATAGAAATACATTGCTTCTAAAATCGTTCTGTGTCAGAATACTGAAATCTGTATTTTTTTTAAATCTGTTTTTCCTTCTAATTTGTTATTATTTACATTGCTTTTAAAATCGTTCTGTGTGACACGAAAAAAATGGCGAAATTGTGTTGGTGAACACGAATCAGTTCGGACGCGTGTTCCAGATGATAAAACAATGTCCATACGAGTGTATATCTTTCAATCTATCGATCCTTTTATTTTGTTTTCCATATAGCCTTTCTGTTACCATTCAGATACCAATATATGCACGCCAGTCACGCTGAATACAAACAGGTTTAACACACACAGCTCATATTGACACGGCTTCTGCCGACACGGTTTGCTTCCGTCCCAAAACACCTGCACCTGATCACCCAGTGATTACATTTATACACACACACAAGTGAATACTCTTGTGTAGAAAGTTGGAACTGCATTAAACGTGCAGATAAAATACAAACAAAGACACATGCATTATGGCTCCGACAACCTACGTATACGACACTCTTTCAGGAAAACCCCCAAAAGCATATTAAGGCCCCTTTCAATTTACCTGAAAGAAACCTTGAAACGACTACAAAGACAAGTATCACACAAAGATACCAAATAGCTGCAAAGAGACACAAAGTGACAAAATGACTACTAATGGCGCATTTCCACTGCAGGGCCTCGCACGGCTTAGTACGGTATAGTTAGGCCTTGGTAGGCCAGGCTCACTTTATGCTGCGTTTCCATTACAGTTTAGTAGCTGGGGCAGAAACTATAGTAACGCAGTGTAGGCGGACCACAGAAAACCAACATCAGCCGTTAGCTGTTAACACTCAGAGCTCACAGCTCCTCATATCTGTTCAGAAACTAGACAAAAGTTAAACAAGTACAAACCACAGACTGTGTGTCATGGTGAATACAGTCGCTGGTTTATTTCTGTCTGTATAGGCCGTTGTTGTGAGTGTGGACGGTCGGAGCATACACTGCGTTAGCTTAGCCGATCTCCATTCAGAAAACACGCATTTTAAAAGGTTTTTCGCCTGCCGTCTGTCTGCAGACTTGTCAAAGCATTAATTCATGGTTTTTACTAACCGGTATCAGTATGTTGTTACTTCGGCATCATTTTGAAACGTGTATTACAATTAAATCACGGTAAAATATGTTCATTTTGTTGTAGTTGTAGCCCCCTTGCCAGCGATTCTCTCACTAGTTTAGCATATTCAGCCCGGTGGTTGGCCCAGAAAGAACCTGTATTTTGGAGGGCCAGAAAACTGTGAAACACAGGGTTCCCGCGGGGTCTTAAAAAGTCTTACATTTGATAATCAGAATTTAAGGCCTTAAAAAGTCCCAAAAAATTAAATTAAATATGATTTAGAAGGTTTTAAAAATGATCGGATTTTAAAGGTACTTCTGTGTAGCGATCGTGTCTAAATGTGTTTTGGGGGAAATGTCCGGGCGGCAAAGTAATCAGTATGGTAATAGCCTTTCAGTTCCCCCCCAACAATTTGTACCAACATGGAACCAGTAATCTCTAACTTTGTTTCCCCCGGCCCCTTATCGAAGAACACCCAGCTAGTAACCTAGCAACCAAGCTTCAGCTAGCGGCAGTCAGTAACCTTGGTATCTTCGAATCTACTTACAAATAAATATGGCGAAGTGTAAGTTCAACCATATTTGGTTGGAAAACATCTAATTTAGTGCTTGGTTGAAACCAGTTGAGGAGAACGTGTCTGAAGCCCGCTGCACCTTTTGCAGCAAAAAAATTGCGTTTGTTTTGCTAATGTAGCGTTAATTCCCGCAACAACATCGGGGGACCGGTAGGTGCTGTGGACGCTAAATACCGTAGCTAAACACCAATCACAGCAACGATGAAAGATTGTAGCCAAGGCAGCAGAGCTCTGAATATAGCTCTTGTCACTCAATCTCAGACACACACAGACACGCACACGCACACACAGTTCTGTGTAGCCTATGCTGTTATGTTCAGTCATCGTTCTTATGTTGAACATGAATACATTTACTTTGTAAATAATTATGAGACGTATTTCTTCTTTCATAGCAATTTTCCTTACTTTCTTGCCATGAAATAGGTCTTAAATTCTATTCAAAGTTGTCTTAAAAAGCAGGGGCGGCGCTAGGGGGGAGCTAGGGGGTGCTGAAGCACCCTCCAGGATTGCCAAAGCACCCCCAAGAAATATGTTTGTTTTTTTTCGAAAATTATTATTATTTTTATTAAATTAGAAACATTATTGATTACATCAATGCAAATGTGAAACAAACACATTTTTTACCAAAAACATAAAGCCAACACAGGTGATATGATTAGGCCAATGGCCAGCACCCATTCGATTGTTGACCTACCCATAGGCTAAATTACTTTGACACTTGAGTGACTTCCTGTTAGCTAGAGCACCAAATTATTTGCTAACAGCAAAGTGAAAGATGGATCGTTTTTTTGTCCTTAAACGTCCACATGTGGACACTCAATCAAAACCACCTGAAAGCGAGAGGGATTCTGCACATAATAGCCTAGCGTCGTGAGTAGCCTACAAGTAGCTTCTCTGGTCTCTGTGTTTCATTCAAGCTCTGCTCTGTGTGTGTGGCACGAGCCATTTTGTGTGCGCGAGCGAGAGAGCTCGCCTCGCGCACCGGTGGGTATCTACCGGAGATCGTTGTGGTTAGCATCTGGTGCTAGCTAGCCAAGTTAACGGATATAAGGAGCTTTTTCAACAACAAGGTGGAGGGAGAACTCTCTCCTGTCAGACGGAGAGTCTCAAATAACCTCAGCTCAGGTGAAGTAAAGGGCTCTCAGTGTTTAGATAGTTAACTTTAGTCTAGTTATCTCAGTGGGTCTCAAACGGTTTGTTTTAAAAGGGGAGTGATTTTAAAAATATCTATAAAGAAATAGAAAATCTGTTTACAGTTCTGTGTTATATGGATGTTGAGAGATGTATCCATAGATCTCTTAATGTTGCTCTCAAAGTGCACCAGGTTGATGCTTTTAACCCCCGGACCCCACTAGAGGAGGTGAGGACCCCCCTAGAGGAGGTGAGGTCCACCCCCCACTTGTAAAAATAGTACTTTACCCCTGCCTATATGCCGTGAGCTGATTATCGAGCCTTCATTGTAACAGTCGCGGGCACACTGTGTGTGTGTGTGGGGAGTGTTGCAGTAGAACATTCAACTGTAGCGCTGGTGCATTAATGGGAAACCCTTAATGTTTGAGCACCCTCTATGAAACGTCAAGCTACCCCACAGCACCCCCTAGAGAAAATCTCTGGCTGCTCTGTTAAAAAGGTCTCAAAAAGTCTTACATTTGAGTTGGTGAAACCTGCAGGAACTCTGGAAACAGTACCCGCTAGCCGGAACTACCCCTAGTGGAAACGCAACAAAAAACGGGCCGGGTTAGCACGGCACGCTTAAACCGTGCTACGCGCTGCAGTGGAAATGCGCCATAAGAGACTAAATAACTGCGAAAGACACAAAACAAACTCAAAAGGAGGCTATACAACTGTATGAACTTTGTGATTCTTGCTCCTTTGTAGAAGAAAAGGTGGTATCCTTGCAGGGGCCCATTGTCTCATTTTCCGCCCTTGACTTTACTTGATTAACCTACATACATTTTTGGCTATATTCTTTTTCTATTCCACAAGACTCATTTATTCTCCCCTGGCATCTGCTGTTACTTTGTAGATTAACATGTTCCTACAATTTAGAAGATTTTAAACGTACAATGATTTTTAAATATTTGATTAAATCAAGTATTGTTACAGATTCAGATTGTAGTTATTAATATATAAATACAGATTATATATATTGATTATACAATAACATTAAAAATGTGTTATGAACACATGTTGTGTGCAGTATTATGTCCATAGACTGTATATATAAAGATTATGTCACAAACTAAACATAGACAATGTTTCTTTAAAAAAATCTCATTTTTATTCAATGATCTGTGTGCTCTTGGAGTGGTAAGTAGTTTAGCAACAACATTAACATGTCAACAAATCTGAGAGCTATAGCGTCCATACTTTACATACATGGATTATATCT